CCCCACAACAAACACTCTGTGAGGTGAGTGGGGCTGAGAGACTTCAGAGAAGTGTGACTGGCCCAAGGTCACCCAGCAGCTGCATGTGGAGGAGCAGAGACATGAACCCGGTTCCCCAGATTACGAGTCTACCGCTCTTAACCACTACACCACACTGGCTCATAATTTGTTCATAATTATTATTCATAATTATTAAGGCAGGGGAGAAATTCAGTGTAGCCGTATGGCCATCGTTCTGTCCGCACAAGCGTCTCATATCCCGCCCCCCCCCATGCACTGTTCTGGGGTTTTCCTGAACCAATTTTTTATGGGGGGGGGGTGTTCACAGGAGAGGAGGGAAGCCCATTGTTCTAGCAGGTCCTTGCACTAGCTCCCACTAGTTAGTAGGACTTGTTAGCCCCAAGATTCCCAGCTGACTAGAGTTTATCAGGAACGAACATGGTCTGGTCAACACTGCCCAGTTAATCCCAAATTGTTCATCCCTTGGCAGGGGCAGGAGAAACAGACCAGTATGCTACTGTTAAGCTTGGCTTCCTGTTGCATCTGAAGATGGAATCACAGTTTGTGGCTCCCTATCAAGTCATGATCACTAGCCACAGCCTCAAAACCAGAGTTTGTTGTTAGATTACAGATCCCGTCATGTTAGGAAATGACAAACGATGACCCCAACTTTGGAGATAACAGGAAGTGATGCTTAATTGCACTTCCCTGGTCTGATTCTCCCAATCATGCTGGGGTTTGAGGGGAGTGAAGAGGGAGCGATCAGGCAGTGTGCATGGCAAAGTTAAACTAGTAATCTTTTGCCATTGAGCTATGGGAACTCTATGACTGCCCGTGCATGTTCCTATACACATGCCTTTATGCACTAAACTGAATCAGAGTGTCTCAGAGGAAGGGGCCGAGATCTGAAGAATGGGAAATTTCACGAAAATGTCTGTAAACTAAAGTTGGCAAAGAGAAGACAGGGAGCAGTGGTTTACAAAGAAAAAGTACTTTCAAAAATGGAACAATCCCTAGTAAATTGGTACCAATGGACTCTTGAGTTATCTGTCAACTCCAGACTGTCACTACTTTGTGGGCGGGATTCCCATCCTGTATTGGAAGTGTAGCTGTGTATAATTAAAGTGAATTAAAGTACTCTATTGCAAACGGATCCGCTTTTTAAAAAGTCAACTTTTTGCAGTTAGGGAAGTTACAGGGAAATTCACTAAAAAGTGTGGGATAATGATGGACTGACAGGAAGACAACTCCCGTCACCACAATTAAAATCAGGGCAAATGCTCAATATATAAAATCATAATAACATGAAACATTAAAAAACCTCCCTATACAGGGCTGCCTTCAGATGTCTTCTAAAGGCTGTATAGTTATTTAGCTCCTTGGCTCGGGGGGTCACATAAATTCATACGCTCCAACATTTCTCTGATGAAAACAGGGACGTTCTAAGGAAAAGCGGGACATTCCAGGATCAAATCAGAAACCAGGACGGCTTCTGTAAATCCAGGACTGTTCCTGGAAAATAGGGACACTTGTAGCAAACATTTAAGAAAGTGCTTTCTCTGTACAGTGGTACCTCTGGTTGCGAACGGGATCCGTTCCGGAGGCCCGTTCACAACCTGAAAAGAATGCAACCTGCGTCTGCGCGTGCCATGATTCGCCACTTCTGCGCATGCGCGTGACGTCATTTTGCGCATCTGCGCGTGCACAAGCGGTGAAACCCAGAAGTAACCCTTTCCGGTACTTACGGGTCGCCGCGGGACACAACCTGAAAACGTGCACCCTGAAGCAAATGTAACATGAGCTATGACTATACAGTGGTACCTCGGGTTACAGACGCTTCAGGTTACAGACTCCGCGAACCCAGCATTAGTACCTTGGGTTAAGAACTTTGCTTCAGGATGAGAACAGAAATCGTGTGGCGGCGGCAGCGGGTGGCCCCAGTAGCTAAAGTGGTACCTCAGGTTAAGAACACTTTCAGGTTAAGAACAGACCTCCAGAATGAATTAAGTTCTTAAGCTGAGGTACCACTGTATTAGCCTTCCCTAACCTGGGGCCCCCGTGATGTTTCGCACCACAACTCCCATCAGCCCCAGGGGTGGATCAGACTGCCCTACATTACAGTCATGCAGACATTTTTTGACCTACATCCCTTCTCTCCCCCCCCCCTTCCCTAGTTTATTCTGGCAGTTAAAAAACTCCTCAACTCGGTAAGTCATATTGATGCTTAGGAGGCACAAAACAAAGCCCCCTCCTCCCCACAGCTACTCAGCACCCGGAGCTCCTGCTAATGAAGGCCCCTGATGCAGCCATGACTTATTCATAAAGCTGCCACCAAAACTTTCCTTTTATCTTATTGCTGCCTCCCCTCCCAGGCGCTGCTGGTTTGCCTCACTCCCACATCAAAACACACACACAGGCACACAAGACACACGCGGTTCTCTCCCCACCACCAGACAGCCACAAATGCCTGGGGAGCCCACAATGCCTTCTTCGCTCCAGCCCCTGGGTCCCTTCCTAAACACCAGAGTCTGAAGGGTGGGGGAAATCTCAAGGCCACAAGAAGAACTCCCTCTCTCCCTAAGAGGAAGGAGGATGCTGACTGCTCACAACTCCAGGGGACCAAGCCTACTTCGAAATGAGCACCTAAAAAAAATGTGCAGTCCAGCTTAATGCAGGTCAGTTGCTCCTCTCCTATGCAGTTTAACCCACATCTAGGCACACAGGGCTTATCAACTCTTCCTGCTTTCCCCAGGAGAGGGGGGACCGCTGTTTAGCGCATAGTCAGGTTTCCTCCAGATTACTATTTGTTTCAGACTACATGCTAAAGAGGAGGTTTTCCCTTGGAAAGGAACAGATCAAGGGGAAAGCCACTCGGATACCCATGTTTTCTAGGCATGGCACAGGAGGAAGCGTGGACGAGCCCAAAGTCAAAACGCTCAGAGAAGAGTGGAAGACCTGGTTCACCCTTTCCCAGCCACAGTTTTCTATGTATAAAAGTTGGAATAAAGTGGAGATTTTAATCTGCATAATTGCAAATATGGAAGCAGAGGGGGTGGGTGTTGCAGAATAAGCTTCTTGTGCAAGTGAAATTGCTAGCTGACAGGCAGGGAGGGCAGGATAGACACATAATTCGCTTTTGTCTTTTTTCCTTATTAGAAAAAATAAGCAGCAGTGACGTTTCTCTCCCCCTTCAGCCATTTCTTGGGGTGGAGTGTGGTTTTAATGCACTCTTAGGTGAATAGACAGCTGAATGGCTGGGTTTTGCTCCAGAATATTTCTAGAGAGGTGTATGTAAAAAATGGAACATCTGCTTGTCTGGTCATTAGTGTGTGGGATGTGTGGGAAGGCAACCCCCTTTGACCAGCACTTCATTTATAAAAACTAGCCCATAGCTTTGTTCTGCATTTTTCTCACAGAAGCTACAACTTTACAGCTGCCCCAGATCTTTGGATCTTCAGTGCTGGGATGCACAGTGAAATCCCCAACCTTGGGTGAAGAAGAAATAAAGTGTGGGCTGTTGTATTTATGTGGTGCTCCAGCTAAGGCGAACTATAGCTAGTAGCAGCTGTTTTTGCCAAACCTTGCTCTGTTGCCATTGCATTCTCTCCTCTCCAGCTATCAGGTTGATATAAGAATGCTCTTTGGTTTGGGCACCCAATCCTCCTAGATGAATTGAAGGAGACCCGGCCACAGTACAAGGAGCAGGTGCATGCAGGAGCAGCAGCATTTGGTCAAATGGCATGGAGGCATGCCCAACACATTGGCTCAATGAGATGTTTATGCCCAGACAATTGAAAACAAAGGGTTATTAGTATACAACAAACTAGTCCAAAAGTGGCCCCAAGTACAACTAAAGCGTTTCCACGATGTTTAATTCAGTGGAAACTGAATGGGCATAGGAAGAGTTCTGAGCATCTGCTCAGAGTGGAAAGGGACCACAAGGAAGAACATCAACGTGTGCAACCAAGACCGCAATATGCTGATGCTAGAAAGTCCTGGGCTGCTTCCATACTTGATATTTTCAGGACTGCTGGTGAATCAGCAGGTTTAGAAGACTCCAGGCCACCAGATTTGAAGAGAGAAGCGGCAGCCTAACATTTTTACAACTGGAGACCTAATCTTATGGGGCTGGCCTTTAATGGAAGCAGGGAATGGAATAGAAGTTGCACCAAGTTCCATAGAACTGGGGAGAGGAACAAGTGAGATTAGCCTAGCTATGGCAAGGACTGCTGTTTGCTTGTGTGGTGCATGCTGAACTTTGACTAAGGTAGGACACTAGTTGCTGCTTACGGTCAGCTGGGATTGGGGGAGAACAGGGACAGGGGGCTGGACTAGATGACCCTTGGTATCCCTTCCAACGCTACAATTCTATGGAGGAGTAAAAGAGTTTTTAAATTTTTGGTTGACTGTGAAAAAAAATGGCCTTCCGCTATCTATGATTCTACATTTGTCTTAATTTGTCAAGGGGCAAGGCACTTTTCTTGCAGCAAACGTATGTGTGAATATCACATTTGCCTTCCCAAGAACCGGGTACACATGCCCAAGAATCCCAATTGTACAACAAAATCACGCACACAGGTATTTAAGGATGTGCACATACGTTTGCGGCATGTACTGCAGTGTTTTTCAACAGCAAACAAGACTGCTGGGTAAAAGGTGCTGCTCCTGAAAGAAACTAAAAAATATGATGTGGGCTGATATATCTGCTGGAATACCAACAACCTGACTGTTAAAATACAACAGCAACACACACACACAATTTATTCCATGTGAAAAAAGAGCCAGCATTAGCCTGAGCTTGGGGTGCAATTCAAAAGAGAAACAAATATTGATCAGAGGGATTGGTTCTGTAGACAGATGGACAGAGGACTGCCATAGGGCTGCTGCAAAGACCAGACTATCCTTGTATCAAAGTGAAATGCAAGTGTTTGCCCACTTACCAGGATTCTTCTCTTGGGACACCCCCCACCTTGCCGATCCCCACATGACAACAAGAGGAACATTTTTCCACGCTTTTATTTAGCAAAAGAAAAATTAATTATAAAATGAACCAATAAAAAGCCCATGCAGCTGCAGGGATATTTCCCCCACCCCAGCTCCTTAACCCCAGTGGGGGATTTAAAAGTGTAGTTTTCTTTTATTTTTGGGGAGGAGTGGGGGACCGATTCCCTCCAGGCTGCAGTGCAAATATTTACACAGACTCGAAGGATGCGGATGGGGCAGGGAGGAATGGAGGACTTTTTACACTGAAATCTCTACACCCAGGGAATGGAATCATTTACAGCCAATAATCTTAACAAGATGCAATAATAAATTAATGAGTAAGGCACTGCACCCGGAGAGGGCACAACAGGTGGGGTGGGGGTGAGAGGGTGGGGGGTTTGTCAGGTAAGGATTAAAAATATCTGATTGCCATGGTTACCAAAAGAAAACAGAACAAGGGCAAATTCCACCAGCTACCAACAAGGAGTGGGGGGCTAGGGAATGGTCTGGATGATTAAGGGGAGGGTCCACAAACATTTGGGGTGAGGGGTCTCCATTTAGCTGCCAGCTTGAGGGGGGCATTATCTGGCTGCACCCCAACCTTATTGTTCACTCTGAGTTGCTCCTCCCAATTCAGATGCTGAGGAAAGGGTGCTGGTTATTGCTTCCAGGCTGAAGGTAGGGAGGGGGTGGGCACCACAGCCTCTTTCTGAAACCCCAGGATTTCAGCCTTACAGGGCAAGAGGTCACACGTCTCTTGTTGACAGGGAGGTTAAAAATGTCAAGTCTGTCACCCTTGGGGGGCCACAAGTCAAGGCTGGAGGTAGAGTCCTTTTTTCTGATACGTCTATCCTGGATGCGTGCCCCCCCTGCCCACTCTCCCTCCCCCCCCCATCACTCTCAGCTATTTCCAGAAACGAGAGTGATGACTTGTTCAAGCTTCAGCCTCAATTTGTGTTTTCGGCAGGCGGCATCACGTTCCAGCGCTGTCAGGATCTGATGGGTGGACAGGCCATGGGTTGGGAAAACATGAGGGTCCGGAATAAAGGGAAGGAAAGAGAAAGGTGGAAAAAAAAGGTCAGGCGGGACTAAGCCCCAAACTTCCAGGAGCAAAACGGGAATAAGAGATGGGCCCTAGGATGGAGAAGTACCTGGTAAAACTGGGAAAGGGGCAGGAGACAAAGAGAAAGGCTTATGGGGTCTGTCCTGTCACCTGGAATCAGGCAATAGTTTTAAATCAGAGCTTGCCGACGGCGTTCCCATGGGAAGGGCTTCGGCTAGAGCATCTGGCTTGCATGCAGAAGGTCTGAGATTCGGTCCTTGGCATCTCTAGGTAGGGCTGGTAAATATCCACCAAAACATTGCAATGCACCAGAGTTTTTGCTCTTCCTGCTCAGTTCCTGTGAACATTTGCTCAGTCTCTCACCTTGGAATGTGTCCCCTTTAACATGGACACATTTTGTGGGATGCCAGGATTGAACACCCACCCATCCACTCCAAACAGAGGAGAGGGGTGAAGAGCTTGTCTCTATGAGTGAGTGCAGTGGTGACCAACTTTTCCCCACTAATGGGGAGGCATGCCCATGCGATTTTGTGGTTGTTTCTTTTTCCTATGCAGTTGCCATGTTTTGTTGTGCCACCCCCAACAGCAGCTCAGAATTCCATATGTGCTCAGTGGCTCAAAAAGGTTGGCGACCCATGTTTTAAAGAGTGTCATAATGCACTTTCAGAGAGACACGGTTCTTTTGCCCTGCCCACTGCCACTTCTGGTTTCGGAAATAAAAAGCAGGAAGAGCGGACAACACTTTCTTATTGAAGGTGAGAGTGCAAGGAGTGTGCATACAGACACACAAGCAGCAGTTCCTCTCAAAATGCCTTCAGTTCTTGGTGGCGGCAGCAGGGGATCTCTGTTTTCTCCAGCATGCTAGGTAAGGAACAGATTTATGGCATGAAAGCTCCAAACGGGGGAAATGTGTAGGTGAGAGGGATAAACATGGAGCAGAGGTCTCCATTTGTCATTCTACCTTCTCTGGAGTCCTAAGCCAGGTGTGGGAAACCCGTGGACTTTCCAGATGTTGTTGGATTCCAACTCGTCTTCTGGAACCACTGGCCATGCTGACTGGGTCTGATGGGAGCTGGAGTCCACCTACATCTGGAGGGTGTCCAGATTCCCTATCCCTCTCATACACTACCCCCGGCTATTGAGATGTAGGGTGTTCTTAGGAGAGTGTCAAGGGCTAAACAGAAGGGAACAGGATAACCAATAAGGCAGTAGACGGTGGTGCCTTAACTTACTACGGTACCTTAAATTCCTCCCCATGAGCAATTTAATTACAGAGGATCTGCAGTAGGGTCCAAATTAGGCTCTATCCTCATCAGATTTATAGCATAGCTGAATAACAGGTTGAAAACAATGTGAGAAAATTGTGGTGAGAGAGGGGGAAAAACAAATAGGAAGGAAAGAGTTGGGCTGGAGCCTCACCTCATCACGGTACCTCCCCACGTAGCTGTAGAGCTCCCCCAGTGCACCCAGTGTGTTAAATTCGCCTGCGTGCTGCCGTGATTGCTCCACTAGATAGGCATCCATGTCTTGGTCACTGATGGAAGCCATCTTGGTGATATCCCGATAGTACCTGGTAAACATATGCATAGCTTTTGGATTCCTTGGAGAGAAGATTGATCAACACTCCCACGTCAGCAGAGGGTTTCCACACAAACCAAAGTGAATAAATGTGCATGTTTATTGCATTGCAGTCCCTCCTATGAATGGAAGCTATAAATGAAGGCTCCAGATTTTGCCATGTTGAATACAGAGCCATATGGCTCCTCCAGATGACCTAATTAATTAATTAGTTTTATATCCCACTTTTCCTTCTATAGGAGCCAAGGGGGGTATTTACTGAGCATTCATCCTGATTTGCTTGCACAAAGCTTACATGGTGATTAGGCTACAACTGGTGATTATTGAGAATTTGTTCTTTCTTGAATATTTGCGTTTCCCTGCCACTTTCCAAATGGCAAAAATGTTTGGGTTTTTTGTTAGAATTGTATTTATTGCACCAGGATGACAGAGCCCTTTGATCCACTTTGTGCAAACTTAAAAGTTTTGGTACGTATTTGAACCTCTTAGGCCAAATACTTACAGCGTGGAGGCATAGACAACTACATAACCCCTGTTTTATCATGGCTTATATGGTGCAACAGATAACCTTCAAAACGTGAGCTGTGTTCACTTCAACACTGAAGGAACCCATGTGTGGAGGTCAAACTCTGGCTTGGGAGAAGCCATAGCTCTACAGCAAAGCACATGTGCTTTTCACACAGAAGGGCACAGGTTTAATTCCAGGTACCTCCAGCTAAAAGGATTTGCTAGCAGGTGATTAGAAACACATCCTGGTGAAATGATTAACAGGTGGGTATGATTTGGGGAAAATGTGCTTGCGGGCCAAGACTATCCCTCAGTCTAGAGCAGGGGTCAGCAACCTTTTTTAGCTGTTGGCCGGTCCACCGTCCCTCAGACCATGTGGTTGGCCAGACTATATTTTGAAAAAAAAAATATGAATGAATTCCTATGCCCCATAAATAACCCAGAGATGCATTTTAAATAAAAGCACACATTCTACTCATGTAAAAACACGCTTATTCCCGGACTGTCTGTGGGCCAGATTTAGAAGGCGATTGGGCCGCATCCGGCCTCCGGGCCTTAGGTTGCCTACCCCTGGCCTAGAGGTTGATGAACAGGTCCTTGCTTCCTCCAGGAGCACCCTCCATTGCCTAGTCAAGATGAATCAGCTAGTGCTTTAAGGAAACTGGCAATAGATTAGGGAGGTCAGTTTAGAGACAGAAGTGGCAGACTCACTATGCTAGCTTCATTGCAGACCACTGTTGTTTACCGAGGGAGGCAGCGTGGAAATCAGTCTGGTGCAAACACACTGGCAGGAGGGCTGATTTGATTCTGCCAGTGCTTTTGCGCCACACTGCCCTCCCCCACCCCCACCTCTCTCCCTCACTGGTAAGCAACAGCAACCCACCTTCAGGATGCCAGAACAGCAACTCTGCCCCATCCAGTGTGCCGCTTGTGTGTGTGGAACAGCAGCAGTGGTGATTCCTCCTTTCCAAAGATGCTAAGAGAGGCCAAGGTAACAGAGTCCCCCCCACCCTCAAAGACTCCTGCCCTTCCTGACTGTCCTGAACTCGTGGAAAGCCACAGCATTCCTTTTCCAACCTGTTGGAGGATGGCCCTCATCCAAACACCCCCTCATTCAAGGAACCAAGTTTCAGGCAGGATCTTGTTATCCTCGTACAGTAAAGACCTACCAACATTATAATGCCTTGGGATGATGTGCTGAGGTCAATCCCACCTCTGCAGTTGTACAGGCAACACAACTTGATGTGACCCCTCTCTGTAGCTCACCTTTCCACCCAGCCTTTGTAGACAGGGATGTCCTTGGCATAGAGCAGCTTTGTTGAAGGGGAATCCTTGCCCAGGCGGTGCTCAGAGGTGGAGCACGAGTCCATGAAGGTCTGGGCCACCACAGAGAGGCAAGCATCTGTAATGCTGCTTTTGTGGATATCAAAAACAAATTGTGGGTTCTTGATGACGTTCACCCAAAACCTCAAGGGCAGGCTGCAGTGGAAGAAAGGAAGAAAGATGAAGCTTCAAAAGACCCACTGTCACACATGAGAGGCAAAGGGTTAGATAGGGATAGGGCAGTGGTGGTGAGGAAATTACAGAGGTTGAAGCTCAATACTCATGTTTTGTTGAGGGTTTTTCATTTGTTTGTTTTGATACGCTGGGAAAACACAGAGATCAAAGCCAATGGGTTGTATCCTGAGTAGTGCTACGTGAAAGCTCATGTCAGTGCAAGGATTTCTGCACAAAAGAACATTCACCACTAGATCCAAATTGATCTAGGGGTTTCTTCAAACCTCTGGAGCAGATTTGGGAGAGTATAGGGTGCAGGGGCGCTCCTCTGTTATTCTTGTGCAAATGGAGCGAGTGAACTGGATACTGCCCCTTTAAAGGACTCCTACAGCCCATTTCCTGTAGACAGCACTTCCTTGTTTGCCAGACTGTGCTCCACGAAGGTAACATCCCATAGCTGAGAGTCATCATGGCCTTCCTCCATCCCAGTCAAGGGTGCTCCCCAGCCAAAGGAATGCACATGCCAAAGAGTTAACTCTTTGTTGTCAATGGTAACAGAGTCATTTCTACAGCTCTGTAGAATAAATACACACACCAGTTTAGCATCTAGGCAGCTATTCCCAGGTCGGTGCTCTAGGGAGCAGTTGCAGCAATGGGGGAACATTCCCCCTCCACCCATTTATGTACCTTCCCCTGACAGGCTGCACAAACGTAGCTGGAGACTACATCTGCATGGAAACTTCCTCTGCTGCTTAAATTATCTTCTGGTTCTAGGAGATGGTGGTGCAGAAGAGGATGGGAAAGCACCCGGCCCTTCACTTGCCTGGCCTGCCTCTTCCTCCAGCTCTGAAGCTTCCCCTACCTCCTATTCTTGCCTCCTGGCTGGTACAGGTCTCCACAAACCACTGACCCCACCCTCTCCTGAGCCCCACTCCAGCCCCCATTCCCTTGGTGCACACTCATCAGTGTCCTGCCAGCCCCTGACAATCCCTGAAGTAGAGGAATGGAGGATTAGCAAAGTCCTTGGGGTCATGGGAGGTGGGGGAGAGTTGGCTGGCATCAAACACTTAGGGGTCATGAGCACTGGATTCCTTGGGGCGAAAATTTCTTCCTAAAGAAGATTTGTTCAATCAAGGAAGGGTAGGACAGAGCCTGGAAAAATGAATGGCTGAAGGCTGGCCAAGAGCAATACACAAAGCCAATCTGGTAGTAGCTGTGCAAAGATTCCTTAGGGCTAAAAAATCTTTCCCCATCTGCTTAAATATGATATGCCAGCTGTCAGTTACCCACAGCCAGGATAGGCACACTGGCCGCCAGATCCCTACCATTACCGACAAGTGGGAAACACTGGCCAGTGAGGGCTCCAACTGGAGAATAGCCTCTGCCAAAGGTGTCATGGACTTTGAAGAAGCACAAACTCAGGAAGAAAAAGAAAAATGAGCTAAGAGGAAGGCACATTTGGCGAATCCTCAACATGATCAACACCCGCTCAGAAACCTATGTCCCCACTGTGGAAGGATGGGGCTCCACAGTCACTTACGGACTCACTGTTAAGACCACATTCATGGAAGACAATCTTACTCGGCTACAAGTGATCACCAAAGAAGAAGATTTATTACTTTAGGGTACTGGCTGGTGGCCAAAGGGCCAAAGCCAAAGGTCTCACCAGTTGCTTTTCCAGGTATGTCGCACGTCAGGGTCCCCAATCTGCCTTCGCTCTGCCTGCTCATCCAGGAAGTCAAACATGTATTTGATGGGCAGGGGGAGTGCGCTGGCCCGGTGTGCTGTGCTGAACACAGTCTCAAACAGGTCGTCTACAAACTTCTGCAATGTGCCCTGAAGAAGCAGAAGAGAACAATTTCTGGGATGGATGGATGGAGAGAACAACTGCCAACATTTGGAGAACATGGGGAGCACTCCCACGGAAAATAGCACCACGCTTCCATCTTGCAATTGTATACATAATATTCACAAGCACATCTAATCCCTTTTGTTTCCCTAACTATTCTGCTCCAGACACCGTCCCTGATTTTCTTGAACTCTCCTATTGCAGTAGCCTCCCAAATCATCTCTGCCATAGTATTCTTGATTTGGGACACAGTCTCAAATAAGGGCACATCTACACTTCATTGTAAGCCAGTTTTACACGAGTTTAAATGGTTGCCACTTCTCCTGAGGGGACCATTCAATTGGAAGCTTGACACCAATCTCATTTGCAGAATGGATAAGCCTTAAGAGATACAGGCGACGACCATTTTGCGCCAGGGTTCTGTTCCCAGCTCCCATGTGCCGAGCACCATCCGCCCTGCCCCATTCTGCCCCCCCACTCCACCCCCGTTCTTCCCTCTTCACACCTCATCAATCGCGCGCCCTGTAGATGCAGTGCTGGATTTGCATATAAGCTAAACAAGCTGTAGCTGAGGGCCCCACTCTCTTGGGCCCCCCAAAAAAATTAGAAGGAAAAAAACCTACATACAGCAACAGTGGCAAATGGCTTTAGATACCTATTAGGTCCATAAATTACCATATAGAATATATTCAACACAAAAAAACCAACAATTTGTTGTTGTGAGTCGAGGACCTGCCACCCGCTTAGGGATAAATAAGACACAAAGACACATGTATTTTAGGTTAATGGGGTAAATAAGGCCACAGCTTTGTTGGTTACAGCATGTGAGTGGTATTGGCTTAGGCATTGGATCAAACAATCTATACATGACTCCACCCTGCTCAGCGGGGAGTCATTCAAGGGTTAACAACCAGTGGGAGGAGCTTGTTGATGCAAATACAACTGGAAGCTTCCCCTTTCCCGGGGTAGTGCCATGGCCCTAGCCACCAGTAGGGCATAGGACAGGATCCACGACCGCCAGATCCCTTTAATGGAATCCCCAAAAGGTGAGGGGTAGGTGATGGCCACAACCTGCCCTCCAACACACCACACATATTCCAATGCCTAACTGCCAATACCCGAAAAGTTGTGACCATTTGCTACGAGGTAGGTGAAAAACCAAGAGGCTGGAGCCAATTAGCCAAATGGATAAAAATTCCTACCAGGCTTCTTGGCCAACCAAGGCAACCAACCAAGGTCCATAGCCATGTCAAAAGCGTAGAGATGACCTAAAGGGAGGGTGGGCGGGTGATCCGTCAAATTCTGGAAGCAAAGTGAGGGTGCAGCCCTGCCGCGGCTGCTTAAGTGTGGCTAGACACTGCCCCCAAGCCAGGCCAGTTGGCTGGCTGAAGGGGCGCGGGAGCTGGAAAGTGGATGCAGGGGGCTGAAACGCCCCACTGTCAACATAGGAACTGGGTCCCACTCACAACCCCTCCCCTCGGGTAGGAGGAGAGGTCTTGACAAAGGACAGCTGGACATATAAAGGGCCCCGTTACCTTCAGTAGCTTAGGGCCTCATCAAACCTAAATCTGGCCCTGTGTAGATGCGCCTAAAATGGTAGCTGCCTGTATTTGAAAGACTGTGCAAGGCAACTATTATTATAATGTGAGCAGATGATGTATTGCTGAGAGACAGTCATTGCTAGGGGGGAATTATTATTTGCCTCTTTATGTTCTTCATTCTGAGTAATATTTTTTGTTGTAATCTAACAAAATCAATGAAAATATTTTTTAAAATAAGAATTATGCAAGCAGACCTGCAGAGCTGAAGGGACGCACCCTCCGCCCTCTAACACAAGCCAGGGGAACAAGGGTCACTTGGAGGTTGCATCTTCTGGCTCCCAGGAAAAACATGACGAAGGGGAGACAACTTGGCCCCATCCATTGGCCAGTGAAGAAGCAGCTGCTCCAGTGCTTTTCTCTTCCCTCCTCATTCCTTTTCCTTTTGTATCTATTCAATTGTGAGCCTGCAGCCAGTGACTCTCTTATCTTTTAACATAGGTACAACTTATGGAAATCTTAGGCACTGTGTTTGTTTTTATTATAAATAAAAGGGTACTGATCGCCAGTTTAAAAAGGAAAGTGTACACAATAGTAGTATTACTACCACTTAGAAATTTTGATAATTAAGTGGTCTATAAATCATGTTCATTAAATTACAACTGGCATTTGTATTTGTACTTTATCTCAATAATCCCTGTAATAACTATGTAAAGTTGTAACAACATATCCCCATTTTGCAGATGTGAGGACAGTGACTTACCTTACACCATTAAATAAATTCATGGTGGAGACAAGATCTGAACTGAGGACCTCCTGGTTTAGTGTTTCTTATTACCATAAAAAGATCAACACCCAACTCCCTTTTTAAAGGAAGCCAGAGCAATGAAATTAAATCACAACAATAAAACCGTGTCAGCCCACTCTTAGCCACTACACCAGAGCAGCACCACAAAATGCTACTAAATGTATTACAGTCAAATACTGGATTAAAGTAACATGATTAGAATAGAATGAGCAGAATGGTAGAATACAAACAAAAATCACATGTGTATGCACATCACATTACACAAACAATCTCACACAACTCAGACCCCAAATGACACATTCTCTGCATTCCTTCCTCACTGTCAGGCAATGTTTTGGTGACAGTGGCATCACATGCCATGTCCATAAAGTATCTGCGCTGTGCTTAGATGTCAGCTGGCAGACACTGGAAGCTGCAGTGAGTTCGCCACAAGGCCCAGGCCAGAGGCACCAATGATCACACCCCTGCAATCCAGACAGGCTGTGGTGCAAAGCGTGCCCTGCCCCAGGAGACGAGTTCAGGCCACCTCTGTGAAGGGTTGACCGCTGTCGGAACACAGGAAGCTGCCTTGTGCAGAGTCAGACTATGGATCCATCTAGTTCAGTATTGTTTACACTAACTGGCAGCAGCTCTCCAGGGTTTCAGGCAGGGGTCTCCCAGTCAGACATGAAGATGCCAGTGGGGACTGGACCTGGGACCTTTCGTATGCAAAGCAGAGGCGGTGCCACTAAGCTACAGTCCTTTTCCAAACTAAACAAGGCCAGAAACATGAAGAGGACTGTGGGGAAATGTCTCCCCCAAGACAGTGTGAGATCTACAGAATTTGCCCTAGGAGGCAAAGGCTGCACTGCTGCCTTCTGCTGGCTGCTGTAGAAAGGTCTGCCCTCCTTGTCTGCCCCAGGAAGAGGAAAGCAAGGAGCAACCAGGGAGGGACAAAGGGAGAAACTCTCCTTGTGTCATCCCACTGCCGCTGGGCTCCTCACCTTTCTCTTCCTGGGGTGAGCAAGGAGGTGCCCCTTTTACAGCCAGCCTCCTCCTCCTAGAAGTGGTGAGTAAGCTGCAACTGGCCATAGAACAGCTGCCCCTCAAGCACACATTCAGTGACTCCTTGCATTCCTGGCTATGCTTTACTTATTGGAAGAGATGGTTGGTTGGAATGCAACGACTTGCCATGCAAGTGCCCGGATGGCTGTTTTGGATGCTGTTTTGTGGGCCCCCTGTACCTGCTGCCTGGAGCACGTGCCCCCTCTCGCCTCACTCTTAACCTGGGCCCGCTCCAATAGGGCTTTGTTGAAGACTAGAACTACAGAGATCTGTAGGTTATATAATGAAAGGTTGGAAGAAGAAGCTCAATGCGTTTCATATACCAAAGAGAAAATACCAACAAGGCAGAGGAAAATAGAGTGATAATTCTTCAATTGTTAAAAAGGATATCAGGGAGAACTGCAATGAGGTTCTTTTAAAACAAAAACAGGAACAGGAAGTCACTTTTAGGTTAAGCACACAAAAAATATCTTTTCCTTGGCAGTTTTCAAGGAAAAATGTCTGCCGCGGATTGATTTACAGATTGGTACAGAATCTTCTGCCTGCCTGGTTTGGGCAAGGAGCTTTTAAAACTAGCCAAGCCCCCATTTCAGTGATTCAGTTCCTTTCATGACATACCTTGGTGGCAAGGAGCCTTGTGAGGTAGATCTCAGACACCATCTTGCTCCCTCGTTCCCCCTCCTTAGGGTCTCCAAGATGCTCGTGGTTCTTGACTAAATGCCAGAGACGGGTACCTGAATCTTGATCCGGAGTGAGGATGGGGGCTCGTGAGCGCAAGCTCTCTGGACTGCTAGAGGTGCGGAGCAAACTCTCTGTGGAAGATTGGGGGGGGGGGGGACGAGCAAGAACCTCTTATGAGCTTTGCCCATGTCAGCCCTCAAGACCAACCCTCAAGAGCCTGGGTCCCATGCACCTCCTTTCAATCTTTGCTCTACACCAGAAGCTCACCTGAAGGACAGGTTTGCATTTATTCAGCCTTGAAGAGTGCCTGCACCCAAGCAGGTACTGGTAATACCAAAACCACCAGGCTCCATAGGCCAAGTGAACCACTCCCCGTTCCCCTCCAACCACAAAGCCACAGAGTGGGAGTGGCAGTAAAATTACATGCATTCCAGGCTTGGAATAGCAAACATAATTACAGCCAGGCCAGGGTGGTGCTGGAAGAAAGCTTAGGGATAAGAAGTTTGGACGTGGCAATAGCCCTCCTTGAAAGGCCACCTGGCTTAGGTGATAATAGGGCAAGCCACAAAAGGCCAGAGGCTTGCTGTGTCACACAGTAAGAAAGGACACTTCACTTGTGAAGGACAAATCTTCTTACGCTCCAGTTCACATTGTATACAGCAGGGAACCAGGTCACATAGATGGACAACAGAAAAATGCTGCCTGCACAAGGTTGCATTCTCGGCTCAGGAGGGCTCAGGTGAAACACTGACAGATGGCATTGCAAAAGAGCCAACAGGTCAGGAAAGAGCTGTGACCAGCTCTATGGACTCTGAGAACAAGGCCAAGGACACAGCACCCCTGTGTGCATTAATTCCAGCTTCGTGGACCTGTGCATGTGCTGTGATTCAGCAGGAATGAAGAGGAAGCACAAAACAGGCAACACGATGTGCAGAATTCAGCATCAGCTTTTAATAATAATTATATTGAGGAAGTGCGGCTGAATAAGAGTTCCAGCGGTTGAGGGCAGTGACTAAACCCATGGCTAACAATGAGAAATTATGAAAAATGGAAGAAGTATGTAAATTTGCATAAATTAGTGTATATAGACTGAATAATCCAAAATATGGATTGTCTGAGCACAGAATTAATTTGGGGGGGGGCAGGACAGGAGGTTGAAGATTCTTGTATAGAGTGTACAGAAGGATGGAAGATGCATTTTCATCCTCTCAAACTTTAGGGGCAATGGGGTGGGGGGTGGGGAGCTGAATTCGACTCCACCACCACCCAAAAAACACAGCATAACTTTGCACAACATTGTGTTACCTTGTCAGAGAGAGAAAGGCAGGAGCCATTGGTCACTTAGAGCAGCCAAGCATTAGAGGGAATGGGGAGTGTTGAGCAGGATGTGTCATTCCTTACCATAGCGGCTCAGCGAGTGGGTGAAAGTGAAAGAGCTGGCTATATTGTAGCCCGATGCCTGCCTAGGAACCAGCGCCACTGCAGAGCCATCTGCTACCTGCACATTGAATGGCAGGGATGGCAGGGGTGGGACAGGTAAAGATGGGGTTAAAAGGGGGGGGGGGGAGAGAACAAAAATTGACATAATAATAATAATAATAATAATAATAATAATAATAATACATTTGCAATTTTCAATGCATTTTACCTGCATTATCTTTGTAACAGCCTTGTAAAGTAGGCCAATATTATTATTATATGGGAGGGTGTGCAAGCATATGTGTTTGTGAACCTGAGAGAACAGTGGCTTGGCTTAAGTGGCCAACATAGTGAATTTATGATGGAGACAAGATTTGAACAGGGATCTTCCTGCCTTGAAGTCTTAAGCCATTATGCTACAATCAGCTTCTTTCTACCTCAGCACACAAGAAGAGAGCTAGGATAATCCCCCAGAATACAGTTTGTCACTGAAGCTTCCAAACAGTACGGAGTATGACTCCTTGAGCTGTATTCTTGAGGTAATCCAGTGTTCTTTGCTTGGTCAAGACACTCACATGCACGGCCCCCTCTTCCACCCCCCTCGCAACCTGCTCTACTCCGCTCCTCAAATCTTCTATGGCGTGCAAAGCATTATTTATTTCCTGATTCCTGCCAGAAATATTCCTAAGGAATACAGAACAGCCCTCACACCTTGTACTGCTCGGAAGCGGCTTGCTCCCAAACTCTACCGCGTTTTCCCATTTTCCCCAGGCTATGGTAAACATATTAGGAATCCAGGGTAGTTCATCTAGATGGCCCTGAGCTGGGTGGAAGGGAAACCGGTTACCTGATAATGCCCAAGTGTATTGAGCCGCTTCCAGTCTCCTTCAATCTTGCTTGTGGCATCCTCATCCTGCAGAATGGTTCGTCCCCCACTGCCTTGACACCATTCTGGGGTGAAAAAGGAGGTCAATGAGGAGAGAGCTGGCTTGGTATTATCTCTCCCAGGCTCCCCCCCCCAAATTTTGTTACAACTTAAGCCAGGGATGGGGAGCCTGTGGCCCTCCAGATGTTGTTGTTACTGAAATTCCCATCAGCCCCAGTCAGCATGGCCTGTGGTTAGGGATAACGGGACCTACAGTCAAAGAGCATCTGCTGGAACCAAGGTTCTCCACCCCTAGCCTAAGCCCAGTGGCTAAAAACCAAGGTGTCCATCCATGCTCCCAGCCCCACCTGCTTTCTCCCATGTTCCTGCCTTCATACCCAGCTCCATGTCTTCGGCACGTGGGCGTTGGGAATAGGGCACCCCACGGTACACAGCGTCCAGCAGCTTCTCCTTCACTTGCGTCACTGAGTCACAGTTTAATACCTTGACAGGCACAGCAGGGCCCCCAGGGGGCTCAGGAGGGGTACATAACAGAGTCTGGAAACAGAGAAAAAACCTGCTAACGTTGCAATCATCACAGTTTCAAGGCTCATGCATCCCTAGTTACATTTGCCCAGGGTCATACCTAGGCAGTTTTTCAGCCCTGGTCATTCCTCACATCCCCAACGACCATTTGTGAGCAACTGCAGTTCCAGCATTGCTGCATTTGGGGTCAGTCCAATGTATGAAATTGGAGATATTTTGATAACCTTTTTATTGCCAAACTAACATGGAGGTCCAAGAGCAGGTTGCCTAATCTACGCCAGGATGGAAACAGGGGAAGGCCAATTCTTTTCGCGGTCAGCCAAAAGTAAAAAACAAACAAACCAAACTTTTATCCCTACATAGAACTGTAGGAATGGACCCCTGTTTTGCCCCTCCCCCAGCTGCCTGTAAGCAGAACCTAGTGCCTCACCTTAGCCAAAGTCCAGCATGCACCACACAGGCACACAGCAGTCTTTGGCATCACTGGGCTAATCTCACCCTTCCCTGTTCCTCTCTCCAGCTCTATGGAACTTTGTGGAACTTTCTTCCTTTAAGGCAGCCCCATTTGAGGCTTAAGTAGGTCAGCCCCATAAAGTTATGTTTCCTGCCATTAAAATGTTAGGTAAAGGGAACCCCTGACCATTAGGTCCAGTCGTGGCCGACTCTGGGGTTGCGGCACTCATCTCGGCTTTATTGGCCGAGGGAGCCAGCGTACAGCTTCCGGGTCATGTGGCCAGCATGACTAAACTAAGCCGCTTCTGGCGAACCAGAGCAGCACACGGAAACGCCACTTACCTTCCTGCTGGAGCGGTACCTATTTATCTACTTGCACTTTGACGTGCTTTCGAACTTCTAGGTTGGCAGGAGCAGGGACTGAGCAATGGGAGCTCACCCCATCGTGGGGATCTGAACCGCCGACCTTCTGATCGGCAAGTCCTAGGCTCTGTGGTTTAACCCACAGCGCCACCCCGCGTCCCTATTAAAATGTTAGGCTGCTGCTTATCTCTTCAAATTTGGTGGCCTGGAGTCCTCTAAACCACCAAGACTGCAAGCCAGACTGGCCTATGCAACAACAACCCCCCGCCCACAGAGCAAACTAAACTGTTCTCTCCCCAGACTACGAAGAGGCGTGGCACAGCCACCAGCATCCTCACCAAGGTCTTGTAATCTATTTGCTGGCGAATGAGCTTGTCCTCGCTCAGCGAGTAGCGAGCCTCGCCTGTGATGGAATCTATGGGTCCTTTCTCCATCTGCTGCTTGATGGCACAGAATAGCATAAATAGCGGCTCCCCAGCACATTCCTGGGGTGGGGAAGAAGAGAGAGGTTCATAGGCAAGGAACATAGGAAGCTCCCTTATCCCAGGGTCAGATTATTATCCATCTACTTTGGCATCAGGGCCTCTGGCAGAGAAAGGTGCTCTCCATCACCCAGGAGGCAAGGGGTCCAGCAGTAGGCATAGGCAGTGACAGACGCAACCACAGCCAGTGAGAGGCAGAGCCGACACATTTGAGTTCCTCCTTACTCCCATTCCTCCTCCCTGCTGAATAAGGAGGTGGCAGGCGGCAGGCAGGGCTACACACTCCTCGACCGGTTGTAAGTAAGGAGGGCAGGCAGCAGGGCCAACCAAGGTGGTAGGGATGCGAATTGCTTGGCCTAATGGACCAGCCATGGCTGCCATCCCCTGCTACCTGGTCATTTTTCAAACTACAGATCCTAGAGATTGGACATGGAAGCTGATGCATGCAAAACATTTCCTTCCCTATCCACATAACTCCCATTCCCAACTCCCTATCCCCAGGACAAAGACCATGGGTAGAAAATTCTGGATCTTTGGCCTCTAGTTTCCCTCAGCCCCCTTTAGATTCCTGCTCTCTGCCAGAATAAGGGCCAGGACCCAGATGTCAGAGGCCCCGTTCCATCTCTCTCACTTCTCTCTCTCCCCCTGCCTGCCCCCCTCTCTTTCGCTTGCATGCACTCACCTTGAGGAACCTGTGCAACAGGAAAGTAAACCAATTTGTCAACATCTTCTCAGCTACGGACTCCGTCCTGGGAAAACAGAAAAAGAGAGAGCACAGACAGCTGAGTTCCCCACATGTGGGAGGTGGAGGGAATCCTCAGTGCCCCCCCCCCACAGCTGTGAAGAGAAATACGCATAAATCTGGGAACCCCTTTGCCATGTCACAGGGACTAGAAACTTGACCTCCCTACTTCCTCTGCCCCAACAATGTTCACTCCAACAAATGGGATGCTGCTGCCCCCAGCCCCTGGAATTACAGGGACATTTGGAGGGGAAGGCAGAGACACACAGCATCAATTCAGTCCACCAGACTGGAAAGATGGGGAGAAATTCAGCAGAGAGCAGCACAGAAGTTTGCATGTTAAGAGGTGGAACATGGCAGGGCTAGCAGGGGCTGAGGACCCATAGCAGCTCTGTGTGGAAGTGCTGCAGAGGGGCAAATGTAGCTGACTGTACCAGCACGATGCTGATACGTGGTTCCCAGCCTTAACGGGGTCTGGCAATCTTTTGTTTAGAAGATGGGGAGGCAATTGAGGGTGTTATGGCACTTGTTTGGTGGCAATGTGAGGGTTAAAGGCTTATGGCATTAAGTGGTGGGGAGGAGCAAAGAAGGCCTCTCACCGGCGGAGCAAGAGCTTGGGGTGCGCACGGTTCTGCAGGTTCTTTTCAATGAGGTCTGCCAGCAGCTGCTTCAGCACACCAGTAGCATAGTCCAGCCTGCCTTGCAGAGCCACCATAGTCAGGGAAGCAACAGCCCCCCGGTCCCGCATGGAGAAGCCACGCTGTCCCTCCAGGGTGTGGATGAAGGTCAACAGGAAGGGCCGCGTGTGCAGCAGCTGCCCGAAGAGGCGGAGGCCTTTCTCTGTGCTCGGTGGCGTCTGTGGAGGGCAAGAGAAGCGAGAGAGACACACCCCTTGAGCTAGCCAGGACACCTGGAAAATGGTCATGCACATTAAAAACATTCCCATGGAGGGTCCTGAAACTTTGCACATGTCTTTGAGATGCTGCTGCTCACAAGATGGCCACTGAGAGAGGAATGTTGTCATCTGCACTATTGACTCTTGTCTCTTCTGCATAAGAGCATTAAAAGAATAGGAACATCCTTTGCTGCTAGATCAGAGCAAGGACCCACCTAGACCAGTTTCTTGTTTCCAACAGCAATGAGATAGGTGTCTTTGGGGGCTGACAGGCAGAAGACCCTTGCTGGATGAGGCCAAAGGCCTCATCATAGTACAGCGTCCTGGTCTCACAATGGCCAACCATGTGCCTATAAGGAAGGCCAGAGGCATGACCCGAGTGCAACTGCACTCTGCCCACTTGTGACTGATTCCCAGCAACCCATCTACAGAGGCACACCTGCTTCCGATTGATAAGGCAGGACATAGACATTATGGTTAGTGGCCATTGATAGCCTATCCTCCATTAATTTGTCTAAGCGAGGCCAAACAAGTAGTTCAAGAACATGTACCTCAATGGAGGAAATACCAAAGTGGGGCAGGGGACTGACCTGCACCCAAAAGCTAGAAGGCCAAGACTTCAACATGCAAGAACCCCACCACCATGGACTTGGTGGTTCCTCCATGACTTGGTTTGTGTCATATGGAGATCACAAAACACCAGCTTCTGATCTCCCTTTTCTGCCACCTGTAAAGCAAAAACCTTTGCCAGGTCCCTGTCTCTCCCCCTGCATTGCAACTTACACTGGTCTCCTGCAGCGCTGGGTGCTCATCCACCCCTGGAAAAAGCACACGCCTTGCATAGGTCCGATAGTCCAGGAAAGGGATCTTCACACCATCCATGTTGTTTGTCAGCTCGTTAATATCTGTCTGCAGCTCAGCAAAAGCTGAAGAAGGTGGAAGATGGTCAAAAGTGTTGGAGACCATGCATAACGGGCAACCTTCTCCACTGTAATCCCCCCCCCCAAAAAACCCCACCCCTAGGCTTTTGAAACCTAAGGGAGCCAAAGAATTTAAAGACACCTGGGTTCCTAGGGTTCTCCAGAAGCTGCCACATTTCTCATTAAGGACCATTCATGGCAAGTGCCTTTTCTCTGAGCCCACCAAGCTGTATCAAGCACAACCTTCTCAACATTTCACACAAAGGAATGCTTTTGTGGATTTTTGACACATATTCACACCAGAAATTACTGCCTAAGATGACTGCACTCTTATTGCTGAAGGTTCTTCTCTTTCTGCTCTTTGTTCTAAACTGTTTTCTAAGGCAGGGAATGTGTGTCTATTGGGACAGATAGTCATGGTGTGCAGTAGTGGGAAAATGGGGGGGCGGGAATGGTACCTTGGCATTTTGTGCCTATGCCCATGTCTTTGCCATCTAGAGTTTAGGCGGACCTTCTCTGCCCTTCTTGCCCAGCCACCCCCAGAGAAACACCAGAGATTTAATTTCGAGACACCCAAGGAGGGGCTGAAACCTAAATTCTGTGAATTAATACGTTAACAGAAAACTCCCAACACTCAACTATTTCACAAAATGGGAACAAAATAGGGATGGTTGTGGGATAAACTGACAACCAAAGACTTTTGCTACCTATAAACCAAATACATTTTGTTACATGAAGCAGAACGGCAAATCCCACCCCCAATCATGGCCATCTTGAAGCTGGCCAAGTTATTCTGGCAAATGAGACAGAAAATCCCACAAGCATCTCTCCTTGCGAGTGGAGATACTATCAGAAATACCTTCAATAACTCCTGGGTTCCTGTCCCTTCATGACACCCAGAATTAGCTGTCTGATGCAGCCATCCCACTCTCCTGAATGGTTGGGCTGGCCTTGTCGCAGTGTTACAGGAACTGGTGACTGCCACAAACTATTTGCTGTGAAAAGAATATGGAGCCCATAATGGCTGCACATCTTTCCAATCTACAAAAGGAACTATTCCATGCCCTGGGAACCAGTCCTGATGCATCCCTCCCCAGCGGGAGCTGGACTTCCACACTCCATCTTGGAGGCTACAACTAGAGAAGGCACCTTTGTGCCCAAAGACCTACATTGGCACCAGTCGCCTCCTTAGAGAGGAGATGCCAAAGATTACATTAACACGTTCCAGCAACAACTACCAACCTTGGGCCCAAAAGGCAATGTTGCTGCCCCCTACATTCACGTCCCTTTATTTCCCAGCCCCCTAAATACCTTCCTTGCACTCCAGGGCCACGCGAGACTCCAAGTTGTCCATCTGCAGCTGCAACCGCTTCAGAGTACGGTCAGCGTCCCGAGTCTTCCGCTTGTAGGCCACCAGCACCCCAATGATAGCGCCCAGAAGCAGACTTCCTCCTGCACCTAACCCAACAAGAGCCGGCAAAGGCAGGGCTGTCTCAGGGTAAATGTGTAAGGTCCCAGGGGAGAACGAGAGACCCCCCACCAGGATCTACAAAAAGAAGAGCAAGAGATTAAAGCCAGGTCACACAGGAGAAGCACCCCTGCTGCATCAGGCCAAGGGCCTATTAATACAGTCCACCATCACTAAGACAACAGCTCTCCCATCCCCTTGTACATTTAACTAACTGGCATCTGCTGTTCAGGATATGTGCTGTCTCTGAAAACAATGAGGTCCAGCAGCTTAGCTCAGGGGAACAGCCCTCAAATGCACATAGGGCATATCTTTTTGGACATCAGGACTTGTTCTTGGAACATTGTTGACCTTTTTGTTGGTGGCAAGGGGAAAAAAGGAGAATTCCGAGATGCCAAAATCCAGGTTTGGGGTAAGTACTATTTGGTGAGAGAACCCTAGCATATCCCACACTCTTCAACCTAGATGTATGGCGTGCTCTGTTCTGCAATTTTTTTCTTTTAGTTGGGCAGGATGGGCAGGTCTACCCACCAGCTGTGTACCTACACTTGCCGGGGAGGGGCGGGGATGACATTCCTCAGGCTAACACATGCATACTACTATGTCACATCACCAGGACAAATCACTCACTGGACAACCCCTTACATGTCCATAGCATTGGCAGTTCTCCCTGGAATGGGCAGACTGGTCCCATCTGCTCCACATCCCCCCTTCCCTCCCTGGCTTCCAATGATAGGTGTACCGTAACTGGCTGTTCCCCGGTTTGGCTTGGTGAGTCACACAGCAGTTGGGTCTCTGAGACGGTCAGGATGCAGGGCTCTCCGCCGATTAGGACTGTATAGTTGAGTCGTGCGCTGCCCGATACTGCTGGGATCAGGTTCCTGCCCTGAAAGACACAGGAATATGAGTGAAGATATGGGAGCATTCTGTCACAGGACCCTGAATCTAGGCATGGAGAAGAGTCTCTTGAGTCCAAGCCCAGGGCTCTCAAAGTGCAAATTGGGTACCCACTCTGCACAAAGTCCATTCAACATAGCACCAAAAAGCACATTCATTCTCTGCAGCCAGTACAGAATTGTATATTTCTCTTATCCATGGAGAAAGGCAAGGATCTAAAACTAAATTCCTTAATCATTGGGAATCCTCCTCAGACCATCTCAACCAGATTTCACCAAACAAGTCCTATATTTACTCACACCTACTTTGCTGTTATAAGGTCTAGAAAAAAGTTTTTAAAATATATATGAAAGAAAACTAAATTCTCAATTTCTGATCGAATTCTGTACAGTGGTACCTCGGGTTACATATGCTTCAGGTTACAGACTCCACTAACCCAGAAATATAGTACCTCGGGTTAAGAACTTTGCTTTGGGATGAGAACAGAAATCGTACAGCGGCAGCAGGAGGCCCCATTAGCTAAAGTGGTGCTTCAGGTTAAGAACAGTTTCAGGTTAATAATGGACCTCCAGAACGAATTAAGTACTTAACCTGAGGTACCAATGTATTTGAATGCCACAACCATAAAATAGGCACTCCTTTCTTTTTTGGAATGCTTATCTCTAACCAAAAGGTAAAAAGCTACATCATGCTGGACAAAATAATTCTGTCATGGTTTTTATTCAGTAGGCTTTGAGCAGGCTATCATTTGATTGGCTTGAGGGTTTCAACCATTAACGTTTTAAAAGCCCTGACACAAACTGCTTCAGTACCTTGAGGACTACATGGGATCCAGGCTTAATCTCCAGGATGCCGCTGGGACCAAACGGCTCAAAGCTGGGGTCAGGGTAGTAGGTAAAGGCTGAGCGGTTCAAGGTACGTGCGGCTGCCACATCATCCAAGAGGAAGCCAAACTCGTCAGGGTGAGCACCTGCAAGGGGCAGGGCCTGCTCCCCAGGTATGATGCCAGGGGCCTTGCACAACATCACCGAGTCATTCAGTACCTGGCAACTCTGCAAGGAAGGAAAAACAGACACCCCACAACTGAGGGGGAACAAAGAATAATCCGCTACACTTGGCTTCTGACCTTCAACACCCAACCGCGCATACCTACTCTGCTGTCTCAAAGACAAGCAGTCCTTACTTCTGACATGCAGAGTCTTGGCTTTCACAATTAGCTCAAAAAGTATGTTGCCTTTTAAGGGCTTGGAAGGGAGGACTATTCCCTCCCTCCCTCCCAGAATGCTTTGGGCCTCCTAATCTTTATCTTGGATTCAAGACAGAGACAGATATGTTTAAGAACCATTTCATGGTTTTACTTACAATTTTATGGTTTACATTTTATGGTTTTTACTTACAGAGTCTTGGGAGTGGAAATACATGATTAAGAAAATATATATCACATTATGGAGTTTCCTTCTGAACTTCACCATCCAGAATGAAAGTGGGAGATCATATGTCTGAATAGTTCCTTAAGCTACAGACCTTCTCTCAGACGGTGGAGGGAGAATGTGCAGTGAGTTTATATACAGTCAACTCGCAACTGGTGTGCATTCAACTTATGCAATCACAGCTTTACACACTTGGCGGCTGGCCAGCTACAATCACACAAATTTAATGCACAAAAGATGGACAGTTTAAAAGCGGAAGTGAAAACCTGGCAAAAGTTTGAAGTTAAGAACTACAGGTGCAATGGACATTCTGCTCTTGAACTCCAGGGTATGGAGGACTGATCTGTAGATCAACAAACATGTTTTAAGCCAAGTGATAGTACTGGTTGATACACAATATGGGTGAGTGGTATATTGTTTCTTAGAGCAGAGTAGCTAACCTGATGGTGCAAATCCCTTCTCTCTCCCTCCCTCTCTCCTCTATGTCTGTCAATTGCCTCTTTTTTGCTGCACGCTCAGTCTGCATCAGTTTAGCCCACTCCACAGAAGACTCACATTGATGGTTTCTATTCCCCCATAGGCAGCTCGAACCCGGGGCTCCTGGATCGTCAGCAGGTGGGTCCCACTCACTGTGAGACTGGTACTACCACTGTAGAGTGGGGGTAAGAAAAGACAGAGGGGGAGGTAAATGGATTCAGCCCACAGACACTGTGGTGGTGCAGATGATAAAGAGAAGACCTTGCCAAAGAAAGGGAAATTCATGACTTTGGTAAGACCCCATTCTCATAATGGCACCCACCAGGCATGCGGCAATGGCAAGGAGACCAGGGATACAGTTGCATGGAGAAGACCAGGTATGCTCAGAATGTCACAGGTGCCTTCCTATGCAGATGAGCCAAGGGAAGTTCACACAGGATCAAAGCTAGTGCGCTCCCTATGTGTGTTCCACCTCCCTTTCCAAAACTCAATTTCCCCAGTGTTCACCATTAGCCTTGAGCATAGAAGTCAACTCCTAGGGGCTGAGGTCCCTTTGACCCCTCCCCAAAAAATATACAGTTCGTAAAATTAAAAACATGCATGCATATATACTAATAAATCAGTATCTCTTTTTGGCTTAACTCCACTGCCTGTAAATGTTATCCTCTCCATGCTTTTAAATTTGGAAGATGTTTCTATAGTACAGGAATATAATTTTTAGTACAGGCATCACCCCACTTATGTGGTGGTTAAGTCCCCCCCCCCCCCCCCACATAAGTGAATATTGCATGAGTGAGGAGCGCCCTCTAAAAAGCCTTGGAATACCTGTTTGTTCCAGCTCTCCAGCTCTCTCTCCCCACAACTTTCTCCAGCTAGAATTGAAGCCCTGGGACCAGCTGGGATGATGCCTGGGTAAGTGGCGGCTGCAGCGGCTGCTGTGCTACCCCATGCGTCAGCTATTAGGCAGGGAGGCTGAGCAGCTTAAACAAAGCCCCACTGTGCCTCTGGTCTCTTTGGGGCTTCCTCTGCTCTCACTGACGTCCTCTTCAAGCTACTAGAAGGGTCTTCTCATGAGCCATGAGGACTCTCCAGCTCTCTCCTGCCATTTCCTGGTTTGAATCTATCTATTTCCCAGCACCACACATATACACGGTTGTGTGTGATTCAATCATGTGTATGTAGGGGATAGGGCAGGGCGATATATTGATATATCGTCCAATACCGGTTTCTAGATCACATCCCAATAACTGTCTAAAAATAATTGACATGGCAATGCGTCATGAATCACAGTTTGTGTGAGTCTTCAATGTGGATTTATCTGGAAGCAGCTGGGAGAAAGCATGGTTTCATGAAGCCACTGATGCTGAGACGCTGACTTCCCTCACAGACGCCACGAAATAAAAAAACAAAAACCCACCACATTGCCCTGTGTTCTTCAAGCCTCTTTCCTTCCTTGCTCCCTTCTGTGTGTGTGTACGCCTGATTTGCTTCCTGCAAGCCTGATCTCCATGCTTCTTTGCTCACTGGCACACCCAATCTCCATAGAATAGAATCATAGAATCATAGAATCATAGAGTTGGAAGAGACCACAAGGGCCATCGAGTCCAACCTCCTGCCAAGCAGGAAACACCATCAGAGTACTCCTGACATATGGTTGTCAAGCCTCTGCTTAAAGACCTCCAAAGAAGGAGACTCCACCACACTCCTTGGCAGCAAATTCCACTGTCGAACAGCTCTTACTGTCAGGAAGTTCTTCCTAATGTTTAGGTGGAATCTTCTTTCTTGTAGTTTGGATCCATTGCTCCGTGTCCGCTTCTCTGGAGCAGCAGAAAACAACCTTTCTCCCTCCTCTATGTGACATCCTTTTATATATTTGAACATGGCTATCATATCACCCCTTAACCTCCTCTTCTCCAGGCTAAACATGTCCAGCTCCTTAGCCGTTCCTCATAAGGCATCGTTTCCAGGCCTTTGACCATTTTGGTTGCTCTCCTCTGGACACGTTCCAGTTTGTCAGTGTCCTTCTTGAACTGTGGTGCCCAGAACTGGACACAGTACTCCAGGTGAGGTCTGACCAGAGCAGAATACAGTGGCACTATTACTTCCCTTGATCTAGATGCTATACTCCTATTGATGCAGCCCAGAATTGCATTGGCTTTTTAGCTGCCGCGTCACACTGTTGGCTCATGTCAAGTTTGTGGTCAACCAAGACTCCTAGATCCTTTTCACATGTACTGCTCTCAAGCCAGGTGTCCCCATCTTGTATTTGTGCCTCTCATTTTTTTTGCCCAAGTGCAATACTTTACATTTCTCCCTGTTAAAATTCATCTTGTTTGTTTTGGCCCAGTTCTCTAATCTGTCAAGGTCCTTTTGAAGTGTGATGTTCCTTTGCCCAGCCACACACCCGATCTGCACCCCCCCAACCTGCATGATCTCCACAGACTGCTCCTTCACCCAACCTTCACCCCCCTACATAGTTCCAAGTTTCAAAAATCATGATATATCACTAAATTGTGGTGTTTAGCTGGTGATATATCACAATGTTGAAAACCAGGTATCGCCCAACCCTAGTGGGGGGAATGCCTGTATTAGCAATATTGTCCTTGGAACAGGGTAAGGTGTGCATGTCTCTAAATATCTGTCTATCTATTGGAATCTAAACAAATTGCTGGCCTAGAAGATGAGACTGTGTTGGTCAAACATGGGTCCCCAACTGTAGTTGGACTACAACTCCCATCATCTCTGACCACTGGTCCTGCTAGCTAGGGATGATGGGAGTTGTAGTTCAACAACAGCTGGGACCATAGTTTGAGAAACACTGAGATGGGAGACAGATTGAATAAACGAGACAAAGCAGAAGTGTCTAAAGTAAAACTTTTTAAATGTGGAGGATGGAGGGCAGCCCCCAATTTTCCTCTCTGAGTCATGAGGGGGCGGGGAAGCATCAGGGCCCTCCCCACTAAGCAGCAGTCAGGGGGAAGTTGGGGGGAGAGCCTTATTTCCTCAGTTACTCCCATCTACGGATTTGGGGCCTGGGCACCGTCCTGTGGGAATGAGAGATGCTTAGTAAAGAAGCTTGGAGCTGTCACAGGCTCATCACTTACTTGGCAATGCTCCAGGCAGGCTCTATCCCTGTGACAACCGGGTCAGGGCTGTAGCGGAAGGAGACTGTGCCGTTGGTGCTGATGTTAGCACGGTCAATGCGAAGGCTGAGCTCAGCGAGGCCTGGGCCTAGGGCTGAGGGGGGAGACAGGCAGACAATCTCCCCTGCGCTACGCCTTGGGAGAGGGAAACTGAGAGTTATTGCCCCTCAAGAAACAAACACAGCCTCCTCACAAATAATCTAACCTCAAAAATTATGCTTCCTCCGCACCCCATCATTCAACACCTTCCACTTTCCCCTCACCCACGTTGCACTGTCCAACGTAAACACAGAGCTTCCCTCCTCTGTCTCAGGCCATGGACTTATTTCATTTTTATCCTGCTCCAGGGCAGCACACCTGATTCTCCCCACCACCACCACCGCCCTATTCTGTTCTGAGGTAGATTAAACTGAAAGGCAGTTAACAGGGTCTAGGAGCTTCATGGCTGAGTGGGGATTTGAACGTGGCCCTCCTCAATTCTGGCTGGATACTCTGTCTGCTGCACCATGCTGACTCGGTTCATAGCTTCTACATACCAAGGAGCTGCTATGCAAAAAATAAACAGGCCTAGGGATCATCCAGACTTGTGCTTGTCCCGTGCCTAGAAAGCATGGGGCCAAGCAGATTTCCACTTGTCCAGTGCTTTCTAGGCAGTTTTGCGCCCTTGCCCATGGTGCCAGGGACCCCCTGCATGGGTGAAACAGACCTCTGGGGTCTGCAGACTACCAATTGGTAACCACTGACCTAAAGAGTCCTTTCAGCCCAAGGGCTTCTGCTCACCCAGCGGAGCTTTCCCCTCATCTCCTCCACTTGCCCCCACCCCACCCCCCAAAAAAAGGCTTGGAGGGGATTTCAGGTCAACTCCCAGAACAGAGCTTGGGGAAGGAGATGGGGGGATTGTTCTGCCTGCTGCAATGCTTGTCCTGAATGGACATTCACCTCAGCACGATGCTGAATTCCACCCAATTCCTTCCCCCACCCAAACCCAATTTAATATTGACCCTGTCCAAGAGTTCCCAGCCAACTCCACTGAAAGCTGAATGGCACCCCAAACAATACCTTATCAGCTGACATGGGGCTCCCCGGATCACAACACTGACATTGCTCCCAGCATCCAGATGCGTTCCCAGGAGGCTGATTTTCGTCCCGCCTGAGGCAGGACCTCGTTCTGGGTATACCCCATGAAAACTGGGGGTCTACATGAGGAAACAGGTAGAAATTAATAATGAAGATACACTTCACGAACAGTCTCCCCCTTCCCTCAAGCTGATTAACATGGACACCCCTTCCAGAACCAGACTACTTTTTGGGTCTGGGGCTCAGGAAACACCCCTTTCCACAAATAAACCCGCCCACAGTTTGCAAGCAAGACTTCTACCATGTACTTCATTGCTTATCATATAAGCTAAATATGCCTATTGAGCCCTAACCCCCACCCTGATTACCACAAAAGTGAAGGGAGTATCTGACTGGGTCCGGTAGTCAGCACTGCAATCGCCTACGCACAGCTCCACAGGCCCGGGGGGAGGGTCAGGCAAAAGCGATGGCTCCAGTTCGCATACCAGCCTGAGGGGAGAAAGGATGATTTGTCAGAAGAATATGGCTTCCTCCCCATCCCATCGCCACCACACCAATCCCTGCAGCCCCACTGAGTCCACCACATCCCTTCCCTTCACAAGGCCATCACTTGCTTCTAATTCTTCATTCCACAATGCCCCTTGTTATAATTTATTTTTGCACAGCTCAGCTCTCTTTGTCTTGCCCCAGACTGCAGGTTTGTTAAGGCCTTGCAAGAAACACTCCTTGAACAGAATGACGTTTGCCTGGTAAACCTTTTAGTCTGGTCAGTGCTCTTCCCTGGGGAGGGAATGACTCCTCATTTCCTCAGGAGTGCCTGTTGGGTCAGCAGCATTAGCCTTGGTCAGAGAGGCCTTCAATGCAATCCTCTAAATTTTCCTGGCATCTCTCCTAGCTGCCCAATGAATACTTTTGGCCTGGCCTAGCTTTCCCCCTCAATCAAGGCAGCACCAAAATCCTTCTTAGCACAAAATACAGTGGAGCCTCGGGTTACGTTGCCTCCGGCTTACATCACCCTCGGCTTGCAACTGGCACAAACCTGGAAGTACTGGAACGGGTTACTTCCAGGTTCGCGCCATTCGTGCACATGCAGTCGCGATAAATCGCGTCTGTGCATACACAGAAGCGCTAAATTGTGCCGCGCACATGCGCAGACACGACACTTTGGGTTGCGCCCTTTTCGGGTTGTGGCGGGGCTCCCCACCGTAACCGAGGTTCCACTGTATAAGGAAAACTCAGAGGTTTCTGCAATAAGGGACTAGGGACACCATCTTGTTTTGCATTGGGAAGGCCCCTTCCACCCACCGCTCCGCCCAAACAAGACGCACAGAGGAAGCAATAAATTCATGATCATGGCGGATCTGAGCCTCCCACCTGTTAAGCCTGAAAAAGTTACCCATCCATGTGCTATTGAAATATCAAAGTCAACTTTGGCCTACCTAAGAGCTTATCTACACTTTCCCTTTTGCCCCTCTCTTTCCAGGCACTTTAAAGTTTTGTGTCCAAGTCCCCCTCCCTTTTTTTGCTCTGGATCTTTCCCCAAGAAAACCCTGGAGCAAACGGCAATCCATGAAAAAGCTAAACTGAATGCTAAAGCACAGATTTTTGCAGGGAAAGTGGAAAATAAAGCTTAAACACAGAGCTCTTTCCTGGTGCCTGGAAAAAACAGAGCAAAAGTTAAGCGTGGCTAACCCCCAAGAAAACCCATTATTGGTAGTTTAGACCAGTTTTACCAAAGTGAGAGAATCTGGGCATGGGAACCTTGTTTCTGGAGTTTAAGAGGGAAACATTTAGACAAACATGTCTAAATTCAAATGAGTGGAACATGCAGGGATGACACCGGGGGTGTGGGGGGAGGAAATGACTAATTTATTGTCCTTTCTTGCAACATAAATCTTTCTGGTCTGATCAGAAAGTGTGAAGATTAAAATGATAGCTTCATCAAGTACAACTGTGTGCTCATTAGCTCACTGTATTGTCTCCCTTTCATTCTTCCGATTTTGCAACCCTGCAGCCTCCCTTCTTAGATATTATTTTGTTTTTAGTTAATATGACAAACCTGCCTGGAAGCCCTGGCTCATAAATGCACGAGAACCAAGTGCTATAACTAAAAGGCACTCTGCCATAAATTGTACTTTATGATCCTGGGCTTGTTCCAAAGCTGCTGATCAGAGTTTCTTCCATTCTGGGAAAAAGGGATACTCTGGTTAACTGGGGACTTCCTGGTGTAAGTACAAAGGGAGGAGCGAAGGAGCTGCATTCACAGAGTTCTGCCATTAAATGCACCACCAGGTCCAGGAGGTGGTGTTAAGTGAGAGACCATGAACCACACCGTTGTTTTTGCAGTTTTGCTCCTACTCAGATTCCCTGTTCTGTACCTTCCCATGACAGCACCCCACAGGCTCCTCCTCCACCAGCACCCAGTGTTTTCAGAAAACCCTCACCAACCTCTCAGCGCTGATGTATTCAGCAGAGAGAGAAGTGCAGCGCACGCCTGCCACACGGACCCCCACCTCGAAGAAATGAAGCCCCAGGTTCTCTCCCCAAACTGTCACTCGTGTCCCACCTTCCTTGGGGCCAGTCAATGGCAACACCTGCAGAGAGATTGGGGTGGGAGGGGAAGAGAGAGGAAGGCTGCTCATTGAGGGGAGGGAACCCAGCGAGGTTTGCAGGGGTTCCAAAAAAGAAGGAAAAAACACCACAGTAAGAGAATGCGGGTGGCGCTGTGGGTTAAACCACAGAGCCTAGGACTTGCCGATCAGAAGGTCGGCGGTTCGAATCCCCGTGACAGGGTGAGCTCCCGTTGCTTGGTCCCTGCTCCTGCCAACCTAGCAGTTCAAAAGCATGAAGTGCAAGTAGATAAATAGGTAACATTCTGGCAGGAATGTAAATGATGTTTCCGTGTGCTGCTCTGGTTTGCCAGAAGCGGCTTAGTCATGCTGGCCACATGACCCGGAAGCTGTACGCCGGCTCCCTTGGCCAATAAAGCGAGATGAGCACCGCAACCCCAGAGTCGTCCGCAACTGGACTTAATGGTCAGGGGTTCCTTTACCTTTAAGAGAACCGCTAAGCAGTTTTTCTTACCTGGGTGATGCGGGGGTGGGTGCAGCGGGCCCCCCGCCGTCCAGGTGGCACCCAATTCTGCCGGGAAGTAGGGCAGTGAGGGCGCAAGAGACAACGGCGTTCTGGAACACACCAACCACACTCATAGCGCGGGTCTGACTTGAGGCAGAGCCCGCAGCTGGAGCGCTGGGCTGAACACTTGTACAACAGAGCTGGGGAGAGGGAAGAACAACATGGAGATGAAATGAAAGGAACTTCCTCTCTTCTCAATGCACCAGATTGTCACCTCCCTCAAAGACCCCTCCACCTATGCTGGCAATCTAAACCATGCAGTGTGGGCCAAGATTCAGCTACATGCTTAACATGGCAGAATCACCATAAATGTTTTAGTAGGTTAGCTTCTTAATGCAACTGTGTCTTTGAATGCACCTGGGCTGGAAGTTATCACACCAGGGTCAACCAAGATGCAGGGCTGAAGCTCAGGGGTACAGCATCTGCTCCGTATGAGTAAAGTTCCAGGTTTAACTCCCCAGCAGATCCAGACAGGCTAGCGAATATGTCCAGTCTAAGACCCTGGGAAGATTCTAGCAGGAAGTGTGGACAAAACTAAGGTAGATGGACCAACAGTTGGATACAGTTTAAGGCAGCTTCTCTATCTTCCAGAGATGGCTTTACCATACATACATCAGGGTTAAGTCACTTGTTTTAGGCAGCACCGGAAGTAGGGAAGGAGTGACAGATGAAGGCAGGAAATTGGTGACTAAAGAGTGTAGTAAGACTTAAAAAATAAAAATAAAGGGTTGGCCTTAGCAGTGCTGGTGGGTGGTGTTGAGAACAGAGGTGGAGCAAGGTTGGGGGGGGGTCCGCCCTGGGTGTCATCCCTGGGACGCACACCGCCACTAGCTCTGTCTCTGTCCATCCCTATGGGTGCTGCGCAGTGCACCCCGTCCTTAGCCCCTATGTGTGCCATGTGGCGCAGTTCACCCTGCCCCTATGGGCGGTTTGCCCCACCCCTGGGCACACCACCCCAGGTGCCCAAGAGGCTTCCTGCACCACTGGTTGAGAAGGGGCATTTCTGTTCTTCAGGCTGCAAAAAGTTTTGGGACGGCACTGATGTGCCCTGGTGCACTGCATTCCAACTATCACTGTCAGGTTTCTCCGTAACAAAATGTTCATTTTAGAAAACTGGAAAGTGATTCATGAGAAATCAGACCTAAGGCACCCCCATTAGCACAAACGGTAATCTACACACTCTGTATCTAGGGCTCATACCTTTGAACCCTGGTGGCTTGTCAATGGCGAAGTCTCCATCCCAAATGACATCAAAATCCAGCGGCAGTTCCCCCAGGTCATCACTGTCATACCAGTACTGTGGGAAAGAGATGGGTCACAAATGTATGAGAGGGCAAAATACTAGGAATTGATTCACCTGTCAATTTCCGTTTCTCATTTTCCCAATCTTAAATTGAGTTTTCCACATTTTTGCAACAATAATTTGCATTTAAAAATGAACCATCGTGAAAATTTGTCAGCATGTTAGGGTGAAATTCTCCTAAAATATACCTTTTTGTATGCAGTTTTGACAAATATACCCATTTTTAAAAAGCAATTCCCCCAATATAATGCATTTTTATATGTTGTTCTTTAATGTAAACTTTTCTCTAATATATGCATTTTCACACACACTGGTTGCTAGGGAATGAAGAAGAAAAAGAGGAGTTTGGATTTGATACCCCACTTTATCACTACCCTAAGGAGTCTCAAAGCGGCTAACATTCTCCTTTCCCTTCCTCCCCCACAACAAACACTCTGTGAGGTGAGTGGGGCTGAGAAACTTCAGAAAAGTGTGACTGGCCCAAGGTCACCCAGCAGCTGCATGTGGAAGAGCAGGGAATCGACCCAGTTCACCAGATTACGAGTCCACTGCTCTTAACCACTACACCACACTGGCTCTCAATGGAGGCACAAACTTTGGAGAAGGGTAAAGTTCAAAGGATATTTGTGTGTTGGTCTGTACATTGGTCTGAGAAGTGCAAATCAGGGAGTTTCTCATTGAAATGCAAACAATATCAAATCTCTCTCCCATCCCTACTGAGTATGACTGTAGTGATGGGAATCCCTATCAGAAATACACATTGGAAAAACCTAAAAGAGGGCCCCTCCCCAGAATCAGACAGAACACCAACTGCCTTGCCACCTAGGAAGCATGAGCTGTACTTAAGAGCCTGCCAATCCCCCTTAAGGCTCAACTTTCAGACTAGGGCAGCAGCAACACACCCTACTTTACAGAGGGTAGTCCTCTGTCTGAAGGGCTGCCTGCTCTGAGTTCTGCTTAAAGACAAAGACCTAGATGAAATCTCCCTTCATATGCATCTTTAAATTGGACTTGGAGAGGAATGGCCTTGAAGTTGCCCATCAACAGCGAGCATCTGGACAGCACACTGAGCAAGCACACAGGTCAACCCGGCGATCATCTTCCCCAGTATGGAGACATGAATTGTAGTTCTATTTAAACTGTAGTGATCATTTTGATATTTGCACATTTTATTTAGGTCTGTGTCCTCCTTTACCCTCTTTGTTGGCGTTGAGTAAACAGTCACCCTAGGTGGAAAGGACCTACCGTATTTTTTGCACCATAACACTCACTTTTTTCCTCCTAAAAAGTAAGGGGAAATGTCTGTGCGTGTTATGGAGGGAATGCCTACGGGTGGCATGCCTACGGATTTTCCTCCTCTAAAAACTACGTGCGCGTTATGGTCAGGTGCGTGTTATAGAGCGAAAAATACGGGTACTTGTTAATCTACTGAATCTGGATCATAACCCCACTTCTTGCACTGTTAGCACTTCCTGGGTTCTCAGCATGTGAGTTGGCCTCTGTAGGGATTTATCGACAGCTGCCAAAAGAAGCAGAAGCTTTTCTATAATCCCCATATTACATATTTATATTGCACGCATACACAGAACCTACAGGCACAAACCAGGAAACCTTGTTTGGAGCAGGACCTGTAGGTCCCTCCAGAAGTTGGTCATGCTGGCTGGGGATGATGTTAGTTGGGAGTCCAAAAACATCTATAGAGCCTAGAGCAGGGGTCGGCAAGGTTTACCTCACCTGGGCTGGTTCACTCCAGCAGAAATCCCTCTGTGGGCCGGATTGCGCATGCGCGCATGAATGCGCACAGCCGCAATTTCCGGTGTCTGCGTAGACACAATTTCCGGCATCTGACCATGCGCAGACGCTGTGCCAGTTTAGCACAGCGCACGGGGACTCGCCAAGCGGGCAGCTCGGTTCGGGGGCGGCTTGTGGGCCGGTTAAATGATCCCTGTGGGATGCCTTAGGCCCATGGGCCTTAGGCTGCTGACCCCTAGTCCAGAGGTATGAAAGCCCTAGTGGGAGGAATGGGGAATTTGTTAGGGGCAGGTCCTCAATCCCCCCCCCCGCAAGCTTTTGTTTTCTTTTAAAAGGATAAAAACAATGTTTAAGCAAAGGTGTTCATGCATTTAATAGCCCCAAATGATTTCTAGAACTGTGTAACAGAAAGACTTTTACATAAGACTATGTACAGTATCAGATCATTACAATTTCTGTACACTGAGGACAAGCAATTGCTGAGCTGTACACTGAGAGTACGACCCTGAAATGCAAGAGCCAGACACATTTCTGTTTCTTGGAGGGAACTGCCATTATCACAAGTGACAGAAGGAAGATTTAATTCCTTCTTTACTTGTTGCCTTCCTCTTGTTGGCATACTTGGTGGCTCTGTTTCTATCCTCCCAAAGGATTGGAGTGGCAGAAAGTATAGAGCAGGCATAGGCAAACTCGGCCCTCCAGATGTTTTGGGATTACAACTCCCATCATCCCTAGCTAACAGGACCAGTGGTCAGGGATGATGGGAATTGTAGTCTCTAAACATCTGGAGGGCTGAGGTTGCCTGTGCCTGGTATAGAGCAAAAACGTTTTGCTGCCAAGCTTCGTTAACTAAAAATCCCAAAATATGGGACCCCCCTTGAAACTGGTGCCATAGTTTTTGCAGTCGTTTTGCAACACACACACACACACACACACCCCCGCTTTTTGTAGTGCCCCACAAATTGAGAAACTGATACATCAAACCCAGGGGTCAACGGGTCACCCAAAAAGCCAACGTCACTCGATTCACTCCAAATCAGCGCCAAAGTTTGGCAATGTTTTGCAGCACCCCACCAATGGAGCAAAAGACCCTCAAACCCAAGGGTCACACCAAAACCCATCACTGTCAGATTTACTCCAAACTGGTGCCACTGTTTGGCAAAAGTTTTGCAGCAAAAACCCTGTGTTTTGCAGCACTCCATAAACGGAGTACAGTGGTACATCAGGTTACATATGCTTCAGGTTACATACGCTTCAGGTTACACACTCCACTAAGCCAGAAATAGTGCTTCAAGTTAAGAACTTTGCTTCAGGATAAGAACAGAAATCGGGCTCCGGCGGCGCGGCGGCAGCAGGAGGCCCCATTAGCTAAAGTGGTGCTTCAGGTTAAGAACAGTTTCAGGTTAAGAACAGACCTCCTACCACCACTACCCAGCTGGATGTTGGATAGAAACTAAGTGGTTTCCAGCTGTAATGCTTTAAGAGATACGAAAAAGGTTTACAAATGGGTAAAAGCTTAATGGTAAGGATTTGCTGAACTAACAAACTGAACTGGAATACAAAAAGGGAGGTACGAGGAGGTCCGGGAAATAAGTGTAAGGAAGATATGCTATGTAAAGTTGCTCCACCATTTAAACCCCGGGTTGCAGCAGCAGGAGGAAACAACAATTTGTAGCAAAACCCACCACCAACCAAAGCACTGCTGCTGCTGCCGCCACCAGTCTCATCAGCCAGCCAAGCATGGTTTTGGCAACCCTAGTTTAAAATATTGATTTCTTAATTTGGGGTTAAAAAAAAACTGGAGTTGTCTTATACATGGTGGTGTCTTATACACAGAAAAATACGGTATGCAGTTCGGCAAGGGAATAGCTTGACAGATATAGCCCAGGATGCAAAATGCACAGTATTCAAGTTCTGGCTGCTTCACTGTGTTCATAATACTTTTTATCCCTTTCTCAGGATTCTCCGGCAGTTTTTAGCAGCTACAGCATGTTGATAATTTTCCTGAGTACAATCTCCTTTCCCCAGTGGGAAAACATTAGTTTTAAACTAACAAGCACACACCTAAATAAAACAACAATACCCAGGCATGTAATTTTATTGTGTGCACTTGTTTTATAACTTTAAAATTTTATTTATATTTTGATCAATTGTATGCCTATTTGTTTGTCGGAGGGTTGATTTTATTGGTATTTTCTTATGTAAATTCCATATTGCTTTATGTGCACCACTCATGGTTTTTTGTTGTTGCTGATGATATAAGTGGTATATAAATCTTGTTTAATAAAATAAATGAACATTAGGAGTCCGAAGGTGGGGGCATCCCTTGCACCATATCCAGCCCCCACAACTGCCTGTCCTGAGGTAAGAGGGGGGCATGGAGGCAATGGCAACAAGTGTCGCTCCCCAGACTTTTCTCCAAGTACAGTGGTACCTCGGGTTAAGAACTTAATTTGTTCTGGAGGTCTGTGCTTAACCTGAAACTGTTCTTAACCTGAAGCATCACTTTAGCTAATGGGGCCTCCTGCTGCCGGTGCACTTCTGCATTTCTGTTCTCATCCTGAAGCAAAGTTCTTAACCTGAGGTAATATTTCTGTGTTAGCGGAGTCTGTAACCTGAAGCATCTGTAACCTGAAGCGTATGTAACCCGAGGTACCACTGTAGTTGAAGTAACTTGTTGACTAGGGCCACAGATGTAGAAAAATAAAATATTCCCTGCATCACATATATAACTTTGCTGCTATATCAGCCCTCTGTGTTCTCAGACATCTTGTTCCTCAGCCACCTGGTTTACTTTTATTTTTATTTTTGACACATCTCTGCAGCCTTCTTTGTACTTTGCCAGCTGGAATTATTCTGCATCGCCTGCAAAACATTTGAGCCTCTTTAGAGTCGGTCCATCCTCTCTCACATCATTAATGCATGTTAAAAGTAAACAGAACAAGTGCCAACACAGATCTTCAGTAAGTCCTGCTGTTTATTTCTGCCCCAGCCAAAAGAAGAGACTCTTTAATCCTTATTAAAAAAAAAAAAAAAAGCAACGTGGAATCCTTCATTCCATTCCGTCAGTGTTTCCATACCACTTAACTTATAGAAATGCAACAGTGTTAGTTAAGTGGAGGGGAAGGTGCGAAGGAAGATAAAGCACCCAAAAACACCATTAATCACTCCTTCTAGACTTGCTGCCCTGAAATGAGCCAAAAGGAAGGACATCCATTCACCACCTGCCTCAGACTTCCATGGTACCCCAATACTGAGAGCAGGTGAAGCTCTGTGAGGTGCCTGCAGAGCAAATAGCTTAAGTTAGCTCAGACAAGCAAGCCAAGCCATGTACTGATGCAGTTAGCATGCTACAGTTTTGGAGGAGAGTTGTAAAGGGGTGGGGAGGGACAGGAAGGTGGCTCCCAACTTACAACCATTATAGGTAGATTCTCACCATTCCTACAGAAGTAATTTTGGCTTGTGGACCTGGCTTTGGGAAAGCTCTGACATATTTGTATCTCAGTTCACCATGTCCCGAGGTGGGGGGACCGTCAAAAACCAAGGCCACAATTTGGATACAAGAGCTCCATTTTGCCAGCATAAACAGGGGTGCACGACTGCACCTGATAGCCTAACCCTCAGCATCCCCACTGAGTCAACCCCAAACTTCTCAGCATTGGGGACTAGTCACACATTCACCTGAACATACAAACAACAATAATCCTCCCCACATGTTCAACCAAACATTCAAAGAATCATCCATCAGACTTTCCTGCTCCACATGGGAAGGCTGGTGGTGGACATGGAGGCAGACCCCAGTGGCCACAGAGCCATGTGGGGGGCTGCTCACAGTTTCATGCCACCTCCATCCACCTTTATGCCCATACATGCTCTTTAAATGTATGAATAAGGCAAAAATATCATACATACATCATGCACATGGCCTAGGGTTTGGGCATAGCTCCATTCAAAGGTGTGCATTGTAGGACCCAATGTCTGAACCAGGCAATCATGAATTCCAAATGGTTTGAAAACCACCTATAATTATTATCTATGAATTTTTATCCAGATTGGAGACCAGGGCGAAAGCCAACACAGCACTAAGTTTTTGTTCTGTCAGCTCCTTTCACAACCAAACATTCTCCCAATCTTCCCCCCACAAGCAGCCCCTAAATCTGTTCCAACCCTCTGGAACAGATTTGGGCAGGGTACTGGGTCTGCGTAGGGGGACAGAGGGCAAGTCCCCTAGTGCAAGAGGAATCCTTGTGCAGATGGGATGGAGTAGCTGGTATCAGACTCTGATGAAAAGCTATCCTCCTGAAATTCTCTGCGCACATATACTACTACCACCACCATCCAGCCGCTGCCCAAAAGTGTCTGCGGATCAGATATAAGTCAGTTTCCCAACAGTACTCAACACCTGGCACCAAACCAGCCCATGTTCCCTTTACTGCAAAGCACCACAGGGATCAGAACCTAACCCCAAATGCAAAACACATATAAGCCCTCTCAGTTTGATCACCATCCCTCAAGCTGAAAATGCTACCTCAGCAGCTACAGCAGAAATGTATGAGTCACCGCGAAGAAGACTGTAAAACCTCACCAAAAAAATACATGACAGCCTAATCTCACGACAATGAAATGTGCAGAAGTGAGGTAGTTTCCTGCCAAATGCCAATATTAATAGAAACAGAAGTCACCAGGAGGAGAAAATGCCAAACCCCACAGAAGCAACCCAATAGGAGAGCAAAGGAAGGGGGAGATCTTCCCCACAAACACATACCAAATAATCCCTGGTTATAAGATGATTGTTTGTTTTTTGTCTGTCTGTCTGTCGCTAGAAATTCCAATCTAAAAGCCCAACTTCTAGCACTTACACTGGATCTAAAGTGTCATCTAAGTTGGAGAAGATGAGAGCAATTTTTACTGGTGAAGTGCTTGGCAGATAAATCTCAACAGGCTACCAAGGGTTCATTACAATCACCCTGGGGACCTAAATGCAGAAGATTTCTGTCCACTCAACACTGGCTCTGCTGAATGGCTCAGCAGAGATACAACAGTGGCAGAAAAGTAGTTTTTGTTTGCTGCCATCGCTGCCACGAGGGAGCCTCTAAAATGAGCTGTAGCCTGGATTTGCTCAGTCTCATTCCAAGTTCCTCTCCACTCACATTCCAGCGAGCATCCCTATTGCTTCATCACCCCAACCTCCTCTGTATTCCAGGAGAAGGGCTGTCATGAAACTGCTTGGATTCATCAGCTTTTGGAGTTGGCCCAACCTCCTTGCCCCCTTTCTCACTCCACTCTTGCAGAGGACTGGAGTCACCACCAGGTAGTGATCTGCCCATGGCTGGGAAACAGCCAAGAAATCCCTCAACCCGAGGACCGCTATCAATTCACCCTCAACAAAGAACATCACATGAAGAATATCAAATGAATTGGGTACAAAACATTCTGGGAATAGCCTGGTGGTTCTCACGGGTGCTGTAAGGTCCTGAGCCTCATCACCAAAAGTCCAAGACTACCTCCCTCAAATCAGGCAAGGCAAATATGAGGCAGCAAGTTGGGTGGTCAGTACACTAATAGAACCTTTGTTGTGTCCCAACCACCCAACAAACACTCAGAATGAAGGCTCTGCAATACATGAACCTGGAGAGGAAGATGGAACTCTTATAGACTGCAATAAATCCTCCTATTTGACCTCCTTTTGATACTGAAACGAGATTCTAGGAGGACATAATTGAGATGAGCTAGCCTAGCTTGCCTCATCTGGATTGGAAACGCAAGCCAGGTTGGTCCTTTGTAAGAATATAAGAGCCCTGATGGCCAATAGCCCATCTAGTCCAAGGGCTCACAAGGGCCAACCAGATGCCTATGGAAAGCCTGATTGCAGAACCTGAGTGCAACAGTTCTCTCCCAGGAACTGGTATTCAGAAGCATACTACTTCCAACAGGTAGAACCTGTGGTGGTCTGTGCCCACCGAGACTAGTAGGGTGGAAGCCAGGGAGACCAACAGTGGGTGGAGATAGCACCAATGACAGACAGAGCCAGCTCATTCTAGTTTTGACGCCATCATCTTCCCTGCCGAGTTCTACAAGGGCAAAACTGAGTCTAAGGAGGAGGAAACTGACTAGCAGAGCCACCCCCTGAAAGAACGCCAAATAAAAAGGCAGGCAAAGAGGGCAGACTGAGTATAGTCTTAGATCAAGTCTCAGATGACAGCTCCTTCTCCATGGGTCAACTTTAAGCATTTAATTTCAGCAATCTCAGACTCAAGGGCACGTTGATATGGGAACCTGGGTGGTCTTGGATAGGAAAGGGGCAGCGGCTAGGGGGGAAAAGAGGAGTAGCTGGACCCCAAGGAGAAGCAGTGAAAAAAGGAGGATGCTCACCCTGTTTCCATTGCACAGCAGCCAGAATCCCATAGACCCTGTTTGCAGACCGAAATCATTAATAGCCCAGATGTTTTTGATACTTTCAAGGTGTTGGGGCAAAACACACACACACATTACCCCAAAGATGGCATTAATTTTTGGGACAGGTAAAAATCCAGAACTTTCAGCTGGGTGGGTTATCGTAAGCATGAAGTGGCCAAGAATTTGTTTTTTGTTTAAGCTTTGCTGCTGCTTCAACCAATAGCTCTCCTGCCCTCAGAAGCCCAGCCCGGCAAAGTCTCTTCTGTAATATGGGATTCATTATCTATATGGTAAGCCCACACCCATTGGGAAAGTTCTTCCAATTTGCCCACTCACCCAAATTTACCAATATTCCGCTCCTAATTTTTGTGGAAGACAAATGGTCCAATATGCGTGGGGGGGGGGAACCAACCTTTGTTAATAATAGCCATAGGGAAAGGATTACAGAGTGCAGTATTAGCTTATAAACAGCAGAGGGAAACCTTGGTGGAGCATCCAGTGGACGCCCCACATAAACACAGCCAGTTTTGATTAGGAAGCAAAGGTGAGGGTGGTGGGCCTGACTCTGGCCAGCTCTGGAAGTGGGTCCTACAAAGATTGTTGGAGGATAAATCTTCATGCTTCTCTTCACTCTTTTAGTATAGCTAGTTCAAATCATTATTCATTTAGATTTACACTTCCAAATCTCACAACACAGGAACTACTCAACAGTGGCCGGCCAGCCGGCCAGCCAACCTGACAGATGCCTCTGGGAGTTCAAAGGCACTCCATGAGGGCAGCAGCTCATTAGGCACTGAAAGCAAGAGTTCTTCCCTTTCGCTTGCGTCAAGCACCTGGCACTCAAGAGGCAAAAGCCCTGCTGGATTAGACTAAAGGTCCGGCATCTTGATTTAGCCCAGCACCATCATCCCCACAGTGGTACAACTTATGGGAAGCTTACAAGCAGAGCGTGGAAGTAATAGCCCTCCTGTGCAGTTGCTCCCAGCAACTGTCATTCAGTGGCCATTGATAAATTCATGGAGGATAAATCTCCCTAATCCCCTTTCAAAGCCATCTTAACGTAACTGCTATCACCACATCGTGTGGCAGCAAATTCCACAAGTTAATTATGCACTACACAAAGAAGCAATTCCTTCTGTTTGTCCTGAATTTACTGTTCATCTATTTCATTGGATTACCCTGAATTCCAGTATTACAAGAGGAGGAGGAAACAGTCTCCTTCACTCACCCCCACCCCCACTTTCTACACTCTCAGGGCGTAATAGGTTCTTGCAGCTGTTTGGGCTGCCATTTAATCTGTGTAGTCCACTTGACATTACCCTCAAATAATGTCATTCTCAACGCCTTCCACCTGTAAAATTTGGGCTTACTCAGTAAGGGAAAATCTGGCAAGTTGGGGGAAACTGGGCTCCAAACTGCTTCACTTGGGTTGCAGATTATTCCTTCTGATGTTTTGGGTGGGTGGATCAATAATCATCTTCTGTTCCCCTTCCCATGCCTACTACTGCCTCAATATTTTCACGTGCTTTCCAGCTGCGCTTGTAACTACTTTCACTCTTGAACAGAGGACAAAGCAGCCAGGCACACACACACACATACACGAGGCTAAGGCTATTTCTTTTGATCCCTCAGATTTTCAAAATAAAACCCAGAGTACAACAGAAGTGTTCACTGAGAATTTACAACTGCCTGTGTGCTTTTGCAACTTCTTGCTGGGGATTTAAACAACAGCAGCAACAGCATACCTGCAGCTATCTATGTACATGCCCTGATGGTAGTTAATAGGCATAATAGAATCAAGAAATTAGAAGGCAGAGACAAACACCAAAAATGAGAACACCTACAGGTATGAACAGGAAAGACTAAAGTTGCTTCTCAATATACAAACTCAAGTAAGTGTAGGTATGAACTACTACAGTCTAATTGAAAGAAGGGAAAATGGACTAACAACTAAATACTGCTCAAATGCTGACAATGCCCTGAATTTCATTGGGTTCTAAAATTATTTGAGAGCGAAAAGGGAAATCTCACTATCCATATGCTTTATAGTTAGTTTTATAAAGCTCTTCTGTAAATCCCCTTTAGCTTTGTGCTTCAGTCAAGTTAATGTTTTAGTTGTCCTTTCTCAACCTTTTCCAGATGTGTGATGTCCTTTTTCAGATGGAGTGATAACTCCACACAGTATACTACAGTAGTTGCAGACTTATTTTCAGTCCCTTTGCCAGTTCTTAACATTGAATTAGCCTTCCCCCTTTCCACTATTTCTGTACACTACAGTGAAGTATTAAGTACATTTTCCCACTGTGATTTTAAATCTCTTTCCTAGATACTCACAGTCAATTTAGTCCATCATCATTTATGTGGTTATATTTTATTTATTTATTTTGACCCAACATGCATCTCTCTAGCTACTCACCCTAAACTGCAGTTCTGCTTGCAGCCCATTTTGTTAAATTTTGTTGGGAGTTCACCCTGATTTGGTTTCACTGGCAAACCTTCCTACCTCACTGAACATACATGGGTTTGGGCAACTCTACTCATGGGGCAAGAGCAGGATGGTGAGCCTGTGGCTCTCCAGATGTTGTTGGACTCCAACTCTCTTCATCTCCTGCCAACATAGCCAATGGTTAGGGATGGTATGGGGGTTCACAAAGGAGAGAGTTACTGTCTTTTTTTTAAAAAAAAAGAGGGATGCTTTTTATACTTTGGGAGCGTGCTAAAGCTCATATGCAAAAATGTAAGCAATCTAACGCTCAGTGTACAGAACGCTTTGTGTTTTGCACCTTATTCATCATTACAGGAGTACAATACTGTTAATTAGGCTACTATTACCAACCTAGCAGTTTGAAAAGCACGATGTGCAAGTAGATAAATAGGTACTGCTCCTGCGGGAAGGTAAACGGTGTTTCTGTGCGCTGCTCTGGTTTGCCAGAAGCAGCTTAGTCCTGCTGGCCACATGACCCAGTATGCCGGCTCCCTCGGCCAATAAAGCGAGATGAGCGCCGCAACCCCAGTGTCGTCCGCGACTGGATCTAATGGTCAGGGGTCCTTTTACCTTTATTACCATTATACGAACAGACAACTGAGGCCAAGAAAGTTAGTCATTTGATGGTGTGTCAAAACAAGTCAACAGCAAAGGCTTGAACCCAACACTCCAACCACTGGAACATCATCAGCTGGGATGGGTTCTGGTCGTTGCCCTTAAAACATGTGTGCAGATTGTGCCACAGATGCAGGAGGAGGCATTTTACAACTGTTAAGAAGCAGGGGATGTGAAGCACAGGGAAGAAAAAACGGTGGCAACCCCAGAACAGCGAGACACTGAATCTCCTTTTTCCATTCCAATGTTTCCAGCCTTCGCGGCTGCAGAATGCTGTGCAACATGGGAAAGAGGTATTCAAAATACGTGCGTAAAATGTGCGGCTGCCTCACCGAGGTGTTCTGGCACTGCACACTGCTTGAATTGAAGCGCACGGCTGGGACTCTCTGCTGCCGGCCTTGGATGCCCAGGACGCACTCGTAGTTCTTCTGTCCTGACTGAGGCTGAGGAAGGTTCTTGGCACGCAGGGTAATGGGTTGCAACACTCCCACTGGGATCAGTATCTCACCACCAGGAAGCAGCTCAGGGCAGCCCTACAGGAGAGAGGCAAGGCATTTGCATGTGGTATTAAAAATGACACATTGACTGACACACACACCCCTTCTTGTACTGTTTCCATGCACTTTTGAACGTTCCCAGTGCAGGACTGAAAGCAGAGGAGATATATGGGTCTAAATCAGAGGTCGGCAACCTAAGGCCAATGGGCTGGAAGCAGCCCATGAGGGTCGCTTAACCGGCTCATGCGCTGCCTCCAAACTGAGCCGCCCGCTCAGTGAGTCCCCCAGTGCTGCGCTAAACTGGCACATCACAGTGCGGGGACTCTTCTGCAGCATCGGAAATTGCTTCTGCACATGCCCAGATGCTGGAAATCGCGTTTGCGCATGTCCGCGGTGCCGGAAATCGCTTCTGTGTATGCCCAGACGCCAAAAATCGCTTCTGTGCAGGTGCAATTTTTGGCATCTGGGCATGCGCAGAAGCAATTTCTGGCATTGCAGACATGCGCAGATGTGATTTCCGGTGCCACGCTGTGCCAGCCCAGCCCACAGAGGATCTCCACTGGAGTGATCCGGCCCATGCCCGGTAAGCCTTGTTGACCCCTGGTCTAAATTATAACCAGTGTACATTTGAAACAGCAGACATGAGAGACTGGGGCATGTGGGAGGGAGAGAAGTAGCTCCCCCCCCCCACCTGCTCCAGGCAGGCTTACTTACAAGTAAGCCCACTGGCTTACCATTCCACTGATTCCCAAGTATTACTAGGGGCACAACCTTGGCTCCACACACAACCTTTTCCACCACGAGAACTGAGGCTCCTTCTGCCCCCACCCCAAAAACATGACCTTTCCCACCCCGAGAGACCCCTGTCCTGAGCACAGGATAAAACCCAGGAGTCTGGCTTCCATCTCCTCCTCTTGCCTGGGGCAGCCGCGGGAGAAAGATGGAGATGAAAGAGCCTGCTGGGCGCTCTGAGTTGCCATGGAAACCAGAGTCTAGTTAATTGCTCCTTGGTACCAAAGGAAAGGGGGGGGGCCTGCTGCTCTGTTTACATGGCTAGCAGGGAGGTGGGGGGGGCAGTGACGCCAGGAAGCAATAGAGGAAATGTGGTCCTGACCTAGAGAACAATCAAGCCCTGGGTGCAACTTCCTGTCCAGACCCAAGACAATGGGGTCAAGACAAAAGGCAGGGCCAGCAGAGAAGAGCAAAGCACTAAGTTCCCTCCCCGCTCTCTCGCTCAGTTCTAGTGTGCAGCATGCGCGCGCGCACACACACACACAGGTCCTCCCGAGTGCACACCCGTTTTGCCAGTGCTAATTCAACCCCAACTGTTACACTGAATGCTCTGCTTCCCAGAGCCTCTGAGATTGCTGTCCAGGCCACTCCCAGCTCCAGCCACCACATCCGACCGCAACCCAAACGCTGGCCCCTCAAAGGGAGCTGCTATCAATTACCTACCCACAAAGAGCCCCGGGCGTCTCTAGGTCTATTGATCCCGCCGCCTGGGCCAGACGATTGATTATGAGCGACTGGCCCCACTCCCAGCAAATACCCTGGTCCTTCCTGCCCCCCACCAGCATTGATCCAGACCCCCGCCCCAGCAAAGGCACTTTAGTGCTATTATCGGCTGCCAATGCCGTCGATCTGCCACCTGCTGACTTTCCTCTGACTGCTTGGGATTCCCTGGTCTGTGGAAACGTACATTTGTACCAAAGATCCCATGGCAGAATCATAGAATTAGAAGGGATCCAATGGTCATCTAGTCCAACCCCAGCTAAAGAATCCATGACAGGCAGCCATCCAACGTTTGCTTTAAAACGTCCAAGGAAGAACAACTCTTCGCTTGCATGCTACAACACAGGAAACAGCCTAAAGACAGTCTAGACTTCCACAAATCTTGGTTCTCTGTTCACATTTCAAATAAAATTTCTAGAGCTCATGTCATCTGAAGATATGTTGTCCTGCCGGGGCAGCATTCAGCGGTCAGGTAAAAGGATACCTTTACCTTCCTGTCCCACCTCACAACTCTTATTCCTCCTTTTTTCTGCCTGCACTACCACAAGCAATACACTCTGAATTCTGCAAAACTCCAAAATATTACAACGTTGTTAAGGTGAGCTGGGTGGTTATTTAATGTATGCAAAACTTTGCCTGCATTCCATATGTGTCCATACATTTGAAAGCAAAGCATCAATTGTCTTGCAGCCATTTCTGCTATTGTGCAGAAACACAGAACCCTCAAGAGAACAAGGAAAGCAGGTGATATTCCGGGTTGAAGCCACACGTGGGGAGACCTCCCCTCCCCTCCTAACCCCTCAGGCAGCAGGTATGGGAAGGGAGAAGTCCCTGCCTATCAAATTGAGTCTTGAGTATGTCTGAAGGAGTGTCTCCACCCCCATCATTCTACCTGGACACTGAGGTCCAGCTCCGAGGGCCTTCTGGTGGTTCCCTCACTGCGAGAAGCCAAGTTACAGGGAACCAAGCAGAGGGCCTTCTCGGTAGTGGCACCCTCCCTATGGAACACCCTCCCACCAGATGTCAAAGAGAACAACAACTACCAGACTTTTAGAAGTCATCTGAAGGCAGCCCTGTTTAGGGAAGCTTTTAATGTTTGATGTATTACAGTATTTTAATATTTTGTTGAAGCTGCCCAGAATGGCTGGGGAAGCTCAGCCAGATGGGCAGGGTATAAATATATTATTATTATTATTATTATTATTATTATTATTATTATTATTGAGGAAGCTCCAGACCCACCATACAAACTCCTATGGATTTTTCCAACAAGCAAAGGGGAGGTTGCAGGGGACTACATTGAGTGGGGAGGGGGCATGGCTTGGGGTGGGTGGCGTATTGGTATCCCTGAATGAAGAATGGAGGTTCTCTCCAGGGCCTGGCAGGCATTCCCACAAGGTGCAGCGGGGCAAGAGGGAGCAAAGAACACCTTACATGGCCAGGACTGCTCTCACCTCCGTGGTGTTGACTCGCCCTTCCAGGAAGAAGCACTTGGCAACGTTGTGGGTGCAAGTGTGTCTATATTTACACCAGTGGCAAGGGTAGTGGCTGCTCACACACGACAAGCATCTGCAGGAAGAATGGAAATAAAAAGTCAATGAAGGGAAACAGCAGAAGAAGAAGAAGCAAGAACAACAACAGGTGTGTACCCACATGTACCCTGTCCCACAAAAGCCACCCACCCCCTTCTTTCCTGGACCTTTTATTCCCTGTTGCCATTGTTCTGCTTGAGGATATGGAGTTCATGGGAAAGGGGGGGAGGGGGGAGGGACACTGATTGAATCAGCTCCCAAAGTCCTGCCAAAGCCATCTGCTTGCTGCAGAGACAAGCCCGGGGGGCGAATGTTGACTGAAGCCATTGCCACAAATGGACTTGGCGGTGTATAAGGCTGGGTGCCCCAGAACCGAGAGGGGAAAGCGCTTCTTCAAAATTAAACAAGAGATTGTATGTGACTTCCTATTTTAGAACGGGGGGCTGGGGTGAGGAAACAAGGAAGGAAGGAAGCGTGTGCCAAGCCATGAGAAAGGACAAGCAAGGCGGCAGATCGAGTGCTGCTGTACAGGCACCTTCAGCGCTTTGTTTCTAAAAACAAGAGGCGAACAAGGCCCAGACTCGCCCAGCCGCTCTCACCCTCTGCCACCCATCACCACCAAACCCCTGCTGCAAATAGAGCTGCTTATGGGTCCTGGTAAAGGGGAAAGCACTCTGCACATGCTCAGACATCCTTTGCATTGGTTCAGATGCCCCAATTCAAGAGGAGTTCTGAGACTAAAGCCTAGAAAGTCTTCCTGCCTCTCCCCTGCAGAAATATTCTGAATTGGCTCTCTTTGGGGCTGTGTGTGAGAGAGAGAGTGTGTGTGCGTACATACTGATGTTATTGTGTTCAGCATCATGTACAGTCATACCTCGGGTTACAGATTCTTCAGGTTGCATTTTTTCGGGTTACAGACCGCCAAAACCCGGAAATACCAGAACGGGTTAGTTCCGGGTTTTGGCGCTTGCACTTGCGCTTGCACAGAAGCACTAAATTGAACTTTGCACATGCATAGAAGCACCGAATCACAACCCGCACATGCGCAGACACGGCGCTGCAGGTTGCAGACACTGCGGGTTGCAAAAGTGCATCCCGCATGTATCACGTTCGCAACCTGAGCGTCCACTGTACTCTGGTGACACTCTGTAAATCAGAGGTTCCCAAACAAAATTGTTTGGAGTTCCCCTGGAAATCTATCTTCTGAACAAACTGAACAAACAGAAAGATGCAGTAACAAATGGGCGTTCTTTTATGTATCTATATTTCTACCTACTTCCTACAACACAGTAAAAAAGATGTTGTAAGTAAGACACCTTGAAGTCTGTAATTATAAATTTATTAAAATCAACCATAGTAACATTTGCATTACACACACAAAAATTAGATAACTAAGGATAATATGAAAATAAAAATTACAAATAATATTAAAAATAATAGTAATGAGAAGGCTGAACCTGGTGCACTGCTATCAATTTATTAATGTTGGAGTCTATTTTTGTCAGCAGCATTCTTAAATTACCATGATTAGCTATTTGAAGTCAGTTTCATTTTTTAGTTAACAGATTTGTGACCACACTGAAGCCATGTTCCACTAAATATGATGAAGGAAATGCAATTAAAAACGTTTGTACTATAGCTGCAATCCACTTCCCAGGCCTGGGTGAAGCCAAAAAGTGTTCAGCCAAGCCCAGGAAAACCCTGCTGGATCCAGGGAAGGCGTGGTCGCCATTCTGCAACGGTGACCAACCTGGCGGAAAGTGTCATGTACAAATCGTTTTTCAAAATTCTCTTCTTTCTTTATGCCTCTACCACCCTTATTTCTATTCAATGCCCCCCAATAGCATCCAAGGCTACTACCACCCCGCCCCCTGGATCATTCCAGTGCCCCCCAGGGGGCGATATCACCCACTTTAGGAAACACTGCTGTAAAAGATGGTAGAAGGAAGCCGGGGGGGGGGGGGAGCACTTGCTGAAGAGGGAAAAGGTAACAACTCAGCCTTTACATTAGTTTTCCTCCTTGTTTTCAACCCACCTTTAACCCAAACATGCATTTGGGGATCCACTGATTATTTATTCACCATATATTCAAATTTATTATTATTATTATCATCATCATCATCATTATTAATACCCCAGCCACTCTGGGTGGCTTTCAGCACATATCAAAACTTATTATGTTAATAATTTAATAATAATAATTTATTATTTATACCCCGCCCATCTGGCTGGCTCGCCCATTTTAGATTAGCCCATGATGCAAGTCGTGGGACCTGGCCCCCCAGCTGGAGTTCACAGATTATTATTATTAGTAGTAATAGTAGTAGTAGTATTTTATTTATACCCCGCCCATCTGGCTGGGTTCCCCCAGCCACTCTGGGCAGCTCCCAGCAGAATACTATTATTATTACTATTTAGTAAATTTATATACTGCCCTTCGTCAGAAGACCACAGGGCAATTTACAACACAACTGTAATGTCATATAGACGTCCTTCGCAAAAGGCATGCAACATGGGTGCTTTATGGGTAAGATAAGACTTAAGCACTCCTAGGAGCGTTTGGGTGGCCATTTTGGGCAGCAGGATGTTGGCTGGATAGGCTTTTAGTTTGCCAGATGAGAGCTCTTCCTAAAGGGAAGAAATCAAGACTAAGGAGCGTTGTCTTGGGGCGAGGGGACAGTTGCTCAAAGCTGGGACCAGGTCTGGGGTCTGAAGAAGGGAGATTATGGCCCCAGGGTCAAAACTCACGTGCGCAGAAGGCTGCAGTCGTAGAAGACAAAATTAGTGCTGGCGAATTCAACCCCCGTCTCCTTTGAGAGAAGTCGGAGTCTAACAGTGCGAACATCACCTGAGTTGGTATTGGGTGGGTGGGGGTTGGAAAGGAGAGAGATCAGTAAGCATCTGTTTGCAAGATCACATTCTACATTAACTTGAAGTTACACACTCAAAATTAGGAAAGCAGATGAAGCTCCTCTCTCATAAGCATAAGCATCCGATTTACAAAGTTTGTGTCTGGATGTGGGCGGAGAGGGAAGAATTCTGTTCAATTACCATTTTCTGAACACCTCTAGCTGCAAATGGGAAAGGAAGCACCAGAGTGGTAGCCAGTCTGTACTGAGTGATCTTGACAGCTCAGCCCATGAGTGCAAGTTCATGATTTAAAGAGGGTCCCCTGCCAAAGTGCTGTTTGGGTCCCAACCTTTCCTCCATTTTAGCAGCAGCAGCAAATGCAGCACATTCTGAAGTGCTTCACATACAAAATAGCGTTGTAATCATTATGACACTGTGGTCACAAGCACACCATACATTTAAAGCACTCTTATACTACTTTGAATAGCCATAGCTTCCCCCAAAGAATCCAGTGATTCGTTAACGGTGTTGAGAGCTTTTATGAGACCCCGATTTCCCTCACAGAGCTACAATTCGTAGAGTGATTTAACAATCAGTCACTCTTCCCAATGAACTCTGTAAGCTGTAGCTCTGCAGGGAATACGGTCTCCTAACAATTCCCACCACTCCTTGGAAACTTGGGGGAAGCCATGACTGTTTAAGGTGGTATAAGAATGCGGGTGGCGCTGTGGTCTAAACCACTGAGCCACTTGGGCTTGCCGATCAGAAGGTCAGCGGTTCGAATCCCCGCGGCGGGGTGAGTTCCTGTTGCTCGGTCCCAGCTCCTGCCAACCTAGCAGTTCAAAAGCATGCCCAAAAGTGCAAGTAGATAAATAGGTACTGCTCCAGTGGGAAGGTATCGTATTTTTTGCTCTATAAGACTCACTTTTTCCCTCCTAAAAAGTAAGGGGAAATGTGTGTGTGTCTTATGGAGCGAATGCAGGCTGCGCAGCTATCCCAGAAGCCAGAACAGCAAAAGGGATCGCTGCAGTGATCCCTCTTGTTCTAGCTTCTGAGATTCAGAATATTTTTTTTCTTGTTTTCCTCCTCCAAAAATTAGGTGCGTCTTATGGTCTGGTGCGTCTTATAGAGCGAAAAATATGGTAAATGCCGTTTCCATTGCGCCAGAAGCGGCTTAGTTATGCTGGGCACATGACCTGGAAAAACTGTCTGAGGACAAACGCCAGCTCCCTCGGCCTGTAAAGCGAGATGAGCGCCGCAACCCCAGAGTCATCTGCAACTGGACTTAGTTGTCAGGGATCCTTTACCTTTTTAAGAATGCTTTAAATGTCTTGCGTGGATGTGCCTTGTAAAGCAGGTCAGTGTTACTGCATATCACAGTGAGAAAGGGCGGGGAGTCAGGGGCTAGGATAGACAGTGGTTACTCCATAGCCACCTGTTGTTATTGTTAATATTATTTATTTTTTTGTACTGCCTTTCATCCAAAGATCATGGGACAGTTCACAACATTAAAATACAAAATGAGAACAAAAAAAAATGTAAGAAAACAAAAACAAACCTAGGTAGCATGTTCATGCAGATTAGAAACTTCCTCCCAGCTCATAGCTCAGTCTCTTAGAACCACTGTGCTTCACCAACTTTCCCTCCCCACCTCCAAGCGCTCACCGTATTCCCCAGGGGGCTCATCCCTCAATGTAGGAGAAAGGCATCGGATCCCTCCGTCCACCTGCAGTTGCCCCTCGCTCTCTCCAAGGCTCTCAAAGGAGCAGATCACACCGGCCGTCAGGTCTGGGGCATTGTGGACAGTAAGCTGAAGCTGGAAACACAGCCCAAGAGAGGGCAGTCACTAGACAGTCACTAGACAGATTAAAATGTTTGGGAATTATATCCAAGGGAAGGAGGAGGGCACCATGTGTGTATTCTCTACACTAGGGGTCACTTTTCAGCCCATGAGCACATTTGCAAACTGGATAAACTGGCATGGGCACCACGCACACACTGCAATCAAGGACATTCTGCCCCCTGTTCTATTGGCTACAACAGAATGCTTCGTTCAAGCTGAATTTCAGCAGGGGAGGGGAGGGGAAAGAGATCTTCTGGGTGCCAAGAAAACCTTCTGTGGGTGCATGCGTTGCATCGGCAACCTGTGTGCTACATGCCCCCTGACACATTTTATGCCACAAGATAACTCTGCAGCATGCATAAATTATAGAGGTGAAGAAGAAATTTCCATGTCTAATTATCTTAGTTCGCAAAACACTTTCTGCAAACGTTAGTATTTTGCAAAATTAGTTTTGTTTCTATGAGCTGGGTTGGGTGGCACAAAGCAAGACGCTATGCAGGGCACTGAAGGCCTGCCCTCCGACTGCTGGAAACCTTATTCAGTGACTCACCTGGAGATCCTTATGAATCTGGATTGCATGGCCAAGACCATGTTCCGCAGTCCCAGCAGCCTCACGGCCTTGGCCCCAATTGGCATAAAGCACAGAGTGTCTCGGGTACAAACCTGAACAGCTGGTACCAGAGCTTGGAATGGTGGTGAAGGAAAGTGGTAATTAAGCCACACACCAGTTGTGGGGCTCAACCAATTAAGCTAGCTTACTGGTGCAGTTTCCAAATAATTCTATAGTCAATGTAGTTGGTGAGTCATAAAAGAAAACAATTGCCAGCAGACTGTCTGATGACTGTCTTCAAAGGGCGTCGCGAGTACAACTCCAGGCTAGGAAACTGAGCCTAGTATTTACATTGGCCATTTTGGATATCTTGGGCCTAAACTGTGAAGTGCTTTACAGGTCCTAGCCAGCACTTTGAATTGTGCCCAGAAACAGACTGGTAGGCACTGGAGCTGCTGTAGAACAAGGGAAGGGTCTACGCCCTCTAACCACCTCTGGTCAACAATCTAGCTGGAGCTTTTTGGGCCAGCTGGGAGTTTCTTAGCACTTTTCAAAGAGAGTCTCACATACAGCAGGTTACAGCAATCGAAACAGGATGTAGCTCAGGACTGTGTCACTGTGGCATATATTATTCAGAGAACACAAGCCTAAGGAAAGGACCCCTCCTTAGAAAGCGGGGCAGGATCAATATCTTCCCACTTCACCACCTGCAAACACAGAAGAGGTTCCTTGCCAAAGAAACACAGGAGAACGGAAAGCCAAAAATCCAGGCGGGCGCCAGGGGTGTACACAGGACTCACCACAATGCTGGGCTCTGTCACCGAGATGTTGTTGGGCTCAACAAGCAGCCGCACACATTGAGTCAGAGATGCTGTGAAGCGGTGAGGCTCTGCGGCACGGGGACACTCGCTCTCTCTGCAACACCTGAGTGGCAACAGAAACAAGGCAGCTTGGGGAGGAGGGAAAGCAAAGGATGCTTTCACTGCCTTGCATTCTGCCCCTCTCCATAGCCTTTGGCCACTGATGCCACCAATGGGACTGGGCTGGGTGTGGGGAGAAAAAGCTCACAGGGACCGGCTACTAGAGGAACAGAACTTCTTATCAAAGCACTCAGCGGAGCAGACTATCTTCTGATCTGGCAACTGAAAGCAGCACACATGGAAGGAGCTTTTGGCAGGGGAAAAGTTGGCAAGGGAGATGGGGGTGGAAACAGAAGCCAGAGAAGGCTCAGCAGTTCAGGTGTGTTAGGTGTGCACACGCGTGCGGGGGGGTGGGGGGTGGCGAGGAAGCTACTGCTTCCCCTCCAGGGCTCTGGAGGCTTGTTAGGCTTGTCAGTGCTGGAAGGAACCAAAGGAGCTTGGGGAGCTGGGGATGGAGATGCCTGCCTTGAGGAAGGGTTTGTTTGTTTGTTTATTAGATTTATATCCCACTCTTCCTCTCCAAGGGGCTCAGGGAGGCTAGAGTGAAATGCTGCCCACCCCCCAACAAGAGTTGGCAGGAGGGAGAGTGAAGCGAGCGAGCAAGCAAAACTCACACTGCCAGTCAAGGAAGAGAGAGACCATGCTGGGTAGTGTGGAAAGAGGAATTTTCTGCCCTCTCCTAACTCCCTCCGTGGCTGATTCAGAGAGCAGAGGATTGCAAGTGGGGGGAAAGAATTGGCTCAGGAGTGGAGAAGCAGTCCTAAGAGAATCAGCAGCTCCCACTACTTCTTATTTCTCTTTCTCTCTCTCCCTCTCCACTCCCCAAACCCAATACTACTGTGTGTGGGGGGGTGTCACCTCCGTTCTCACTCTTTCTTCACCCCCCTCCAAGTATTATCACATAATTCTATATTAAGCTAGGAGGTGCAAGTTGCTGCGCCAGGTGCTGAGGCAGTGATAGGGAATTGAGAGGGAAGAGGGAGGGTAAAGGCAGGAGGGAAACATCTGCTAGCAGAGACACAGCCGTGGCTGGCAGGGTGGGGTTGCCCTCTGCCCCATCTCCTCCCCCCGCCCTGCTCTGGCTCCGCTCTGCCTCCTGCAGGGTGGGGGGATATAAAACGCAGGGGAGACAGGAGGCATTGTTGCTGCAGGGAGGGAGGATGAAACTCAAGCTTGCTTTCAATGGGGGTGGGGGCTCAGAAGACACCCCATGCTCTCCCCCCTGCTGCCTTGCTCAATATGCCATGGAGTGATGGGTTGTGGGAGTGGAGGAGAGCAGGAAATAAAACCCACCACCTCCCACTCTCTTGGAGGGACAACCGCTGCTATCTTCTTCTTCCCCCTCTCCCCCTCCCCAAAACCCCCTCTAACTCTTCCTCCTAGTCAGCTCAGTGCTGGCAGATTTAATAGGATTAAGGCTCCTGCAGAGTCTAGATAAGGGGGAGGAGGAGGGAGGGAGGCCACAGTAGGAGGGAGGAGAGAGGGGGTCTCACACTGGGCTGCCACCTCCCTACTTGATCCCCCAACATTGGGCGGGAAAATAAAGCAGCATTTTTGAGGGAAGGGGGTGCTGGTGTCAGATCATGGATTCTTCGCCTGCCAGCCTGTACAAGGCTTCTTCCGGGGGGCCGGCAGTGCGTGTTAGGAAATTCTCTCACCTGTTGTGCAGGACGCACCAGCCGCAGTGTGGGTCTCTGGAGCCCAGGCACTCAGCACAAGACGAGTACTGTTCACAGTTTTCCACGGGGAGCCGGACCACCTGAGGGGAAGGGCTAAGTAATTAGACAAGGCCTTCCTTCTCCTCATCAGAATCACTAGGTATCAGGGTTGCTATTCCTCTCCACCGCTGCCTCCAGCAAAGCGTCTGTGCCTTGAGCAGATCCACAACAAAGTCAAAATCCAGCAGGTGCAGGTTTCTGGTACTGGGGAAGGCACCTGTTGAATTTCTGCCTGCTGTTAAACTGCACAATACTCTGATAAAGAGTGGGGAAAGCTGGCAGCTCTGCACAGCACCCATCCTCCCAGTAGCCCTAACCCCAACTCCTACAAGCCTCTTCCGCAGAAATCATACTCTTAACCTCAGCATCTGATCCTGTTTCACAGGCAGCATTGTGATTCCATTCCAAATGTCAAATTTCACAGCTCCCTCCTCCACAAAAAAAGCAGGTTTTGCCTCTTTGCAGTTTTAGGGATCTTGTCTCTCCGGAGAAAAGTTTTGCCAAGAACCACACAAACCCCAAACACCCCTTTTCCACCTGTTGTCCCTAATAATGCACTAGAGATTTCCCCTCCCCTCTTAGAAGGATAAAATACCAACTAGTTCCTCTTAATAGGCATGTTTTAAATACAGTGAAATATATGCAGAGTCAAATTGCCCTGCTCTTAGCACTGAGTGCAAAAAAATGTGTCTGGGATGTGTGCCTTTTATAAGTGGGAAGACCCATTTCTCTAACCCCAGAAGTGTTGGGTGCTGGTGGCTGTAATTGCTCAGAAATGATGGAAAATAATTATTCACAAGCCTTCTTGCACTCATCGCCTAATGTTCCAGCATAAGGCCTGGATCAAATTGAAAAAAACCAGTACCAGTTAGATCAGGAGTGGAGAACCTCAGGACCAGGGCCTAAATGCAGCTCTGCAGCTCTTGCTCTCCCCACCCACCACCCCTCCATGCCTTCCTTCAGGGCCTCTGCCCTGTTGTTGAACACTGACAATACCTCTTCCTTGCCTGTGATTTGAAATGTAGTAGGAAAGCAAAAGTCAGGCCTGTTGCCCCACCCCACTTTCCCCCCTGACCGCACCCACTTTTGCCTCTGGCCCCGCCCACCACTGTCACGTGGCCCCTGGAAGTTTGCCCACAAGAGAACGCGGCCCCCTCAGGGGTCTGTCCTCTCAGCTGCAGTGCGACAGAAGCCCCTCCATCCCTCTCCCCCTCCCTGAGGCCGACCTGTCTCTGGCTGAGCAAGTAGAGATGGCGCTGGTCCGGACTCAGGACCATGTCGCGCAGCAGCGGCTCCCCAGGCATCACAGGAACAGACTCGTAGAGATGTGCCTCCTTGGGGTTGTCCACACGGACCTGAGGAGTGCAAGCGCATGAGCAGCTTTAAGCCAAGTCTAAAGGGTATTCTTCTCTTCTCACCACCACAAGCTTCCTCAGGTCACAATCCAGTATTTGAGGGGGTTTGGAAAAATTGGGCTTTGTTGGCAAAGGAAAAGGTGTGGTAGGGTAAAGCCTGAAGTTGGATTCAGACTGCAGCTTGCCACTCTTCTGATTCGCTGGGTGGCACTGTAGCAAGTCATGCTCTCAACCTCGCGTTTTTATCTGTTATAAGGGCAACAGACAAATATAGTGGAGTATTTTGTGCCACGGGGAGTTACAGAGCTGATAAGGAAACGTTTTGTATGTGGTGTCAGAAGTGGGATATTGTTTCCTTGGAGGAACTGTGAACCATGAGATTGAAGGAATTAGCAGCATAATATTATGGTACAGGACATTCAGAAGTCCCCCACCCCACCCCAAAAGACAAAAGCCTTTTGCAGGTTTAGCTGCTAAACCTGGTGGTCAAATGTTTATTCCAAACCATGGAGCCTGCTGAAAAGAGCACTGCATCTGGGTAAAAATTTCAGTCATACACTGGCTGGATAAACCACCGTCTCCAAGATGGCTGCATATTTTGGGTGCTGTATGCTGGTGCTGATGCACATATACCACAGACATTCATTTTCCTGTGAAAGTTATGAAGGCTGCATGCATTAAAAATCACAGCAAAGGTTCACTCTGTACACACATACACACACACACACACACACACACACACACACCTGAAGGGTGCACACCCTTCATCACTTGAAGAGTGGTTTAAAAACAAACAAACAAACAAAAACCCCAGAGCTAATTGTTACCCTAATCCACAGTTCCCCATTTGTCAAATGAAAATGGTATTTGCTTTCATCTTTGTAAACACCCCTCCCAGTGTAGTATACCTGCACAAAGTGTGCCTCACTAATGCCAAAGGAAATCCACTAGCAACATGTGGCAGGCAACCTTGGACTCAGTAAACCACCTAGCTTGCAAGCTGCTTGGAATGGCAAAAACTGGAGGGAATGAATGAGGGAATGGATGGAGGGATGGACGAATGAATGAATGAATGAATGAATGCACCTAGTTGACTACATGCCCTGAAGAATAAAGTTTATGAGAAATTTTGTACTGAAAAAGCAATCAGGCACCACAAGAATGTTTTTTGAAGGGTCTGGATTACATAGCTGCTGAAATTCTCCGTAATCTAACAGTCTGTGCTATGCACAAGACCCCACACCGAATTATACATTTGGGAGTCTCCAAAGATTAACAGCTCTGCCTATTTAAAGGGAGGTGGCGTACTTTTAAGTTTGCAATTTGGGAGGGGCAAAGCAAAGAGATCCAAAGGTGCATCCACTGCTGGATACCTTCAAGACGATATTGCAGCATATATATTTAAGCACGTGTATTTGAATCTTCTACAGGCATGTCAGTCCTGCTGAAGAGGGTCAGTGTAAAGGATGCAAGGCCAAATCTAGCCCCTGAGATGAACTAGTGACTACTATTTGCCCACAGAAACAATGTGGGCAGGTGGTGGTAGCAGCAATGGCAATAGGACTTGGAACTGGGGAAGGAGAGGTGTTGTGTGAAGCAATTCAACTATTTTATTTATTTTTTACACATTTTCTATTTGTTAGCAAAATTGATACAGTGGTGCCTCGCAAGACGAAATTAATTCGTTCCGCGAGTTTTGTCGTCTTGCGATTTTTTTCATCTTGCGAAGCATGGTGTCGGGAAAGTTTTGGAAAAGCTTCAAAAATCACCAAAGTCTTTAAAAACCTCAAAAAAGGCTACCACACCGCGTTCTATGAGTTGCTCCTCGAAGTCAAGTTGCAACTGTATTAACGGTGTTAAGAAAAAGGAAACAAACTTGCAAGACGTTTCCGTCTTGCTAAGCAAGCCCATAGGGAAAATCGTCTTGCGAAGCAGCTCAAAAAACAAAAAACCCTTTCGTCTAGCGAGTTTTTTGTCTTGCGAGGCATTTGTCTTGCGAGGTACCACTGTAGTGCAATCCTAACCCTGATGAAGTGAAAGCAACCATCCATTGGAATCTGTAGGCCTCTGCCACTATGGAGGCCCACCCATCAGCAGAAGTTCTCCATCCATAGTAGAAGAAAACCACAAATGGAGCAAGGCACCAGTGGTTTTGGATCTGCGGGATCCAAACCCCCATGCATCCTCTGATGGGCCAGATCTCACACAGCCATTCAGCTGTGTGAGCTTGGAACTGATGCAGCAAAAGAAAAAGGAAATACATTTTTTTTTAAAGCAGCCCCCACCTGCTGCCCCGACCAGAGCTAGCCGTTAGGGCTTCCGATGGGGCAGAGGATCAGCCACTGCTGTGCTGCTACCGAACTAGTAATTTTGCTCTATGAAAGCTTGCTCTTTGCAATTTTGTCATTCTGCTTGCCTTTGCAAATTAAAAATAGGCATAAGATTTGAACACAAGAGGAGAATTGCAGAAGTTAATCAAAATTTCTTCCACGCAAAAGGGAGTTTGTGATTAATGTTCCCGTTTCTTTGTCTTAGGCTGTTTTTCCAAGGGACATTGTTGCTTTTGCAAGCTAAAATAGAGACTACTATCTTGGTTTTATTTCGATACTTCAAATAATAAAGTCAACAACAAAATCTGAATTTCTAATATGGTTACTGGTAAACTCAAAAGTCATACAGCAGAACTTAGTACAATTTCTGGAAGTGAGTCATAAGACCTGAAAATTTTCATAAATCTAATAACCCCTTCCTCACAAGCTTCCTCTGACCAAGGCACAGACCCATTTAATCTTCTGTATTAGCCACTGTGCACAGAACTCCCATTAGCACTGGTTTGGACCACTTTGTGCAAAAATATTTCACTTCCAGCTACTAGCTGCATATCACAGGGGAAGTTGTACAGTATGCATTGGGCAAATTACCCAGGAAATACTCTCTCACAGAGCCCAGATGGAACTTCCAAGGCACTTTCCAAAATGGCCCCAGAGCTTGAATGTGGCCTAGAGCCTAATGTCACTTTGCAGACCGAGCATGTTGTCCCTCTCTTCAACCCTGTAGTGTCCCAAAGAGCTTCCACTATGTTTTCTTAAAATCCACATTACTAAAAAAACCACCAAAAGTCATTGATTTTGACAGTTACTCAACTATTTGACATTTGCATTTTTGAATGGATAAAAGGAAAGACATGTTACTTTGCAGTACATACAGTATTTAGTGGTATGACCTTTAAAAATAGCATTCTGAACTTTTGGGACAGGTTGGCGAACCTGTGACCCTCCATATTTTGTCAGATGACATCTCCCACCATCCCGGACCACTGGGGAGTCGGGAGTCCAACAATATCTGGCAGGCCACATGTTCTCCACCCCTGCACTGAATGACGTACGGGCAAAACACCCCTCTCTTTTAAAGAAAAAACATTCGGTTATTCTGCAACAGCCAGAATTGGTTCCACAACCATCAGGATGCATGCTTCTTCCTTAAGAGTTTCAGAACACTTCTGAAATTGATAATGGGATGTGGCCTTTTATGGCTTGAGCCACTTAACTGCCCAGCAGCTCCATGGTCAAGCCAACCCAATATTAATGGTTTCCAAACTGATCTTAAAACGACGATAACTTTGAAACACTGTGCAAAACATTAGATATAATTGATTCACCTACGACCTGGATTTCCCGTGAAGTGTTGTTAGAATTCAAAGACAGCATCAAGAAGGCCCAGTGGAAAGAGAAGAGGTCAGAGGAACAGGGCAGAGCACTGCTCTTCAGCCTTGGGTCCCCAGATGTTGATGGGCTACAACTCTCATCACCCCGACTGTTGGCTAAACTGGCCAGGGATGTTGTGAGTTGTAGCCCAACAACACCTGGGGACCCATGGCTGAAGAACTCTGGGGGTAGAAGTTGACTCCAGGTGCTTTTCCCCTACACCACCCACCATGATTGTTTTTCTACCTACCTGGGTCTTGAAAGATGTTCCAGGCTTGGATAGTGGCCCTTCCCCTGACCAGTAAATCCCACGCAGGGCTGCTTCATTTCACTCTCTCCCTCCCTCCTTGTAATGTTATTTTGAATTGTTAGCATATTTTATTGTATCCGTACTTCGGGAATCTGACAGGACTGAAAAGCAGTCTAAAAATAACCTCGATAAATAGCCTGGCCTGCACTGGCTTCCAAAGCGGTGTGTGAATAAACTGAGCAGAACCATTTCCTCCTTCTAAAACCCAATAAAAGTTCAATCATGAAATAGATCTGTTTGCTGCTATTCTATAATGAGGAGAATGTACAGAGCAACCCTAATGAAGTTTACTCAGAAGTCAGACCCACGATATCCCCAAAGGATTGCAGCCTTAATCGCATTCAGCAACATTTATAATCTGGAGAGAGAGTAATGGGAGAGGGATGGAAGAGGTTCGGCAGCTCTGTGTGTGTCCCTCTGTGCAGAAGCACACATGTATAAACACAGAGAAGTGTAAACACAGCTCCTAGAGACCTGGGGCTGGGGGGTGAAACTTGAGAGACTCCGCTGCTTATTTACAATGTTAAAAAAACACACCCCAATGAATTGCCAGGAACAGGTATAAAATACCACATTCCCAATAAATAAGGACAACTGGGTCACAAGCATCTATGTTTCCAAAACAGACACAGAAACAGAAGGGAAGGAAACATAGATTGTCTTTATTCGAAGCTCTCCTAAAAAGTATGAAGTAAAAAAGGGAAGACTACAGTCAAGGGCCAGATTTAGGTTTATGAGGCCTTAAGCTACTGAAGGTAATGGGGCCCTTTACATAGCAGGCACGGCCCATGACTTATATTATAGGAGCCTACACAACACAAAACACTGTTGCTGTGTGTAGGCTTTATTTTATTTGTTTTTTATCTTATATTTTGGAAATGTACATCCAGGGTTTTTTTCTTCTTTCAATTTTTTTGGGGCCCCCAAGAGAGTGGGGCCCTAAGCTATAGCTTGTTGAGCTTATATGTAAATCCGGCACTGAGTACAGTCCTTGGAACCTGTGCAAACTCTACAAAATCACCTCATAGGCATCTGGCAAGTTTGGGAGGGGAGAGAAGAGTGGGCAGTGGAGAGGCAACAGATGGAAGTGAATCCCCCCCTCACAGGTTCATAATGCTCAAGATTTGCCACCACACTACACAACCACAACTCCATTAGAAGTGCCCATTGCGTGTGGTCTGGGAAAGAGACAAGTTGCCCCTAGGACAGGTGGTGGGAGACTGAGTGGAACTATCTTCTAGAGTGGAGGAAGCCTCCAGATGTTGCTTGACTACAACTCCCATCATCTCTCACTAGTGGCTATGCTGGCAGGGGCTGATGGAGTCCGCAACAACCAAACGGGCACCACACTGACTACCCCCTGCCCTGGAGTGATGTGGTAGCCTCATGGGCTTAAGGTGGAGCCCTGGGGCAGAACGGAAGGATGCTTTCTTTTCCACATCTGAAGAAAATACCTACAATGGGGAAGATTCCCTCTCTCTCTCTCTCTCTCTCTCTCTCACACACACACACACACACACACACTTGCCCCCAGGAGATTGCTCAAAGGAGCTTTCATCCTGGCCAACAAAGCCCCATTGAGCCTCCCCCACAAACCAACCAGGCCCCTGGGGGTCAGTGCAGTTGTGGAGCTGGAGACTCAGATGGGAGTCCTCCTCCCTTCCCCAAGGAACGGGATAATGGTCCTTTTCAGACTTGACTGGGGGAACAGGCAGGTCACCCCTGGGTGAGGCTCCAGGCTGCACAGCAACAAGGCAATTAGTGTACTGAAGGCGGCAGAGGGGGATCTGGGAATGGGAGGCAGACGGAGGGGCTACCTCCCTGCCTCCTGCCATCCTAATTGAATCGCCACCGTTTGCATGAGGGACAGAAGGGGGTCGTGACCTCCCTTCATGCCCCCTGCCAGGGGTTCAAGAGTTTAAACAGCATTTCTCTTCTCCGTCTTCCCCCACCACAACAAGCTGTAACTCAATTCCAGGCCACCAGCCCCAAAGACCAGACGCCCCGTACGCTCCCAAGGACCCTTCCACTTCAAAACTGACCCCACAGCTGGTGGGGGGTGGGAGGCAGCACGGGACAGAGAGAAAGCTGGAATGGGCAGCTGGGGTTGGGTTTTCTCCAGAATCAGAGTAGTCAGGAGGCTAAAACACCCACATTGCACCTCGAAAAGGCCCACCTTTTGGGTCAATTTAAAATGGTAGGTAACCCAAAGAGCGAGAAAGAAAGGAGCCAAATTGTCCGGCAAGGACTGAGGCAGAGCAAGAAAGCGAGACTGAAACCAAAGCCGACATACAACCAAGGCACTGTTTAGGGAGGAAGGGAGAAAATAACAACATAAAATAAAAAGAGAGATGGACAGATGCAGGGGATGCAGACAGATGATGAGGGGAAAGCATTCTGTACAAGCTAGGAAACACATTATGACTTCACATGCTCCAGAGATGGAAGATGTTACCTTAAGTAAATTATGGGGCCACATCCTGGTGACAAAGGGAACCCTGAACCTAACTGAGGATAATTTATGGCTTTAGGTCGCATGCTTCCCATCTGCCAGCAACATCTCCTTCCCACCAACCACGCACACTTGCTGCAAAAGGCAACCAAATCAGGTTGGAACATGTGGAAAAAGCGGGGAGGATTAACCCTGGCGCATCTGCCCCACCAGGCAACATTACCTGAGCTTCAGCCTCTGCGACCCCAATGCCTGGACACTCCCCTGACCCCTCCAGCTCTTTTACAGTGCACAATTACAATCTCCATCTGGCTCTGCTGCTCTCTCAGACTTGGAACCCCCCCCCCCAGCTAGACGGAGGAGGGGTGCGCCAGCTCATGCGCCGCCCGGTTAATATTTAATGCGCCAGGTCTGTTGGGCACAAGCCTCTGCAAAGTGGCAACTAATGGCAAAGGGTGGGGGCTGCCAGTAACAACGGCTTCTCTCCCACCCCCACTGCACAGCAGGCAATGCTTGGGGGGTTGGGTTGAGAGAAGAGGTTTTCCATAAACAGAATCATAGAATCATAGAGTTGGAAGAGACCACAAGGGCCATCGAGTCCAACCCCCTGCCAAGCAGGAAACACCATCAGAGCACTCCTGACATATGGTTGTCAAGCCTCTGCTTAAAGACCTCCAAAGAAGGAGACTCCACCACACTCCTTGGCAGCAAATTCCACTGTCGAGGAAGTTCTTCCTAATGTTTAGGTGGAATCTTCTTTCTTGCAGTTTGGATCCATTGCTCCGTGTCCGCTTCTCTGGAGCAGCAGAAAACAACCTTTCTCCCTCCTCTATGTGACATCCTTTTATATATTTGAACATGGCTGTCATATCACCCCTTAACCTCCTCTTCTCCAGGCTAAACATGCCCAGCTCCCTTAGCCGTTCCTCATAAGGCATCATTTCCAGGCCTTTGACCATTTTGGTTGCCCTCCTCTGGACACGTTCCAGAGACTGGAAAGGGCATTGCATACCAGTTCAGATGCCCCTCTGGAATATTTTGCTAGATCTAGAATGTCAAGGCTTATGGGTTGTTGTTGGTTTTTTTTGGGGGGGGGGGAGAGACAGTAACCAGCAATTTACCTGGACCTTTGTCACTTGAAATAGAAGGACCCACCCGGTTCTTCTGATTGAAAATTGTTCTAACTGGTTTTAATACTGTATCTTTATATTGTTGTATCCTGCCCTGAGACACGGAGAGGAGGAGAGTAAGAAATCCAATGAAATAGAAGTCTGTCCAGTGACCACCACTGTTGCCAGATATGTTTCCACACTGCAACCCCCTCCCCACCTCAAAGTGTAATTGCGAGAGGTGTGGGACAGTTGCCTGGCATCCCATGGGGCACGGCCCAATTCCTGAGCATGCAGCTCCTAGCATGAACTAATTTTATTCTCTTGGCACTTTCTTGCCCAACTCTCAGCACAGCAAGTGGAAGATGTGATACCAGAAGTGTGAAATTAATTAAAAATAAGAAATGCACGCGGGTGCCTAAGATTTCCTGGAAGCTGCTTCCACCCTTGCCAGCCCAGGTGTGTGGAGCCCAGCTAGGGAGACTGCAGTGATGAGAACAGGGCACTCAGCACATAGACAGAGGTACTCAAAATATGTGGCCACAATGCACAGAAAAATATAATCTCAGCCAATGCATCACTCACATTCTACAGCCTGACACTGACTTTTGTTTAAAATTCTAACAGTGACACTTAGGAGTTCTGAATGAGATTACACAAGATGTGCCCTTCTGTTCTGGAAAAAATGAGACCACCTGACCACATAAACCGTGTTGGAGAATGCATTTTTATTTTTCCTGGTGAAGGTAAAATGATAGCATACCCCCACTAGTAACAGAAAACTCTTCTAGAAAATACAGTAGCTGTGCCAGAGAGGATGGTCCCGATTAGGGGAGGCTTCTGAGGAATTTTAATTCATTTACACAGACCCAGCTCAGATTAAGACCATGATGTCTCATAGGAAGCTGCCTAAATCAGAGTTGTCTACACCGAGAGGAATCTCTTCAGGATTGCAGGCAGGCTCCTTGCCAGCCCTGCCTGGAAATGCTGGGGACTGAACCAGGGAATCCAGCCACACTCGTGTGGAGACAACCACTTCCGCCCTCCCACATTCGCCCTCCCCACCCCTTTTCCATACACCGAAGGAGAACATCTCACCTTCTTGAGGTTGCCCGCACGCGTTCCAATGAAGACAACCGAGTGGCCACGGTAGGTGTAGGCAGCAACGCTGGCCATCCCCTCAGCCTTCTCCTCCAGCAGCGGGAGCCCTTCAATGACCTGCAGGCCCCCTAGGGGCTGGTTCAGCACCAGCCCACAGAAGTTCCCATTGATCTGCATGGGCTGGAGACAGGGAGACATGGAGGCGAGAGTCAACATCAAACGGGATTGGGTGCCCTTTCCCTGCACGACAGAGCTAGAGCTGGGTACACAATGGCACTCTATTCCCCAGCAACTCCTATATTCTAGAGCAGAGATGGGGAATCTGTGGCCATCCAGAGGAGGTTGGGCTCCATCAGCCCCAGCCAGCAGTCAGAGATGATGGGAATTGTAGTTCAATGACATCACGCAGCCACAGGCTCCTCACCCCTATCCTACAGTGTGTTTGTGCCTCACTTTTCAGAGGAAATGTAACAGGTTTTGTTCACAAGACCCAAAACAAGACTTCCTGGGCTGTTACGTGTGAGTTCTGGGGCAAAATGGGACCAAGAGAGAATGGCAGAAAAGGCCCAAACATCTCTCAAGCACCAAAATTTTGGGGAGGGGGTGTCCTATTCTTGGGGGGGGAGACACAGAAACTAGCAAGTAGGAACTGGGGGGGGGGGGAGTCCAAATTGCGCAGCCTCGTACCGTGTTGATGCAGGGCAGCTCTTTGTTGAGAAGCCAAGGGAGGGAGAGCCGGCCTTCCCCTCGGTAGCAAGACTGGATGCGCTCCCGGATGCGCTGGTTGACCTCATCCAGCGTGAAGAGGCAGAGGAGGCTCTCGCGGGGCGGGGCAGCGCGGTTCTTCTGGCCTTGCGAAAAGGCGGCGTAGAGCACATCCTGGCCTTCCGCGATGCCTAGCGACCGGGCCAGCTCGCGGCCTGCCTTGGCCAGCTGCGCAGCCTGCACAAGGCGGTACTCCACGCCATCCTTGGAGCAGCCCAGCGGGAACTCCACGTAAGAGTAGAACTCTGTGTCGTTGGCACACAAGCGCACGATCTTGGAGGAGAAGAACCGCTCTCCGCCAGTCACGCCCGGACCACCTGGGCCTCCCGCCGGCTCCAGCGGGGTCTGAGCTGTGTCCAGCTGCAGGGTGAGGAAATACACAAAGCCACCGGAGACAAATGCAGAAACGTAGTAGATATCGAAGGCTGGGTAGAGCGAGAGAGTGTCCGAAGGTACTTTGATCTGGGAGGAGACAAACTCATCCTGATAGACTAGGCTGAACATCTCGGGACTGCTGGCGTCGGGGGTCAGGCGGCGGCTGGAGAGAGTGGGGAAATACTCTGAGCGCCCCCCAATGGATGTGCCCACAAAAAACTGGCTGGGCTCCCTTGGCTGCTCCACAATCACACCAACCATGGCGTCTGGCTCGCGCCCGCCGGAAAGATAATGCTCCTTGCGCTGGTGCGGCTCCCCCAGCTTGGCCAAATCATCCAACCGCAAGAGCTGACACACCCCTTGCCAGATGCTGCCACAGGCCACCAAGCGGCTGCCAGCGTAGTCAATCAGCAGAAGCTTGTTGACGTTGTCGGCGGGGGCCAGGCGATGAGCGCAGAGTCGCACACCGGGCGGAGGGTAGCAGCGGGGGTCGTCGGGCACCGGGCCCGTGGTATGAGCCCGCAGCTGGGTCAGGTTGGCCGAGAGCTTGAGAATGCGGTTGATGGCCCCAAGGTAGACCTCGCCCGTGTCATGGTGGACAGCCAGGTGTGTGAGGGACAGGTCCGAGACTGTGAAGGCGGCGCGTGGGGACAGCACACCCAGGACAGGTGGCGGCGAGGAAAGGAGGACCACAGCTGTAGTGGTGGCCATAAGCAGCAGCCGCCACATGATCACCAGGGAGTTGCCTGGGGTCAGGCAGGGCCAGACACAGGCAGCTCATTCAGCCTGCAAGTGGGGGGGAGGGAAGAGAAGAGGAAACGGTGGTTAAGCACCAGTCCAACATTGGGCAGTCAAAAGGCAAAGCCTCTAGCAGCAGAGCAGAAATGACATGTTTATGTGTTTTTGTGTGTATAATCAGCTGCCATCCTACACATCAGGAATGAGGAACTTGTGTGGTCCTCCAGATCTCACTGTACTGTGCCACTCCCATCCTCCCTGGCCCCACTGGTGGATGGGAGCTACAGTCCAGCAACATCTGGAGGGGCAAAGATTCCCCCACCCCATCACTGAATGGAATTCTCCTCCCAGGAGGCATGCAGGAAGGATTGGGCAGCCAGGTCGCGTAGCACTTATTTGGAGGGTTGCTAATAAAGGGAGTCTTCTGGAATTAGGCTTACAATTACTAATGCCAATCTGAAAATCTCCCTGGAGCCCCTCCCGAAAGGGGCTGCAAATGCGTAACAGCACCTCTTGGCTAGAGATCCACACTTCCCACCCGCCGCCACCCCAAGTAAAGAGTCACAGCCGCCAAGGAACTCGTTTTCTTCCTTCCAACACCCTTGCAGCTTCTCATTAGCACCCGCCATGCACAGCATGAAACAGCACCCACAGAATTGAGAAGCAAGCACAGCATCTTGCATCACATGCACAAGCAGACACACACAGAGACACACACACACCCCTGCAACAATGAAGAAAAGCTGAAGGCAGCAATGCCACCTGTCACACAAAACAAACAAAGATGGCACTAACCAGAGGTGGCTCCCTTCTCATGCCCAAGGATTCTCTCCACACAAATAACCCAATATCTACAGCAGGAGCTTCAGACTCAGGCCCAGGGGCCAAATGTGGCCCTCTAAGCCTCCCCTGGGCCACACAACCCCTGGCCTGCTCTACACCATTGTCAAGCGCTTTGCCTAACGAGAATGTGTCTTTGAACTGAGGCAATGCCTCTTGCTTGCCAGGGTGGAGGGAGACATGAAGTTTGTGTGTGTGTGGAAACTTCTGGCTTTTGCATGGCGGCTGTACGAAGGTCACGTCTTACCCCTTCACTTTCACTTCTGTCTTGGCCCACCATTGGCATGTGGCCCCAGGAAGGCTGTGACTTGTATTCCCTTTGGTATTGACTGTGGACTTGTCCCTTGGCCTTGCCTTTCAATGATACTTTGAACCTGGACTGATTCTTAGGGCTTCAGAGCTTAGCTTGCTTTGGGCACCATCATCCCAGCTCCCCTTGGAGAGTGTTTTGCATAGGTGTCTTATACCTCCCTGGACTGGGACACTGGCCCACAATGGCACCTGCTGGAACATGACAAGTCCACCATCCCGATCCTTGCTATGTACATCATCTCCAAACAAATATTGTGGGGCCTCACTGAAAAATGATACGGGCAGGCAAAAAGAACTTGCCCATGCTGCACTGCATGTTAATGGGAGTCTCATTTACATAGGGTCCTCAGCCACTGCATGCCACTGCAAAACCTGCCTCAGCTACAGATCCCTAGAATGTTCACAGAAGACATGCAATTGCTCAGGGCCCCAATTAAACTGACTACTGGGCATGTGCAATGCTTCAATGGAAAGTTCTTGCCAGTTCACCTCATATTCAAATGGGGCCTTATGGGCTGGTTCGTAGATGATGGCTCCATCATCAAGGAGCCATCTGCACACCTTGGAACATGTGCAGAGAAGGGCAACTAGGATGATCAAGGGTCTAGAAGCCAAGCCTTATGAGGAACGGTTGAAGGAGCTGGATATGTTTAGCCTGGAAAAGAGGAGACAGAGAGGAGATATGACAGCCATCTTCAAATATCTGAAGGGCTGTCAGATGGTTGTTTTCTCCTGCTTGTTTTCTCCTGCTCTGGAAGGGAGGACTTGAAACCATGGCTTCAAGTTGCAGGAAAGGAGATTCTGACTAGACATATGGAAAAACTTTCTGACAGTAAGAGCTGTTTGACAGTGGAACAATCTCCCTCAGGAGGCCGTGAGCTCTCCTTCCTTGGAGGTTTTTAAGCAGAGGTTGGATGGCCGTCTGTCATGGATGCTTTAGCTGAGATTCCTGCATTGCAGGCAGTTGGACTAGATGACCCTTGCGTCCCTTCCAACTCTTCTATGATTCTATAATCAAGGCAATACTCTGCATGTCTGAATGAGCTAGGAAAATAGAGAGCTGCCTTATAGAGATCAACCTTCAACCAGCCCTGCCTTGTTTTCACTGACTGGCAGAGACTCTTCAGGGTTTGGCAGTCTTTCCTAGACCTGCCTGGAGATAGTAAGGACTGAACATGGGACTTTCTGTAGGTCAAGCAGTCTGCCTTCCACCCCCAACTGTAGGCCATAAACGACATTTCCCCATCACTTCAAACACAATGATTTTCACTAGACTGGCATCGCACATTCAGCTTAAAGAGGCGAAGTAACAAGAAACCAAGCGCTGTGGTTTTGTGTGTGAACTAGATCCCTTGTGCCTACAGGCCTTCAGCCGCATGTTGCACACCATCCAGGTTTCAGAAAGCTCCCATGCTTCGCTGGGTTTTTTTTAATTCATCTCCCCAACTTGTCAATATGCCATCCCCAAAACAGCTCTCTGAAAACGTTTGTGGTCACTTCCTGCCCTTCATATGCAAGATCAGAGTTTTCACACTTCAGGTGAACACATACGGTACTATCCCCACACTTACAAATTCAATGGCTCCAGCCATTAGCAAGCAATGCAAATCTATCCTTTTACCACTGGCTGCAAGTATGAACTGGTGGCTAAAGTATGCATTAAAGCAGGAATGGGCAAACTGGTAGCCGTGGGCAAAGGCTGGCTGATGAAGCAATTTTACCTGCTTCCCAGAGGCCCTACCAAGCACTATTCTAAGGTGTGGTATAAACACAGATCAGTTTCTCCTAAGAAAATGTTTTTAAAATGGAGAGAAATAAAGAGCTACTCTACACTTTGATGTTATAGCCTTGTTTTGAGCCTAACACCCTGTGATGGTACTTCCCCACAGGGATAGCTGTGCTAGTCTTCTGCAGCCAAAACCATTATCTTGTGGCACCTGAAAGACCAACGCTTTTAAGACAAATTTGTTAGTCTTAAAGGAACTACAAAACTCTTTGTTGATAGAGACTTGCAGAATTTATCATAGAGTCTAATCTAGAGAACACAGTAGCTCTAGATAATGCAGACACACAGCTTCGAATCTACACCTATTACACAGTAACACCTCCCAATATCCCTACCCAACTTCCCATGCTATTTTGTACTTCTTGCCCACAGATCACAGAACTGTAATACACACACACACACACACACACACACACACAAAGCCTGCAAGTGCCCCCACCTTAGCTTACATAGTGAGGGACGCCAATTAGATCATCAGTCCGCCTAGCCCAGTGTCATCTACTTAGACTACTGAGCATACTTAAAAATAGGGATGTATATGGAGCTGTATGTGGGCATGGAGAAACTATGTTTCTGTGGTTTCTATTGAGTGTGGTGGGAAGGGATCCCCCCCCAAAATTAAGGGTCACCCAGCAACCTTGCCCCCCATTCTTCAGCTGAACTGGAACAAACATGCAAACCCTATACTGCAATAAATAAGTGTAATATACAATCACATCTTTACACACTCCTGCTGCCGATACACACATTCCAGTGGCTTCCCGCTGCCACCTTGTCCCTTCCCACCACACTAAGGCACTGAATCAGCCCCACCCACGATGGTGGCCCCACAGCAGACCACCTCATAACATCAGTACCCACCAGCCTCTCAGCCTCTCGCTCCAAATATCCTAACCAATGTGCATACACCCCCCCCTTTTCATTCAATGCAACCTTCTGCAACCCAAGCAAACCACAGACCGCTGGGTTCGCTCTTCATTGATATAGCTCCTCCAACAAGCTATTTCATTTCTCCTCCTCTCCCCCCAACCCAAATGCTCAGCCTCTCAATCTTCCACCTCACAGGAAGGAGAGAGAAATCTCCCATCCCACATACCAAGCTTCTCCCCCTCCCCAATGCCTTTTTGTCTACTTTTCCCTCCTTAACAGGCATGAATTATAAGCAGACCCCTCCCAGAAAGAGGCCTGGAAGAAGCACTGGGTGGAACAGCAACCATAACCATTCTAAGACCCAACACATTATTACGCCCGCAACCAGGGAGGGAAGCACAAGTAGGAGGAACAGTCTGGGATCAACCAATCTTCCTGCCAATAGAGAGAGAGACCAACCTGTTACACACACATTTCAGAGTTGTCCATCAAATACAACACTGGGCCTCGGAAACCAGGGTTCAAAACAACATCACAGGCATAGGTCCTCTAGGGGTAAGCCTAATCTCAGTTTTCCCACTCTGCAAAATGGGAACAATTGGATTTCACTCTCAGATCTTTTGTGGGGATTAACAAAATAAGGAAATGCTCTTTTTCCCCTTCTCCTTTTTCTAAAAAAGCAATGCATTCAATTAAAGGTACATGAGAGCCTAGAGCTCCTTCCTCTCTTCCATTCCAGAACACACCACCATCAATCAAGTTGACCCAATTCCCAGAGCTTGGAGACCCCTCCTCGCGAAACCCACTCCCTTGAACTCCAAACAGCCATCATAAAGGTATAGCAGGAGGAATTCTGGCCCTTCCAGCAGAATCCGCATCCTCACCAGCCCCGCTAAGATAACATGCTTGGAAATTCCTCCAGTACAAATGCCTAATTTTTTTTGGTTCCAGGAATGACGAGACGGGAGGGGGGGGGTGTTTTTCGTTTTAACAAAAGCAAAGAACCAGATGCAAACAAGTCCACCGGCAAATCGCGTAGAATCGCCAGATCAGGGGCCAGCGAGGTGATGTCTCTGTTACCTACTAAGCGACCCCCCCCCCAATACACACACACACAGGCAAGTCAAGCCCAGCTGGAGTGTGATGGGCGTTAGCCAGGCTCCTCCACTCGGGATCGGGCTCTTCCAGGGTAAGGAACCCAATCATTGTGTGGCGGGGAAGAAGGAAAGAGTTGATCTCTTCCACCCAGACACACACCCAGCTGGTGCCATCTCTTCTCTGACTTGGCATTCTCGCCCCTATTCCCTTACCTGTTCGTTTCGCCTCCCCCCTTCTCCCGGCCCCGCTTCCTTCCTGTGACGGCCGCCCACTTGCTAGGAAGCCCCTTTCGCAAACCGGAGAGAAAAACCAGCGAGGAACCTCCCTGAACGGTGGGCTTAAAAGAGCCGGCGGAGGGGGGCGAGCAGTGCAAGAAGCGCCACCACAAAAGAGGGGTGGGGGCAACAGATGGGGCGTCTGCTGCTGGCACAGACCCAGGCAGGGGCTCCCCCGCCCTGTCTAGCAAAGACCCCAGGGAAGGGAGGGGGATCCCGCGCCATCCCCCCCGCAGGACCAAACCACCCTTTTCTTTGCCTTCCTTGTTGCTCGAAAGCGACGGAGGGGGAGTGGGGCGGCCATGTGTGGGGTGATGCCCCCCTTCCTTCCTCCCCTCCGGGTCCCCCCAACCCCTCGGCACTTTGCGCGGATCCCGGCTGTACCTGCCCGCCGTTCGCTCCCCGCCTGCTGCCTCCCTCGCCTCCGTCTCCAGCCGCCGCTCTTGCTCAGCGTCTGCTCCCGCCCCAGCCGGTCGGAGCCCTTTAAACGCGGCCAGAACCATTAAAGGCATGGGGGGGAGAAGAGAAGGGATGGGGCTTGGGGAAAGCGGCGCCCCCCGCTCCCCCTTCCTTGCCCGGTCCCCGAAACCTCTCTTCCCCGGTTTTCCTTTGCGCGAGCCCCCGTCCCGCTAAGGGCAGCGGGAGAACCGTCTCTCTCCTCCCCGCCAAGGAGTCGCCATGCACGCGCACCCCCGGCCCCTGGAATGGTTCCGCCCGGGCACTCATTCATCCAGACCCGGGAGCGGCGGCGGCGGCGGCGGCGGCCAGGGCGAGAATCAGGGGCGTTCGGCAAGCGCTTGGCTCCCGCTCTTGCACGCGCGGAGCTGCCGCTTGGGTTTGTTTGGCTTTTTGTAAATAAGTGCCCAACCTGGAGAAGGAAGCAAAGGCTTGCCAAGCCCACGAGGCAGAAACTGGCTGCAAAACTGAACACTCCCCAGGCAATCGGTGCAAGGAGCGCACGTGCGCAGCTCCCTCTCGCCCTCCTCTGCTTTTGCACTCCTCCTTGCAAGGGACAGTTTCACACGCGCCCCCCCCGCCCCTGGAGAAGATGCCAAGAGTTAAGAGAACGGCTCTTTTGCGAGCAAAGGAAGATGCTAGGATAATAAATCCTCCATCTCTCTGCTGCTAGAATCCTCGAGCCTTCTTCCATATTTATTTTTGGGGGTGGAACCTCGTGAAAAGAAGTGAAAATCTGCTGGGTGGAGGGCAAAGGGGCTGACCCCCCCCCCCGGTTTATAAATTCCCAATTACACCCCTTCCCGGCCTTAGGCAACGTTGCTGTGTGTAAGGCGCCTCCTAGTGGAGAAACCGGACTAAGACTCCTGTCCTCCCCCCACCCCTGCCTAAAAACAGCGGAGGGCGGGGGAAACACCAGTTGAACGCCTGGAAATGAGCTCGCCCCCCAATGACACCCCTAAGAACAGCTCTGCCAGTCCTAGCCATCTTCTCGCCCCCAGACCCCCTCTCCAGCTCCCCGTGCCCTTTCCCCGCTCCAGACCCCAGATCTCTCCCCGCACCCTTGTTTTGGCTGCCGCTGTTGCCGCCGCCACTGTACCAGCCAAGGCACGTTGTCATGGCAACGGGAGCCAGGAGATGAGAGATGATGGACGCCCCCTTGGGTGGCGGGAGGATGATGGAGAGACCTGGGCGGTGGGATGGGTCAAGGAGGGAGAGGGGAGATAGGGGCGTGGGTGGGTCCTGGGGACGGGCAGGATGGAAGCACGGGCTCCAGAACCATTGCATCCCCCCACTTCTCTCTCGAACTATATCCCGGGCTCGGTCCGGTCCTGTACCTCCTCCTCTGCCGGCTCCTTCCGTCTAGGATTCGCTCGCTCCGGATGAGCTGCAGAGCGCGCAGGCTCGAGGGCGGGGGCTGAGTTAGTGTCCCGGCTCAGAAGAAACGGGGAAGGGCTCGTCCCGTCCCGGGCCGGGATCCAAGCGAGGGGAGGCGAAGCGGGGCCGTGGCCGGCCGGCCGGCCTGCGATGCTGCCGCTGCCTGGCACCGCCAGCGCCCAGAAACCGCGGAAACTCAACCCGCCCGAGGCCTCTGATGAGAACCAGATGCCACCGCCGTCGCAGCTACCGAGCCTGGCAAGGGCCGCGTCCACGTGGGCTGGGCGGGCAAGGCGGCCGGGCAAGCGGAGGGCTCCGGAGGGGAAACGTCGCGAAGGACGAGGGGCCAGCAAGAGAAGCGGGGCTGGGGGGGGGGGATCGCGCATCAAGGAGACGGACGGGGCGCCTCGCTCTCTTCCAGGTGAGGAGGCGGGAGTGGAGGAGCCAGACTTCATTCGAAGCAGAACCGGATTTCAATCCGAGGTGTCTGTGTGGCTCAGCCTAAGAACGCACAGGGCCAACTCCCAGGGGCCGAGATCCCTTTGGCCCCCCAACAAAATATTTGAGGGCGCCCCCAAGTTGATGGACATTGCCATTCAAATAATGTGTACCGTGTGAAATATATTCTGAGTCGAGTGTGGATTTCATGCTCTTTATTCAGCTCATAGTGGTGAGGAGGGATGGAAGTTCCCCAGAATGTCTGCTTTATATAGTACATTATTTACACAATGGTCCCCACGTGATTGGCTAATTCTGGCATTCTCCTGTAGGCCAATCAGGTTGTGGATTCACTTCCACCTGGAGTTGGATTGGGTGGCTCCTGTGGACCAATCAGACTGCTTCATTCTGGATCCTATTCAACTCAGTACATAACACTGTGTTATGTGATGGAATATATGGGGCGGGGCTTACTTGCCCCCCAATATATTGAAGTTGGCACCTGTGGTGACGGGAGAGTGCCTCTGAACATATTCAGAGTGCGCCCCTCATCCTCTTTTTGTTTGTTTGATGGCTACAGTCCACCCACACAGATCAGGAGCAAGGCAGATATTTTAGGCGTTAAGCACTCAGGGTAGGTGGAAAAAGAGTAAGTGCTGTATAACATTAAAAAAATTATTGCCTTATGCAAGATTTGGTTATATAAGTTAGTTGATCTAAAATAAGTTTAGATGAAACAAAAGAATAGAGAAAAATCAGAATGGAGCCCTGAGCAGCTGGAGAAAAGGGGTTTCTTGCATGACAAGATTCTTGGGATTCGCAAATGTATGAGTAGATAGCAAATCCTTCTGGCTCTTCCGGAAATAGGGACACAATAGCAGAGTAGCAATTCCCACCCACCTACACTTAGAATGAATTGCTCCATAAATTGGGTTGTTTCTCCCCCCTGAAAGTTTGTTTTATCCTCCATATACCACAAAAATGGGAACTCACTCTCAAAAGAGTGTTTTAATATCTAGGGTTGCTTGCTATGTTCCTGGTTTAGGAAGCAATTCTGTCCAAGATCAAAAGGTTTCAGCTCATTCCAAACCAACTATCAATAGGCAGAGGCCTGTTTTTTCCGTCGTACATACTGCTCCCAGCTGAAATTTCACTGCAATTAATAGCCGAGGTAGAAGGTCCTTTCTCAGAGGCCTAATGCTCTCCGAGATGGTAGACATGGATCTGTACCTCTTGAGACTTCAAGTGGGCTCCGTTGATGGAAGGCACATAGGGGGCTCTAGCCTAGGCTTCGCCCTTCTGATATTAAAGGTTCACAGAATCAAAGAAACATAGAATTGCTGAGTTGGAAGGGACCATGAGGGTCATCTAGTCCAACCCCCTGCCATGAAGGAATCTTTCACCCTGAATTATTTCTGCGCACACCCCTTCCTCCATCCTCACCCACTTCACAGATTCCTTCTAAAACACACCCCACAATATTTTGTTTATATATTAAATTTGTATATTGCCCTTTACTTGAAGCACAAAAGTACAATACAGTGGTACCTTGGGTTAAGTACTTAATTTGTTCCGGAGGTCCGTTCTTAACCTGAAACTGTTCTTAACCTGAAGCACCACTTTAACTAATGGGGCCTCCCGCTGCCGCTGCACAATTTCTGTTCTCATCCTGAAGCAAAGTTCTTGAACCCGAGGTACTATTTCTGGGTTAGCAGAGTCTGTAACCTGAAGCGTATGTAACCTGAAGCATATGTAACCCGAGGTACCACTGTATAAAAACAAGAACAAAACAAAACATAGTCTTTCCTGGTAAGGAAAGTGCTCCACAACTACATGGCCGCACCAAACCTCTAAAGTCCTGCTCGGATCGTGGTAGTTTTATTTCAGATCCCTCAGAAGCAGCGGCACATCTACTAGTGTTTCTTTTTCATGCACAAGGATGATAATAATGATTATTAGGAGCATTCAGTCATGTGAGCTCCTAATTGCATCCTGATGTGGTATAGCTCTGACACAGGTTTACTTTTTCACTGAGAACTAAGCCCTAAAACAGAGATGGGGAACCTGTGGTCCTTTTCAGATGCAACTGGATTCCCCTCAGCCCACACCAGCACGGCCAAAGGCCAGGGAGGATGGAGTTGTAGGCCAGCAACATATGGGGAAACACATGTTTCCCCACCTCTTAGAGGGAGAGAGAGAGAGACTGTTCTGGTTTTTCAAAATCAGGAGTTTGGCTCTATGGAGAGTTTGTGACTGGTGTTGTTGTTGTTTCCCTACATTACATTGTCACTTTTCCACCAATATAAATCTTTTTTCTTTTTTTTAACAGGTGACAGCTGTTCAAAACTTTCTACATCCTTTCTTTATAGTGCTACATTTAGGTGTTAACACTTGTGGCAGTATTCCAGATGTTGTTGCTTGTTCTAGGCTTGCCACCAGTTCCTTATTTCAAGAAACAGTTGCTAAATGTTAATAGGAAATAAGGAACCATTCCCTGAAATAAGGCACAAGTGACTAGGGCAATTTGTTTCCTCAGATCTTGCTCCCATGGCTACATTTTTATTCTAATCTTTATAATCCAAAAGGTTATTGTGGTAATGAGCCATACCTTTAACGTATGTGAACCACTGTAATATAACTACCTCAAATGGAGTGAGACAAAAATGAGGAAACTGCGATTCTCTAGCCCAGATGATGTTGTACTCCAGCTCCCATCATCCCTGGCCATTGGCCATGCTGACTGCAGCTGATGGGAGATGGAGTCTAGCAATGTCTGGAGGGCCATGGGTTCCCCATCTCCTTTTCCTGCTTAGTAACTTGAGCTTAGAGAAATGGTGAACTGGATAGACTGCAACAAGGCTAACAGCTTCCAGAAGGGTAGTCCTGTTAATCCATTGCAACAAAAGCAGCCAAGATTCTTGTGGTGTTTTAAGGATTAAGATCCCCTCCCTACCCCCACCCGAGAAAACCACTTATGGCCTGGAGTCCACTTCATAAGAAACATCAATCTGTGACATTTCTATCTATTTGCCTACTGCCTATTTTCTGAGATTGCTCCTCTCCGGTCATTTTTTCATTGTTTTGCCTTATCTCTCACAACCCATTTCCAAAGCAATTTGCCCCTGAGCCCTCAATTGGAAAGGCGAATAAATTCAAAATAGAGAGAACCGTGAAATGTCAGGCCCTGGAAGCCAAGATTTCCCTCCAATCTATCCCACACTCCCAATGTGGCGTTGATATCCTAGGAAGACCTCTGGTGCCTAGAAACCTCAGGCAGCTCAGTAAACTGGCTGATCCCCTTTAAGGGTGTGATCCTACACATGTTAGTACAAGGATGGGCAACCTATGGCCCTCCAGAGGTTGCTGGACTTCAGCTTCCATCAGCCCCAACCAGCATAGCCCATAGACAAAGATGATGGGGACTGTAGACCAGCAACACCAGAGGGTCACCAGATCCCGATCGCTGAATACAATACTGCTTACTACTGAGCGGACATGCATAGTAGGATGGTGCTATGATGTTTCATTTCCACCCACTTGTTCCCAGACGGAAACCCTATTTAACTTAGTGGATTTACTGGTGAGGAAGCATGCTGAGGACATTTCCAGTTCAGAACATTTTGACCTACTGAGGCTTACCGCATGTTGCCTTCTCATAGTTCATGCCATGTTAATTTGAATGTATATCAGTGCTAGAACATAGTTTAAATACAAGATGTGTCTCTACACAATTGTGTGCACCCACAAACATTGGGGGGGGGGTAAGGGTTCTGTATTTGCAAGAGTGCCGGCAGAAAATATGGAGGTCATCATGACATGTATATGGGGTGTTCACAGGTGTTTCTATGGGTGAGTGAGAACTTACCTGTGTGCCAAAGGTATTTACACACAATCTCTGTGTTATGCATGCATAGCCTGCACATCTGCACTGCACACAAAACCCCATAAGAAACAGTTCAAACCCAGCTTGGGGGGAGGATGCACAAACTCCAGCAAAATATAAAAAGAGATGTTGCTGAAATTGCCCCAGATTTGGAAGTCCCTCGGTTGTGTTTTTACGATGTCTTTGATTGTTTTAAAATAAAAGGAGTCTGGTGTAGACGAAGACATCATAATCATCATCATTAAAATTTGGATACAGTGGTACCTCTGGTTAAGAACTTAATTCATTCTGGAGGTCCATTCTTAACCTGAAACTGTTCTTAACCTGAGGTACCACTTCAGCTAATGGGGCCTCCCGCTGCCGCTGCGGCACAATTTCTGTTCTCATCCTGGAGTAAAGTTCTTAACCCGTGGTACTATTTCTGGGTTAGCGGAGTCTGTAACCTGAAGCCTCTGTAACCCAAGGTACCACTGTACTATACTGCCCTTCATCCGAAGATCCCAGGGCGGTTCACAACATAGAAATACAAAATGAGAATACAGAATACATAATGAAACAAAAACAAACCGATAACCCTCTCCAATACATTTTAAAAGCCAGAGAATGCTAATCAACCAAAGGCCTGGCTGAAGAGGAACTATTTTGCTTGGCATCTAAAGGCAAACCTCTGTGGAGAGAGCATTTCACAAACAGGGAGCCATGCCAGAAAAGGCCCCATTCTCACGTTGCCACCCTCCAGACCTCTCACGGGGGGGACACATGAATATGGGCCTCAGATGATGAACACAGAGTCGGTTCATATGGGGATAGGCAGTCCTGAGCCACTTAAGGCTTTATAGGTCAAAATCAGCACTTTGAATTGGGCCCAGAAACTATTTGGCAGCCAATGCAGTCGCACCAGAATCGGTGTAATATTCTCAAACCATCTTGCCCTGGTGAGCAACCTGACTGCCAAATTTTGCACTAGCTGAAGTTTCTGAACCATCTTCAGAGACAGCCCCATGCATGATGTGTTGCAGTACAGTAATCTAACCTAGTTACTGGAGCATAGATGGCAGTCTATCCCTGTCCAGATAGGGATGCAATTGGGCCACCAGCTGAAACTGATGGAAGGCACTCGGTGCCACAGCCTCAAGCGACAACAAAGGATCCAGAATTACCCCCAAGCTACCCACCTTCTCTTTCAGAGGAGGCATTATTATATTTCCATATGGGAATTTCTCTCCCTTTGGATGTTGTGTGCAGCAGTGGTACTTCCTTAGTGAAAAGCACACATACCTCACTATACAGGGACCCCATTTCCCTCCTGTATATAAAAGCCTTGAAAATGGGTTGAGCTGTGGCTCTAATGGGATTACAGCGCCCCCTGGTGCCCATGGGAGAAAATGTCCCATTGCAGCGCATTCTAGTAATCCAATACTTTCACCAGTCACGTTGTTTTAAGCGACTTTGTACCATCTTAAGTTGGGAATAAAATACCTGACACTGGAGGGCCATAACTCTATCCCCAGCTCTTTATGAGGAAGGAGGCAACACTTGTGAATCCAACTCTTTTACTGTGAACTATGATTTGGGTAAACTAGTTATCCACTCAGAATGCACCGGTTAAATCTTCAGAGTCAGACTCTCGTCAAGCCATTATGCATTATGTAAGCCAAGCAGCCCAAAGACAGAGAAACAGCAGCCACGGAATTAACAAAGCATACAGATCCTGTTCATGTCCATATAGAATCCTTTACTACAGCTAGCTAACTTTTGGCCTAAGTCGTAGGTGGACTACAAGTCTGATCACTCCAGATCATTGGCCAAGCTGGCGAGTGTTATCGTAAGAGCCGCAATTCTTTAGCTCTGCACCTCCTGGCCATATGAAGCTCTCTATGCCCATCCTCTCTCTCCCCCCTTCTCAGTCGCTTTTCCCCTTTCCTGCATTTTGTCCATGACAGAGACCCTACTGTCTGTTCCTCCTCTCTGTGACATTGCTGCAGCTCAGCCAATCAGTGTGAAGATGCTTCATAATCACCACCAACTACTCTCTGGGTGCAGCATAAATATAAATAACCTATTTTGGAAGTGGTCATTGTCTAGAAGCAACATGGCAACCAGGAAAAGTGAGGAAACACTAATGGCAATTCTTTAGTAACTGTTAAGATTCCAGGTCAAAAAGAACAGAAATGAGGGAAGATAGCTATACTTAGTCAAGGTGTAGCTTAATATTCACAATCACCCTCCAACTTGTAAAGATGGGTGTTACATGTGTTGTGTTTATTACATCAATACTTTTTGTTGTAAGTTTGTCTTGCGCCCTGGAATTGCAGTTATGTGAAAATTATGGAACACATTCCACCCCCTTGAAAGGAAAGCCTTACAGAAATCCAGTTCTAAGATTTGCATGTGGGTTTTAAGTGTGATTTTGTAGTGCTGGCAGCCACATTGGGTGGCGGGTGGGGAGTGCAGAATCAAAAAGTGGGTTCAGAGTGAAGCAAGTAAATGACCCCTTGTGCCTTTAACAGAGTTTGAATATATAAAGTAGACAGCTTCAATAAGGCTTGAACACTGGTGCTTGCATGGTTGTCTGGGGTGAACAAGAACTGCTTGCAGGTAACTAGGAATGGAAACTAATATAAATTAGAAAGGAGTTTGTTCTGCCCCCACACCTTCCTTTTATATGTCAATATGTCCCTTTAACTGTTATTAGTATTTTTTGTATATTATTATTGTAGTTTTCTTCTTTCTTTCCTCTTTAATTATTATTATTATTAATCTTTAATCTAGATTTATTTAATCTTTTTCTCCCTTGTTGAATTAAAAACAGATCAATACAACTCTGATGAGGGTGAGGCAATTTATTTTCAGGCTAGCGTCTTTTGTTACTTATTTTGCATCTTAGCAGTAAGTAGCATGAAACACTTGTTAGAGAAAATGAGAAATCAACCGACCAGCCTGCTTTAGAACCCACCCAGAGTCTGAAAGCAGATTCTAGCACTATCCCATGGCTCAAATGAAGTTTTGATCCGGCAGATTTGGCAGCCCTTGGCCACAAGTGGTACAACACAACACTTCATGTTTAGGTGAGGCAAAGTTTATTTCACCAAAGGCTGATACAGTTAGGGGTGAAGGTGCAGCTGCAGAGGTTGGAGGGCTGGAGTGGGATAAAGGAGAGATGCTGCAGCAGCTTCAGGAAGGCAGACACGTATCACACCAATAGAGGATCAGCAACTTCATCCGTCCCTCAGCGGATCTGTGGGAAGGAAGAAGAGGGTGGGAGTTGTTCCAGTACCATGCTGTAGAAGTTTTGCCAGGAAGCACTGGGCACCGCTTGTAAAAACCACATGAACTGGGGCACCACTCCATAGCTAGGTCAGGTACCACAGTGGCATCTCTTTGCGCTTAGGGTGACTACAGAACAGCAGTGCCTTGTTCATTTACAACGGAATAATGCTAATGACCTAACAGACCGCAGTGATAAACCACCAGTGAGGAAATTTGATGATGCAAAGGACAAGGCCATGGCCTTGTGGGTTAAGAATCATCGTTTCTGCTAGCTGCTGGGAAAGCAACATGGCAGGAAACAGATTGTGTACGAGTCATCAATTGGATGAATCTGCAAGAGGAGGAGCTTGAATTTTCAGAATCTTTGACGCAAATGCCACATCCACACACTAAAAAGAGGATGTTAAAGAGCACCAATCAGCTCTCAGTCTCCTCTATTCTTTGGGTAAAGGCAAATTAATGTTGTTTATCATCCCTTCTTGATGTTATCTTAGTACTTGCCAAGCTATATTCTCCTTTAAAATTATTTGCTTGTTTGTTAATTAAATTTACATACTGCCCTTCATCCGACAATCTCAGGGCGGTTCACACAATGGGGTGATCAAACCTGATTGCTTTGCAGATGTGCTAAATAACTGCAGTACAGGGTGCTCAAGATTCTGGAATGAAGGAGTGAGCAATTCGAATGGAGGACACTAGGCCAAGCTACACATTACACACAACACTGCAGCTGGTGAACCTGTGGGACCTTCAGATGTTGGAGGACTCCCAGTTCCCATTATCCCTGACCATCTGCTATGCTGACTGGGGCTTATGGGAGTTGGGGTTTCAACAACAACTTCTTAAGGTCCACAGGTTCCCATCCATCTCTGCTCTAAAGGCACTGAAACATTCTCCCCTCCTGCTTCTTCAAAACTTGAGGTGACTTACGATTATTAAAACACAATAAACAGCCCAGTCCCAACAAAAACCACGTCACAGCTATAAAAGACTGCTGCCAAAATGCCTCAAGGAATGGTGAGTTTAAAACGTCTACAACCATGAAGCAATTGCTTGGAAACTACGACTAACCGAGAATGTGGCAGCTAAACTGGTGACTGGGAGTGACTGCTGTGACCATAGAAGACTGGTCCGAAAGGATCTACATGGACTTCCAGTACATTTCCAAGCACAATTCAAAGTGTTGGTGCTGACCTTTAAAGCCCTAAACAGCTTCAGCCCAATATATCTGAAGGAGCGCCTCCACCTCCATTGTCCAGCCTGGACACTGACATCCACCTGTGGGCTTTCTGGTAGTTCCCTCACTGCAAGAAGTGGGGTTGCAGAGAACCAGGCAGAGAGCCTTCTCGGCAGTGGAACGCCCTCCCAAAAGATGTCAAACAGGTGACTTTTTAGAGCCTTCCAGAGTGGCTGGGGCAACCCAGTCAATTAGGCAGAACAGAAATAATAAAAGTTGTTGTTATTGTTGTGGTTGTCACCATCATCATCAAGCAAAACCTCTCAGTTTCAGTTAGACAGAGAAGACGAAGCAGAAGATAGAGACCACCATCAAGAATTCCTTGGCAAGAGAGTTCCAGCAAGGGAGAACTTGTGAAGACAGACTGTTGAGTACTGTGGTTGTTAAGGGAATGGGGTCATGAGCTGAAACAGTCCCAGTTCAATATCACCTCAGCTATTTAAACTTGCCGCAAAGATCTATGCAAGCCATTATCTCTCAATGATCTATTAGTAACACAGGGATACTGATCGATCTTGGCCTACCTTACAGGGCAAGACACCACAGACATAGCATTTAGAGTACTCTGAAAAAAACCCAATATAATTTCACAGGGATATACTCATACTGCTATAAATTCGCAAGGCAAGTCATTTGACACTTCCAGTATTTGAGACGCCTCTCCCCTGCTGAACGCTCCCTCCTTCAGAGCTCCCCCATCCTTATCACGCCCCTTCCCCCGGTTCCCCCACTCCCTACCGTGTACTTGTCCCACTTCTTCTCAGGGTCGTAGGGCTCCCACCGGCTTGCAGGGAAAATATGCTTGTTCTTTTCATACCAACTGCGAAGCACCACTTTGCCAGCGTGGGACTGGAGATGGGGACAAGAGGGGAATTGGGGTGGGGGAAACTATGGTCAGGAGGGGTGGGGTAGGGTGCTGTGCAGGAAGCTGAGTGCCTGCGGTAAGAGACAACCATGCTGGCTCTTATGTCAGGTGGAAGGATTTCTCAGTTGGGAGGCCTGTAAAGACCATGGACTTGGCAGCGCTGGGCCAGGTTCCCCCCTCCTCCTCACCTCATCTTTTTCCACTGTTGCATCACTCAGAAGCCGAACATCATCGTGTACATCAAAATTGAAGAGCGGCCCTGGATTGGGGAGCACCCCACGGGAGAGAGAAAAGGCTCATATTGGAGCTTATCACTCCTACCCCCATAGCCCAAACCCCTCTCTTGAACCTTCAACCTCAGCCAAGTACTTTATAACCCACAGGAAAGTCTGCATCCCCTTTTCAGCCTCTCCTTTTTCACCAACGCTTCAGTCGCTACCTCTTTGATTGTTGCCATGTCACAGGGGACAGTCTCATTGTGATTTGCCCATTGCTTCTCTGTTTATGCCCCTTTGCCTTTTCTCTTAGCCCAAGCAACCTTCTCTCTGCCAACATGCAACTGCAGCCCAATCTGACTCTGACCACCACTGTGTCTGTGCCACAGTAACTAGAACAGAACGTGCCCCCCGCATTACTTCCCCAGGTAGACTCAGAATGGAGGAAGGGCAGAAAAAACTCACCGCTTTTCCCCCGGGCCTTGGTGACGATGAAGTCATAGAAGCTGTGGTGCTAGACAGGCAGAAAGAAATGGGTTCAGGAAGGGATGTCTCAAAAATATTCCCAGCCCACACAGAGGAACGCAGCCAATGGACTTACTTTATTTATGGCAAATGGGAACTGGGATGGAAACAAAGGGCAGCGTCCCCCACAAAAAGAAAGTGTTAACTGGGGTTTGTTTCAGTGTTTGAAGACGAATGGGGTGCCACCCCACTCAGACAGACCTATAGCTATTCCACTTCTTTCCAGGGGGGACCTAACTGAATCTGGCTTAACCATCCCACTTCACATGCTGACAGAGTCAAAGGAAGACCCCATGGAACTACTCTGGGTGATGGAAGTTGGGGTCTCTTTAAATATTTCTCAAAGCAGGAAGTGGACTTCCCTAAAAGCAAGCACTAGCAGTCCCTATGTACAAGAAGTCAAGTGTTTCCTCCTAGTTTTGTTTGAACTTTTGTTGGCGACGGGAGGGAGGGAGAATCCTGCTACACACACATCCCTCTAATACTCTGGAAAGTCTAAGTAAGGAAGTTCAGATCTTCTGGCTTTTAGATTACTAGCACAAGGACGAATTAGGTACAATTTGGATGCTTTCTCCCTATGCATAAAGGGGGCAGGGTTCTGAAAAGCAGAACAGGCTGGCCCAGGGCCATCCACTCACATGTGGGATGATCAGATCCTCCTTGATGTACATAAGTTGCTCCACACCAGCTGACCTGCAAGGGGAGCGAAGGAGAGACATACTCAGAGTCTAAAGCCAACATCTTCCCCTGCCCAATAAGCCTCATACCTTCATCAGCCAGTAACTCTGACTGAAACATCCTCCAGAAAAGCATTCACTTTTCTCCTGCACTCTGCTTGCTCTGTGTTCGTGTACGTGTGTATGCTGGCTGCATTACAAAGTCTGTGCTGTCAGCTCCTACTGTGACTTTGCATATTAATGAATCATCCTCATTTTACAGATGAAGATTTAAGGCCAAGAGGTAGGGACTTTTAACTCAAATCCACCATGGCCAGATCTTACACTCCCTACTAGACCACGATGATTTGGACTCTATGATCTCTCTCTTATGCTTTGGCCATACCATTCCCACCACCCTGGGTGAGCTACCTCAACTCTGCCAAGTCCTTTACCGGAGTTCACTGAAGTCCTTACGCAAGATCTCCAGGGCCTTTTGCAGGAACTGCTGGATGGTGTTGCCCTTCTTCATCTGCACTGCGGGGAAATGAAAGTCAGTCTGGAATGGATCTCCCTCATTTATATGCCCCAGCCCAAAAATATAACCAGCAGAATCCTCAAAAGATATACACACGGCTAGTATGTGTGGGGTATTTATTACATTTACATCCTGTTATTCCTCCAAGGAGCTCAAGCCAGCACATGTGGTTCTCTATGCTTTTATCCTCACCACATTCCTGTACAGCTAGGTTGAGAGAGGGACTGGTTCAAAGTCACTCAGAAAGTAAGCTTCATGGCTGAGTGGGGATTTCAACCAAAAACATAAACTGAGGCTCTAAACACTAGACACCCTCTCTCACACTCAGTCACTCCACTGTGTGTGTGAATATGAATGAGAGGACACTATTTTACATATAAGATTAATGGCTTCAGGCCTTAATTGGTAGATTAGTAAAGTGAAGCTGTGGATATTTTGGTGCAAGTAGCTTTTAATTCATGGGGTAGAGAGCTAAGAGCAACATTATCAGTTCATAGGTGGTCATACACTGGGGGTTCGTGCTCTGCAGGGGTGAGGATCCTCCAGCCTGTGTGCCAGCCTTTGCCTGCCAGGGGTTTCAATGTGGCCCGCAAGGCCAATTTCCCCAAACCGTGCTCACCCGCCCATCAGCTGACATCACTGTTGACAGCAGCTGATGGGCAGGAGGACAGGGTTTAATCCTGTATTTGTTGTGTGTCCTGTTCCCATTTGGGATGTTAGCTGACAGGCAGGTGCCCCCAGCCCTAGTCAGATTTGGCATGCAGGACAAAAAGGTTCCCCACCGCTGGTGCACTGAATGGAAAAAGCCAACCATCTGGGCTCCTACCACCCCACACGCTAAGCCACCAACTCCTTTTCCAAAGCTAAGAACTGAGCCCAATGTCGCATGGAGCAAAGCTCACCTTGACAGTCCGGCGGTGCCCAGAGCCATCCCAGTAGCTGAAGGTGATTTCTATTTCTTCACCTGGTGGGAGAGGAAAATCACAGAGGAGCCAAGAGAAGGGCAGAATAAAAACTCTCTCATCAGAAGAAATATGAAAATCTCCAACATCTTCCTATAAACAATACCCCTCCCCTGTTATGACCACATGACAGGCTCTGATAACCAGTGGTCGAGGCCAGGCCACCGACACCACATTCCATCACTCACTCTTTATTTTCTCCTGTTTGGCTTCCCACTCCTGCCGAAGTTCTTCTCGCAGGCGATTTTCTTCCTCCTGGAAACCGGAGGAGGGGAAGGCAAAAGCTGTCAAGGTGATGCCTTGGTGGGGCTGGGGAAACCCAGCACCTTCCCGATGTTTTGGACTCCAACTCCCATCAGCCTCCAGCCAATATGGCCAGTGGGTCAGGGATGATGGGAGCTGGAGTCAGTCCAGTAACTTCAGGAGAGGCCACAGGATCCTTGCTCCTGCCTTAGTGCAGAAAGGAACAATCCACAGAGGGAAAGATGGGAGCAAAGTGCCCTGCAAGATGTAGCTGGCAAGGGGCATTGGGGACCCCTCCAGGGCACTTGAGGATGGAGGTGGTTGGGCGCCACAGAAGGCAGATAAGCAGCGTACCTCACGGTCACGGTCAGGCAGGAAGCTGGTGTCCACATCTGGGTTCTTCCCCAGTTTCTTCTTCTTGCGGGCCAGCTCTGAGGGAGGTGGTGCAATCAGACAAGAATGAGGAGCTACCCTTGAAACTTCACAGCCATCCCTTCACAGCCCCACCTTGCTTCCAGCATCACCACTATCCAGGCCCACCTGGGCTTCCCTCTCCACCTGGGAGCACCCAGCCTTCCAGTCCTCACCTTCCCGCTCCAGCTCTGCCTCTTCCTCTTCCTCCTCGATGCCATCATCTTCCTCCTCCTCATCCAGGGTGAAGGACAAGCTTGAGATCTTGCGCTTCTGCTCCTGCTTGCGTTCCCGCTCCCGCATGCGCTCCAGCTTCCTATGAGGAACAAGCCAACATCAGCTTCACAGGGCATGTCCCCTCACGGGGAGGGGGAAACAAAGCATTCCAAAGATGGTGGAGGAAAGCAGAGAGTTGAAAAACAGCAAGTGACCTGAAGAGGAAAGAGGGGTTGATGTTAGAGTATCCCCAGATTGGTCATACTTCTCAGATTAGGGAGATGGGCAGGAAGGGAACTTAAGAGTCACAAAGCTGCTATACTAGAGGGAAGCAAATAACAACGTGTCCTTATTTATTTAGGATTATTTATAATCTGCCTTGCTTTCATCTTGGAATTTAAGGCAACTTTCATGGGGTTGTCAGGCAGTCTCCCATCCAGATCAGACCCAGACCCAGACCCAGTGAGTGGCTGCATCATAAGCCTTCAGGCAGTACCTGTGCTTAACAATGCTCAAAGTGTTTCACAAGCATTACTGCAGTAATCTTCACAACCACCTTGTAAGTTTGGCCAGTATTATGCTGCCGGTACTGCAGGAGGAGGCACTAAAGCTGAGAGAAAATAGTGGCTTGCTCAAGGCCCTGCTGGATCAGATCAAGCACCCCATAGCCCAGCACCCTTGCTTCCAACCGTAGCCAGTGGTTGCCTTGGGAAGCTCACAAGAAAGGCAGGAAGGCAATATTCTTCCTGGTTAAGCTCCAGGTTTTTTTCTTAGTTTTGTGCAGATATAATGCCTCTGGACATAGAAGTTCCATTCGCTTAGTTGACAGGCTAATTAACAGATTTATCCCTTTTTTAAACTCACAAAGGCTTAGTAGATTTCAAAATTACGCAATGCATGAAGAAGCACCTTGTTCTGCCTCTCCTGAACATGACTGACTGCATGTCTTAGTGTTCTATAGTTTAAAATGGGATGCTCTCACTGCACAGCCTACATCTGAATAGCCACCCACCAGGAATGCTGAAGGTACAGTGTGCCAAGGGCTAGGACCAGATGATCTCCATGGCCCATCCAACTCTACGGTCTTAACCATTACGGTACTCCAGATCTTATACACCACCCTATAGTACAGGGGGAACATTCATGAAGGAGAGAAAAAATATTGCCCATCCCAGTCTACCCAGAACACCCACAACTCACAGCTGCAGCTCCTTGGACTGCTCCTTCTTTGCCAGCTGCTTCTCCCGTTCCTTTACGAGAGCCTCTTGCTTGGCCTTCATGTCGTTGAGGGTCACCAGACCTATCAGAAGAAAATGTGCTGGGAATCAGGCCTCCCATGTGATGATTACCCAGCTCTGTGCAGGGAAGTAGAGTCTATTCATCCATTCAAGTCAAAGAATGGAGACTGGGACCCCTGCAGCTTCATTCCCCAGCACTGGGCTCCCTTCCCACACTCACCAACAGTGCTGGATTTCAGCTCAGCTTCCACTGCATCATAGTGAGCTGAGAATTTCTTGTCAATGTTTGACTTCATGATGTTCTCCTGCCATGGGAAAGAGGAGATCAAGTTTGCTGCTGCAAGAAGCTAGAGACTCAGCGATATCCCAGTTACTACTTCCAGCCCACCTTCTTAGACTAAATCTACAAAGATGTACAACTACCCCAAGAGGAGGAGGAACACAGATTAGGGGACATCAACCCATGTGCTGTTTGGGGTCAGGGCAGCCATAGGAAAACCTCACATGCCCTTAGTGTTCTCATCTCATCCTGCCCTTGGTTAAGATAAGCACTCACACTCTGTATCCCAACTATTTTAGATTCATAGCCTACCTTAATCCAAAGACCTGGGGCAGATTATGTACATTTTCTACTGATTTTGATTGAAAGAAGTAAAGAAAAAGAGGGAAATCCTTTTCACCAAGGAAAGAAGTCAAGTTGGGCATGGAAAGGTCCTCAACCAGAATGCTTTGCTTCACAGGCAGTGCTGCCAGGAGGAATTCAGTGTCTTCAAGGCTGAGAAGTTGGGCTCCACAAGAAAGGGCCAACACCCCAAACTGTATTTGTTTTATCAACATTGCCCTTGCCTTGTCAATCCAATAAGTGAGCTACAGCACACCCCTCTCTGGTATCCTCCAGATGTTCTGGACTCCAGCCCCCACCTGTCCCAGCCAGAATGGCCAACAGTCAAGAGTGACGGCAACTGTAATTCAAAACATCTGAAAAGTACCACACTGGGAAGGCTGATCTAAATGGTTGGGAGATGTGAGCCCAGAGAACAAAGTCCAAGGATCTGTAATCATTTTTGGAAGGAACAAGTGCCCTGCAAAAGCACAGAAAGGTCCAAGGCAAGAAGAGAGCTCATTTGAGACTTTCAAGCACACAGCATTTTTGTATACTAAGAGGGAACCCAGGGGAAGCAAGCAAGGTGAGCTAAACATTGTCAGAAGCAGTGGTACTGTTGGCAAGACTTGTTGGGGAAAGCTCTCAAGACTGAAGTGTCATTATTATTCAGGGGGTATAGCTTGTTATAAAAACACAGGGAAAGGGGGAAAGTAGTCTATAAACTCAATGCATTGCAGAAAAAGTATACGGTCACCCAGGTCCAAGATGAAGGGAATGGCAATACCTGTGAATGTATCTGGATGAAGGAAAAAAGATAACACTGTGAATGTCCGCTTAGAGACCCGCAAAATCAATCAGAGTCGTTGAATGAGGAATTCTCTAATAAAGAATTAAATTGTTCTTTGGCACTAAATACACACTGCACAATCTAAGCTCTCCTGTTTCTAGGGAAACACATTTCTGTTTGGGGAGCTTAACACTACAGAAAAAAGCAGTGCTGCAGCCCAGGCACTTCATATAAAACTTTAAATCTCCTAATAAAGCAGAAGAAAAGGAAGTTGTGTCTGCTCCCTCACTGGTCCTGTCATCCACCGCCCCCCTCAGGTACGGCACACTTGGGATTCTTGCTTGTGACAGCAGGTAGAGGGAGAGAGATGCCAAGACTGGAGTAGGTAGAAGCAGCTATGCTATGCCCTACTGCTCGGAGGATAGGGAGATTTCAAAGGCATGTGCTTGGTGTTCAAGTTGCAAAGCAGCAAAGCAATATTCAAGATCAGGTGTTTGGCCCTCCAAATGCTGCTGAACTACAACTACCAACATCCTTCACCATTTGCCACACTGATGGGAATTGCAGTTCACTGACATCTGGAGGCCCCAGTGTTTCCCACACATGTTCAATATAATAAGGAACTAACTCAGGACTGGAAATATTTCATCTTTTGAGGCACATTTCTGAGCACCTATAATTTTTCTAAATTTTCTGCAATTACTATACTTGTTGGAGACAGAACCTATTTAACTATGCAAGGGACCTTACATGCATTTGAGATTATTTTTTTCTCTTTCAGCAGGTTAATAGAATGGTCAGAATCTCAATTCATTTAAATCTTAGTTCACTTTGACAGAGCAATACTAACAGACAATGTGATAGTGATGATCCTAACATGAAAGATGTGATTAGTCAAATAAAAGGAAAGAGAAAGGATAACAAAGTCCAGGTTTTAAAAGAGGTGGGGCGGAGGGAATGTACTTCACTATACTCAGACAGTTAGAAAAGTATATTGGAAAGATACGTTATGTGACAGACAAGTTGGGGAAGATGGGCAATTTCTGACAGTAATAAAAGAAGAAAACTGCAAACCATAGTCATGCAGAAAACGAATATTCACAAAAAGGGATACAACCACACAGGAATTTTTTAATCTGGTAGCCAAAACTTACAAGAGGTGGGATGGACAAGTGATTGAAAGGGAGACGAGAATATACAGAATACATCAAGCCAGAAGAATAAAAACCTCTAAGAGAAATCTGGTGATAGAGAGATGGAGAACCTGTGACCCTCCAGTTGCTTTTGGACTACGACTCCTGTCATCCCTGATCGTTGGCTATGCTAGCCAGGCTGATGGGAGCTGAAGGTCAACATCTGGAAGAACAGAGGTTCTCCATCCCTATGGTAAAACAACAAGTTGTGAAATCTTCCTAGAGAGGTTTTCAAGGGAAAATATTTAAGGTTGCTTAGGGCAGGGATTGAACTGACCAACAGTACCCCTTCAACTCTATAATGGAAGAGAGCAGTGAAGTTAAAGAAAAAACAAAAAACCATGCCAAGGGCCAACTGAAATGCTGTGGGGGGAAGGAATCATGAGGAAACGATTATCTACAACTATTGCCAAAAGATAGATACGTTGGTTTAATGTATTTTTACTCAGCATGCTCAGCTTCACCATGGGCTAGGGTACTGTATTACCTGCAACCATAATTTGAATACACTGTTAAATATTTATTAGAACATCTGCTTAATTTTTTAATGCCTCAATTTGGTTTCTTATACTGTATGAACACTACAGATTGCAGAAAAATGGCTTAAAGGTGCATTTGAAAAGCATCACATATGAAAAGCATTGAAACTTTTTAGATGACTCTCGTGGTCCCTTCCAACTCTACAAAATTCTATGATCATTCTGAAAACACCTTTCCGTATTTTGCACTGGCTCTTCCTGACAACCTGGCATCAAAGAACAGACAATTCCATGCTGCTGCCTTCTTTCCCATTCCCTGCACTCAGAGTCCTCCAATGCTTCTGCACCACACCCTCATGGTAATACCTCTCTCAGCAACCAAATTACACCCCCCCCATCTTGCCCCTTAGGACCTTCTGCTTCCTTTCACCTCAGCAATCCGTTGCCTCATCTGTTCCATATGTTCCCGCTGCCTCTCCCTCTTCTTCATCAGCTGGAGTGCCCGGCCAGCCTCGCTGGCAGCTCCTTTGTATTGCGCCATGGCTGTAGATGGACCTGTGAGGCAAAAATAAAAATCCCCACATAGACATGAATGTATGAAGCAGCAGCTTTATAACAAGCAACCCATCTGGCTCATTACTGTCTGCTCTTGACTATTTATTTATTATTTATTCATTTCATAAGATTTATACACCGCTTGCTTATAAAACAAAAACAAAACAACAACAACCTCAAAGCGGTTTACAGGAAGACAAAACAATAAAATTAAGAAAATTTTACAACACTATTTTTAAACCTACATTAGTTGAAATAGCAAGAGATTAAAACTACTTTAGCCAGGCTCTCCTTCCTTGAAGGTTTTTAAACAGAGGTTGGTTGGCCCTCTGTCATGGATGCTTTAGCTGAGATTCCTGCATTCCAGGCGGTTGGAATAGAAGCAGGGGTGGCCAACTCCCAAGAGACAGCGATCTACTCACAGAGTTAAAAACTAGCAGTGATCTACCCCCTTTTTTGGGTTCAAGTCAACGTTGTTGAGCTTTTTTAGGGGAGCCAAAGTTTTTGAGCTTCTTTGGGGGAAGCCAGTGATCTACCAGTGATCTACCACAGACGTCCAGTGATCTACCTTAGATCACAATCTACCTGTTGAACGTGCCTGGACTAGATGATGGTCCCTCCTAACTCTTAAGATTCTATGGATAGCTCAGTTGGTTAGAGCCTGGAGCTGATAACGCCAAGGTTGCAGGTTCGATCCCCGTCTGGGACAGCTGCACAGGAGGCTGGATTAGATGCTACTGTCTACAATATGATTCTGCTGCAACTTTCTAACCATCTGGGCAGGGTTAGGGAATGTTTCTAAGCCGGCGCCGAAGAGAGCGCAGCGAAGGCGCCTGCTTGATCAATCGGCAGGGAGTTCCAAAGTGCAGGCGCTGCCCGCACTAACCGGCCGGGATGTTGCGCCGGCGGGCTCGCAGCGTCCCTAAAGAGATTTCCCGGCCTCATGAGCCAGAATCCTTCGAAGCGAGCGTGGGGGGCTGGCTCTACCACAGACCCCCCAGCTCGGCCCCTCAAAGGCTGCTGCCCGGCGAGCAGGAGCAGACGAGGGGGCAGAACCTGGACGGCGGAGGGCCTCGGATCCGGCCGGGGAAGCAGGGGCGCGCAAATGGGCGGACCCGGTGTGAGGAAGCTCTGCGGCCTTGCCTGGTCAGGAGAAGGAGCACCCGCTGATTTCGCCTCTCCTTTCTCCAGCCGCAGATCCCACCAGCTGCCTTACCTACGTCGCTCGCGAGCGGAACTTCCGGCAGGGGGAAAAACCGGAGCCGCCCGCTATTGGCTAAGTTCCGCTCTGGCCCGCGGCATCACTATGGTGGAAGCCCTGTCGCGATGAAGCGTCTTCCGGAAACTCGCTCAGGGAGGAGTCAGTGCGCAGGACCCATTTCCGGTTCCGCGATTGGCGACGACGCGGAGCCAGCGCCCCCTAGAGGGCCGCCGCCGAGCGGACGGAAACAAACGTGGGTTATTGATCCCTTGTGTCTCTGGAGGACTCGGAGGAACGCGCTTGAGACAAAGGCGTGCAGTGCGAGCCTGTGAATACATCTACTCAGAAGTAAGCCCCATTGAACTCAGTGAGGCTTACTCCCAGGTGTATAAGATCGTAGCCTGTATAGTCTTTCCCCCATTGTCCTCCTCCCCCCCCCATCATCCCTGATCAGTGGTCCTGCTGGCTAGGGGTAAAAGAAGTTGGAGTCCAACAACAGCTGGAACATCCTCCCTCCCCAAGATTGGGAAAGGCTGGTTTAGGCAGTCAGCCTGCAGAAAGCCCCGTTTTCTTTTGTAGTTTGCAGAGGGAAACAAAGCATCCCTTATTACATCTGTGTCCACACTAGCTGCAGTTATTTTATGCCCTTCAGATTTGTCACACATATCTGTTAATCGCTTTTCTTGCAAAGATGGAAGTGACAAATATAAAAATCAATGAAAATCAATAATAAAAACACAACTTGGGACAAGCTTTTTGGGGCGTGGGGGAAGGCAACATGATGCTTCCAGTTCTTCCAGAGTGCTACAGGAAAAAAGACTTGCAAATCCTGTGCCCTCAAAACTTATTACATGGTGTAGAAATTAAACAAGTTAAATTTTTCCCTGCGCATCTCAAGTCTGTTGAATTTTTGTCTTTTAAAGGTACAGACATCCCAACAGAAAAGGGATTTGAACCTTGCAGGATCTGTTATCTTACCTTAATTAAAAAAATAATAAATAGAATGTACTTTTCAGAGTACTGCAATGAAAACTTCTACCTTCTCTGTACCTGGAAACTATACCCTTCAGAGACTTACAATTTCCAGCACCCTTAAACTTCTCAGGATTCTTTCAGGGAAGCCATGTGTTTTAAATGGATGGTGTAGATGTGACCAGTTTTATTTAAATGTTCTGATTGCATTTACAGTGATTCCTGCGTACTTCTACCACACTTGCCCAGATGTGGAGAATTCTGCAATTGGCAGCTGGGAGTGAGACCTGTGTGGATATCCTTTTTAAAAGATCCTAGTTTGAAACCTCTTCTGTTTAGAATTTCCCACCTTTCTAAATATTGTAAACAATATTTTCATTCTACTTGAGTTGGCTCTGCAGCTTAACAGGAAATAAGTGGTGCCCTCTAAATTCTTCAATATGTAAATTTCACAGTATCTGCCCAAAAGGTTTATCCATATATGAACTGACCCAGACCCTGCAATCCTCATCTGAGGCTCTTCTTCATGTCCCTACTCCACAAGAGTCAGAGATTTCTTCTAGAGCCTTTTAATGATCATTGCTCTAGTATGGCAGAAGCACTGTGCTAGAGGGAGAATAAAAACCAGCACTCTTACTGTAAAGAGAGGCTCCCTGAGGGCAGAATTGCAGAGAAGGCCTAAGAACTCTTCACCAGTTCTCCCCTGCAAGTACTGCTCCTGTCCCCATATTATCTTGGCAAACAGGGTTTCTGCTCCAAGAGGAAAGGGTCATAAACTAACTGGGCCAAAAGGTCTTAGCCCAAGGTAGAGGAGAGGTAAATGCATAAGTTTGAATAATCTGATCAATTCCAACAGTTGGCTCCCTAAAACAGCCATTCTTCATTTCCTTGCTTAACTCTAAATTCTTGAAAAAATGACACTGAGCAGTAAAAAAAAAAGCAGATGAGATGGAAGTCTGTAACCAGAGTTAAGCTGTACAGGTTAAAACAAAATTCAAGTTTCATGGTTCACATGGCGCTGGGCTCTACATTGGAATTCCTTTCCAAAAAGATGAAGCCACAAAGGCCAGGCTGTGGGACTTCTCCAACATTTTCATTATGCCATGTCTCACATGAGATTTTTCATCCATCTCCTGAGTTTAACAGGGTCTTTCTCTACAAAAAGCCTCCCTTCTCTACTTAGGAGACTGCCTAAACGTGACCTCCCCTTCCCTCTCATTCCCACGGTGGTGGTACCAGACAAGAGCCAGAGCTAGACTAAGTGAATTTATTACTTTGAGACAATTGAGCAGCTGTGGGGTGGAGGGAGGTGACCCCTCATATCCCACTAGAGTTACAGACAGATTGTTAACCATAAAGCCAGCTTTGGCAGGAAGGAAGCCTCTGACACAAAACAGACCCCAGGCCTTTTTGCTCATGCCAGGGCCTAACCGCCCCCATCCAAACCTCGTTAATTATCAGGTGTGTCAACAAAAGTTTGACCTGCTTCATTAATAAGTTACAATAAGTTACAGCAGGTGGCAGCAAGTGGAAGGGGACAGAACCACCACCCTGTCCCTATGTCCAGCACACGAGAGACACATACACACACGCACACGCACACACAAATCTTCCCCCACTTTAGGCTAAAGTAACTAAGAGGGAATTGAGGGGACAAAATGGACACAAGACAAACAAAGAGGCCTGTGAGAACCTGAAGTGGCAAGGTGGGGGAGGGGAGGGACTGGCCAGAGGGACAGCATGTGTGAAAAGAGGCGGTTCAGAGGGGCCTTTCACGCCCCTCCAAATCCTGTAGTGCTAGTCATTCCAGCCTCTTCTCAGCATACAGAAATGAAGATTCACACCATGATCATGATAAATATGGGAAGGAAGGAGGGCTGCGTTATATGTAAGCGAGGGGAGGAATGTCTGTCACAAGTGAAGCAAGCAAGCTAATTCATTGGGATCAGGGGAGGGAGGATTGTGAGGCACAGAAAATAACATGGGAGCTGAGAGGAGAGAGGAGGGCAAAGTGGAAGAGATGAGGAAAGTTTGAGATTAGCAGCAGGAACAAAGGCCAAACTGCATGCTCCATGCAATTACATGCCTTTAAACCCCTGATGTCTGCTGCTTCTAGGAACAGATTTGTGATGGGGCAACTTGAAGTGGAAAAGTGACTAGTGTGCTTACTTCTGCCCGCTTTCAGATGTGTGTTTATCCTTACAAACATGCAGAGGGAAGGAGCTGCAGCAGAAGAGTGTGCCAAATCACCCAAGCCTGCTTTTTCCTAGAAGTTGGTAGCCAGCAGAGGTTAAATGCATGCAATTGAATACAATACAAATCCCTGTTCTGTAAGAGAATGGGTCCCCAAAGAATTTCAGCTGCACCAACTCTGATGCAACTTCAGTTGTTGGGGGAGGGGTCTTTTTCTTGTGAGCAGAAAGATACGAGATGGAGTGGAAAAGTAAACTAGGAATGTCTTTTCTCCCTGCGGATTAAGGGGAATGGTCACAATTAAGAGAAATCAGTCATAGCTGAATGAATATCTGGAAGAGCCAGTCTCAGGTGAGGTGTGGGGTAAAGCCAGTCCCTAGTGGGAGTATGGTCCCTTGCATGGGGAAAACCCAGGGGGAGGGAGGATGGGGAGGGAAGGGGAGAGAAAGAGAAGGGGAGTAGTCACTGCTCATCCTCGCCAAAGACATCATTCTGGCGCCGTTTCATGCTCTCAAAGTCAAAGGGAGCCCCTGCCATGCGCCGGTAAATGTCTTTGATGTCGTCGCATGTTGTCTCAAAGTGGGTGGTGGCATCATATGACCGTGAGCAGAATACCTGCAGGGGAAACAGAGGCAAGAAAAACCACAGGTGCATGAGATGGGCAATAGAAGATAAAGAAGCCAGGATCTTCTTTAAAGCCAGCTATGGACCATGCAGCAATGCTCTCCCTTCTCTACAACACTTCGGAACACCAAATACGTTGTGGAATCTCACCTGACTTTCAGTTCCATCATCAGTAGGCTCATATATGTCACTGATGGCCACAAACCTATTAAAAAAGGAAAGATGCTTATGAAAGTCTTAAGGGTTTGAAATATGTTTGAGACAGGCTCCACTCCCCACACACTGCGTTTGCCATTTCTGGTCAAACAGGCTTTGAAAGTTTTTGAAATAATAAGAGAGTAACCTGCAAACTCTGTTTACCACAGGCAAAAATGAGATTCACACATACACCAGCAGCGATCCCTCTCTCAAAGCTGTTCCTCTGTTCCTTGCTACTGAGTTTCTGACTCAACCCTGCAGCTTGAAGAGCCATGAACTGGAGGGCCTAGCTAGCCCAAAGTCTCTAGCCCCAAAGTCTTTGTTTCCACTCTCTCAGCATCCTTCAGCAGGCCCTCTTCTATTAATTTATCTGAGCTTTTATCAGATCCAGCATAAACCTGTTTTAAACTTTCTATGTAATCTTGCGTCTCCCTGCCCCTTGTTTCCTTCTATCTCATTATAGCCTCATTTATTTTTCTTTCGTTAAACTGTTTTCTTATTCTATTCAGAGGCCTGATTGTGCCACTTCAGATTGCAAATAGGGCTTGCATGAGAGAACATGCCCACACATCGAAAACTAGCATGTTAGGGAGTGACTAGGCTAGAATCTTCCTGCCATCATTTTAAAAAAATGGAACAGCAGCCACTCACAGTCCAGATATTAGTGATTGCTGCATCTCTTGTCCTTGGATTTTCCTTCTTTACCCTATGTGGAAAATCTCCTAGAAATCACCATCTTTATCTTGAATGAAATGCAGCTGTGCCCAAGTATTTGAAGGCCCTTGTTATGTGTGTCCCCATTCCCTATCCTTTTAGGTTGTGAACTGTAGGCAGGAAGTTCTGTGTCCTAAAGCAGAAATTGTGTCCTACGGCAATCATCATCAACATCATAATCCTAGAGACTAGTTCTGTTCCTCATGTTTTCCCCTGGCCCACTCACTTTTGGTCGACAGGCTGAAGAAGTTCGAGGGCTGGCTGCACTTCATTCTCAGGAGAGTCCGTCTCCACAGTAGTGCTGGCAATTGCAATGTACTTGCCCTGCGCAGCCACATTGTGGGCGGAGGAGATCAGGCAGACATAGATATCTGGGTAGGGAGGCAAAGGAAAGGGTCACAAGCCTGGTGGAAAATAGGCCAAGCGAAGCAGCCCCCACCCCAACACATACACTATACCAACATTATCTTATACAAGATGCCAGAGGGTAGATGTGTGTGTTTTCGTAACGAAGGAAAGGACGGTAGCTCAGTGGCTGTAAAGTCCCCTGCCTGAAACCCTGGAGAGTTAGCCCTACTCATTGTTGAAATCCCGAGCTCACCATGAAGTTCACTTGGGCCATCCTAGTCTACAGAATTGTTACAAGATACAGAACTGGAGAAAATTATAATGCTCTTGGTATACTTCATATTGGGGATAGGACAGGGGTTGGCAAACTAAGGCCCGTGGGCCATATCCGGCCCAGTTGCCATCAGGATCCGGCCAGCAAACAGTTCTGCAATCGCCACTTGGATCGGCGGAATCACTATTTTCTCCCAGGTGCCACTCTTTTGTGATTTTTTTCCCCTCCCTCCCTCCCTCCCTCCCTCTCTCCCCGCAGTGGCGTCTCCTCCCTCCTCCCTCCCTCTTCTTGGCTTCTCCCCGCCCTGTGGAGGAAGGGGGCTGGGCTTTGATAGGAAGCCTCACTGCCCACCTGCCGGCCTCTCCCTATGGCCACGCTGTGGGCTGGAGCTTGGCGCACCTGCTGGCGAAAAGGAGAGGCGTCACCACTGCCACCAGCTCCCAACCACAGGCAGAGCGGCAGAGGAGGTAGGCAGGAGGAGGGGAGCGGCTGGGGGAGAGAGGGGGAGAGAGAGAAGCCCCCTCTACCACGTGTGCGCTCCCCCGCACACAGTCCGGCCCCTCACTAGGTCTGGGGATGGTGAACTGGCCCCCTCCAAAAAAAGTTTGCTGACCCCTGGGATGTTGCTGGACTCCCCACTCCCATCCATCCCAACTATCATGGCCAATGGTCAGGGATGATGGGCCACTGGTCCTGAAGAGCCACTGGTCCCCTGTCCCAGCTGTATATGATACTGTGGAAGAAGCCCCCAAACATTATATCCTGCCTCCCCTTCCCCCAACTCTACCCAGAGCCCCATATCCACCTGTACTCACCAGATTTGCGCCCCACTTGGTTCTGGGGGATGATGATTTGACAGGAGTTAGAGTCATTGGTGCCACGGATAGGGTGGCTCAGGATGCAGATGACACGCACCACCTTTCCTGCGGGGCGCACCCGATCTGGCACATAGCTGGGGTCGCAGATCAACTGCTTGCAGCGTGCCACCTGGAGTGGGGGAGTAAACATTGTGTAGAGGGCCATTGGTAGAGCCCAAGACTTCCTTGGATGTTACTCCATACAGTTAAAGGTTCGAAAGGCCCAAGTGTATAACTAAGAAGCTTGGTAGAAAGATGGTACATAAATTCCAAAAAATAAATAGAACAAAATGCTCCCTCCCCAAATTATGCTCCTGAAATGAAAGGGGGTGGGGGACCTTGAAAAGCCAGAACTGGATTTTTGTATGAAATGACTTTAAGATCAGTTCTGATGCTGAAAATAAATTCCAAGGTGCTCAGAGGCATCTTGTTCTATTCTAACACTACACTCACCTCTGAGGCACTGTTTTGCACTGCTAGCTCTGTTTCGTGGACCTCTGGGATTTTAGTAATCTTCCTTATGTTTTCCCATCTCTGCCCTTGCCCATATCGCTTGTCCTGGTTCGAGCCGGCAAAGTATGCAACACAAGTGCTTGCTAGGCTGTGCTGCCTTAGACTGCATTGGGAGGAATCACTTGTTTGAATTTGTCCCCATATCAAAAGCAACCAGCCAAAGATAGGGCTAGAGTAGGTTCATCTCACAAGCCACATACTCAGGCAGGAGAAAGGATGATGATTTCCCATTCCAATTGCTGCCAATCCACATGGACTAACAGAATCAGCTTACAGGCAGAGAAGGGGGCGGGGAGTGGACCCTGGATGCAGATGAACAACGGTAACTCAAGCCTCTTGAAACAGGTAGTACCTCTTTAAAAGCCAGGTACTTCACTTACGGAACAGTCTTCCGAGCACCATTGCTCCCAGGATGTAACTTGAGACATCCCCTTCCCAGCCTTTCTACCATAGAGGGGTGAAAGGTCAGCTTCCCATTCTCACCTCGCCTTCAGATTTGACCCCGATGACCTTGCCACCTTCCATGACAATCTCATCCACTGGCTTGTTGAGCATGTAGGTGCCACCATAGATGGCACTGAGCCTGCGGACATGAGATGGGTGGGTGGTGAAGGGCACTGACCAAAACAGACCTCAACCCTAACACACACCTCATGCAGTTCAGCTACAAGGGCAGAACTACTTTGCCAAAAGATGTAAGCAATCCTTTTCCCATTACTTTCATCCCTCTGTTAATTAACAAGTCAAACACTAATATCAGAATTGCTTGTTTTCTGTGACTGTGATCAAATATAATTGAGTTTCTTTACATTTTTAAGGTATTACCTAATCCCTTATGCTTGTGAAAGCATGCAGATGGGATCTATGAAAAAGCGATCCAGGGGTTCAAGTTTCTGTGCTCCTCACATGCATTTGTTTCTCTCTTGGAGTAACATTCATGTTTCCTTGTACAGAATGTAAATGTGTCCATCACCCCAGAAAACCAGAGAACTCTGCAAAATCTTAGATACCAAGTTCAGAATAAAGCATACACATTTCTGCAGATTTTGCATATAACCCATTTGAAAGCTCACATGTAAAAGTTCAGAGTCTCAATATCCTGGAACAGAACTGGGTGGTGGTGATGGTGGAAATAGTAACTGTGACTGGACTCAATGCCCTTTCTTTCTACTAGTCTAAGGACCAACGCAGGAGTTGCCCCATGTACTTGGAGCCCTAGGATATGGCATACCTGGCAAAGCCCTGGGGTAGTTCACCCAGACCATAAAGTGGGTAGAGATAGGGACTCTTCCCATAGCGGGCCAGGGATTCACTGTACAGTTTGATGCGATTGATGGTCTCCAAGCAGGGCTGATCCAAGTAGCTGTGAAAAGAGAAAACAGCCTGCCTCAGTCCCACCAAGAATGAACAACAGGAAGCAGAGGACAAGACAATTGGGAGTTTCCTAAGGGAAAGGTCAGGGCTGTCTTGTGGGCCTGAGGGAGCCAATGACCAGTTTCCCCTTTTTTGCAGAGAAGGGGGAGAGTCCATAATTTTTCATAGGCGTTTTCCTTGGGCATCTCCCCCTGCCCACCCTGTTTCTAACAAGCCAATGTTGGACATCAGACTGTCCTCCAGGTCACTCTCAGCTGACAAGGAGCTACTAAAATAACCACAGGATGTGGCACAGCTACATAGCCAGGGGACATAGAAAAAGCTGCACTCCCTGTTAGAAGGAGGGTTTAGGATCAGCTACTCACTCATCGGTGCGGTAGAGTGCCAGCGCATGACCTGTGAAGTCAATGACATCCTGGCCCAAGTCAAAACGTCGATAGACCTCGCGCATTGTGGTGCCGTGAGGATCCACCCCTTCCAATGTCTTCGAGTCGTTCTCATCAAAGTTTGCCACAAACACCAGGAACTTACGGAAGCGCCGCTTCTCAAACATGCCCATGAGATCTAAAGGAGGAAGATGGGTTGGACTAGAGACAGCACACTGCAGAGTCACACTGAATTACCAGGGGCCTGGCTCAATGGAAGAGCATGTTTTGCACTAGGAAGGTACCAAGTTGAATCCCAGGCATCTCCAGCTAAAAGGATCTCGGGTGCCAGGGTGCCACCAACAGAGTACAAGTTCAACATCTTCAAGGGAGGAGACACGGAGAGGGTCCTTCCAAACTTGGAGAAGAGTGGTGTAAAGGTTAGCCCCAAGTCACTCCCTGGACTCCAAAATTTTAGGTAACACTTAGAATGAATAAATTGTGGCAAAAATGTTCCTATTTAGGGCAAGCAATCCCATCTTGTACACTGCATGGCAATAAGTAATGTGGGTCAAATAATCAAAAGGCACCTGTGAGCCCAAGTCCTCACCATAGCTGTCAACCTTCCCTTTTTTTGCGGGAAATTCACTTATTCCAGCACCGTTTCCGCTGCATCCCGCTGCTATCCCGGATTGTTAGATATCCCGTAGACTGTCCCTGGGACAGGTGAGGCTGCTGATCCCTTATTTTCAAAACTGAAAGTTGACAGCTATGGTCCTCACCCACAGAGAAGGCTGCCCAATAGAAATCCTCCTGACTTTGCACCCTTCCTTCCTCTCAGCCTCTTCTGGGGGTGGGTAGTCCTGCTGTGTCTCTACACCAGGTGTGATTTAGATCAGTCAGTCACTCCTGGTGTGGTGATGCAGCAGAATTACTTGCCCCTCAAAGGATGCACATCCATAGCAGTGACTCACAGACACACAGGGCACAGGGTCCTCCGAGAGCAGGCCCTTCTCAAAGAGCAAAGTTTTTCAGGTGCAAAGACTGAACTATACCTCCAACTTTAGGGGGTTTTTTTGGGGGGAGGGCTCAGTTATTATAAGTTTTAAAAACTCTAGAATTATCTTGCCAATGTCATTATTATGGATGCCTTTAAATTATTTTATAGACATTTAGCACCATTCAAACCCGACTAAAGTAATCATTCTGTCAACACAAGTATTTCGGCTTGCTAGGTGGAATCTTCCCCCCTCTTCTCCCCAGATATGCTGTTCCAAGGGTTCTCTGAAGCCCAGAGGAAGAAGAGCAGGGGAAGCTCTGGTGCGCAAGTAGCTTTTGCTTGTGGGACTCATTAGTTCAATCCTGCCCGAAATGCTTTGTCTGCTTCCTAGAGATTCCATTATCTACTATATATTTTGAAAAGTTGTTTGTCTGTTTGCTATGTGTTTAGATATCTCTTATGGTATTGTAACTAAATTTTGCATGATGGTTCCTGAGATCAAGGAGCACGTTCTTGTTTGTGTTTGAATACAACTGGATGCCATTTTTAATCAAGATGGTGGACTGAAGTTTTCAAAACTACACTGATCCTTTAGTTTCTTAAATTTCTGAGCAGTATTGGCAATGCATTATAAAGCAGGAAATTTATTTTAAAATAAAATTAATGCAGATAAGTATAGATATGAAGGTAAATGCAACAAACACTGAGGATCTGAGTTTGTTTGTTAATGAATGTTTCATTGCACGTTACTTTTTTGTACCTCAGTAATATATATTTACCACAAAAGGAATACAAAGGTCCCTGTGAGCCAGACACAGTACAGTTTTGCAAGAAATAGGCTTACTTACTGGATGCCAGAGCCTCTGTCTCGGTCGACGGCACTTTGTAGATCTTTCCTGCCTTGTAGACAAAACTGCCTTCCACCACTTTGAAGTCTAGATAGCGTGTCACTTCCGTATACAGCAGCATTTTCACCAGCTGGCCTGCGTGGGGGAAGGAAAGCCTCATTTAGAGCCCTTCTACCTGCCACCATAGATAAGGGGTGCATTATAGAGAGAGCCAGGTTGAAGGTACATGAGACCTGCCACTTTCTTGACGGTAAAGAGGTTTGGGTCTGACCAGTATTTGGACAGGCGACCTCTGAGAACCATTTGTATACCACCTTAGGTTCCATAAAGAAAGAAATCCAGGATAGAAAAGTAAAGTAAATAAAATGTACCCAGTACAAAGGTTAACAGCAAATGATAGGTGAATAAGAGGGGAAATGCTTGCCCGATAAATGTGTGTAGCGCATACAGGTAGAGCTGTGAGGTGTGAGGGACAGAGCTCCATCAACTGCAGAGGGCCACTTTTGGCTGCTTGTTCTTCAGTGCCCACCAATGATATGCAAAGTCCTGGCCCACTTCAATGAGCCAAGACGTCTCACGATACTATTATGTGGGCCTGTCCTGTGCCACTACAGACTGTCCTTCTAAAGTGATTCTTCAAGCTCATCTCACCCCTTTTTGAGTAAAACGAATGAAATCTCTGGCAAATAGACCAAGGGACAACAAGGGCATGGACTTACCATTGGCCATGAGGAATTTGGGGATAAGGTCAACATTCCAGTCCCGGCCACGCCCCATAGATTCAGGGGGGCCATCACCAATCTCAAAGCGCTTGTAGAGCTGGTAGTTGAGGAAAAACAGTACATCACACACACTCATTCAGACAGGGCACATCAATTAGAATATACATATTAGCCTAATACAAATATATCAGTGCAACCAAAATGCAGGAGGAGAATCTATCTCAGCTGTATCAGTCAGAGAAGCGTCAATTCAAAAAGGAGACCAGGATACTGCAGGAAGCAGCCCATCACCCCAAACCACTTCTCCTATCTTCCAGGCTCCCTGGTGCAAGTTATCTATGAAACACTAGAACTAGCATGCAAACATTTACTTTGCCTTTTCACGCAGCTGAAAGGTGTATGGCTGGAAGGATCCTGGGAAGTGAAAACATGCCAAATAGAATATTTATATGCTTTTCCTGAGCATTGTTCAGGGTGGATTTGATTTAAATCAGGCATAGGCAAACTCGGCCCTCCAGATGTTTTGGGACTACAACTCCCATCATCCCTAACCACTGGTCCTGTTAGCTAGGGATGATGGGAGTTGTAGTCCCAAAACACTAGGAGGGCCAAGTTTGCCTATACCTGATTTAAATCAAATCGATTTATGGTAAATCACAATTTAAATCACTAGTCAGTAAGACTTGATTTAATCATTATTTTTTACAGAAAGACTCATTCTTGCTGGTACAATCTTAATATTTACAACCAGGTAAAGGTTTCATTTTTGGAATAATAAATTTTCAGAGTGGTTTTTACAGTTGTATCAAAAATGACCAATTTGGTTATACTATTAGAAATACATTGACAGATAATTATGAAATTATGGTGAGGTTTAAAAAGTTAACTGTTTATATTTGGACAACTTTTCTGCTGTACTTTATTGGAAGGAGAAATGTAATCATTTCCTTAATAGCAATCTAAACATTTTATTTAACTAAAACAGTAACATTATAGCATATGTATCCATGTTTGTTAACTGATATGATTAAACAATTTTTTTTAAAAAAAACTTAGACTGAGTTTTAGCACACATGAAAAGCTTAAAACAAATCCTTATTTCCTGATGAATAGCCTTTGGACTATAATGTAACTTAAACAGAAAACTATCTTTAGAAAGATTTTTCCTCCAAAAGCATTTTATTTTAAAAATCCAATTTAAATAAAAAAATCCAATTTAAATAAAAATTGATTTCTTTATATTAAAAATAAATAAATCATTGATTTTTATCCACCCTGGCATTGTTCAAAGCACTTTGCATACATTATCACAGAAAACCTTACAAGAATGGGTGAATTACACCTTATCACAGGTAAGGGAGTGGGATCAACAGGGAATGCCTTGGCTCCAGCCAACTATTGAGTTCAGGGCTGAGGAGAGATTTTAAATGGGAGATTAGCCATCAGAGCACACTTTCTCTTAGATCTAATCCAACAGAGGTATAAACACGCCCTATGTTCCTGGTTCCTTACCTCTTCCAGGGGGGTGATTGATGAGCTCTCGCCCCCGTAGTACGGATTCCGGTCCATGTGCAGGACCTTCTTGCCGTTCACAGACATGATGCCAGAAAGGATACATTCCTAGGACAGAAGGTGAGCAGGGTTATGGATGCCCTACAACATGATTAGTTCAAAGTATGTCCCCACAGCGGACACGGGTGGTATTGTGGTCTAAACCACTGAGCCTTAGGCTTGCCGATCAGAAGGTTGGCGGTTCGAATCCCCGTGATGGGGTGAGCTCCTGTTGCTCGGTCCCAGCTCCTGCCAACCTAGCAGTTTGAAAGCACATCAAAGTGCAAGTAGATAAATAGGTACCGCTCCGGTGGGAAGGTAAACAGTGTTTCCGTGCGCTGCTCTGGTTCGCCAGAAGCGGCTTAGTCATGCTGGCCACATGACCCAAAAGCTATACGCCGGCTCCCTCGGCCAATGAAGCGAGATGAGCGCCGCAACCCCAGAGTCATCCGCGACTGGACCTAATGGTCAGGGCTCCCTTTACCTATGGCCCCACAGCATGGTAGCTTTCACAGTGCAGGGTTGGGGAACCTGTGGCTCTCCCAATGATGTTGCACTCCAACCTCAACAGCCGTAGCCAGCACAGCCAATTGTCCCAACCACACCAGGACCAACGAGGACAAGCAACCAGATTTTAATTCTTTATTTGTGAAGCAGTAGGTTACATCAGCAAGAGATATCCAGGAAAACTCCCCGCTAACTAGATGTTTAGGCAACCTACGACTGCAGTCCTATGCTCTGTCTCAGAGCTATCTCTTTCTTGAGGAGGGGGGATTCCAGGGGATTTCGAAGCCACGACCCTTTCTGGGAGCTTTGCAGGCTCTCTAGGTTCCAAGACCTCCTTTGGCTGTTCTCTTGTCTCCTGCTCCTTTCCCCCTTGCTCTGGCTGCCCAGTCTCCCTCTCCTGACCCCCTTCTTTCTCTTCTGCTGGCAGCTGCCTCACAGGTGCTACAGAACCCCACAACCCACTAGTCCCTTCCCCTGGAGCCTCCTCCTCCCATTCTGTCTCATCTGCCTGCACATCCCCCCACTCCTACCCATCACTGCCACCACTGCCCTATGCGGCCTAGGACCCACATACCAATGGGACCGCCTCTCCTGGTATGCCCCACAGAAAACCTTAAGGTCCACAAATGACAACATTTTGGAGGTCTCAGGTCACAAGGTGGTTAGATTGGTCTCAACTAGGGCCAGGGCCTTTTCAGTACTGGCCCCGACTTGGTGGAACGCTCTGTCACAAGAGACTAGGGCCCTGCGGGACTTGACATCTTTCCACAGGGCCTGCAAGACAGAGCTGTTCCGCCTGGCCTTTGGTTTGGACTCAGTCTGACCCTTATGTTGCCCTCCCCTTATGGTCTTGATCTATTGGCTACTTTTAAAATGAGACTGCATTTTAAATATACCCCGCCCCCCCCATTATGTTTTTACTGTGATTTTATTGGTGTTAGCCACCCTGAGCCCGGCTTTGGCTGGGGAGGGCAGGGTATAAATACAATTTATTATTTTTTTATTATTATTAATGCTCAGAGATGCTGGGAGATGTCGTCCCAGAACACCAGGAGGATCACAGATTTCTCCACCCATTTTACATAGAGTCCTGGCATATCAAAATCAACACAAAAAGGAGAATAAGAAGTACACATGTGTATGTGAAGAAGGGGAATAAGCCTGAGGTTGTTATTTTCCCATGCCATGCCACTGCGTGCTCCAAACCAGTATACAGGGGTGCTCAGTTACGAACAGTGGAGCTGGCACCAGGCAGAAACTGGTCTCAAGGAAGTTTGGGGCAATGACAAGGGTTTCTGCACAAACAGAATCCACAGCAAGACTTGTTTTGGGATTTTAGGGGTAGACAGCTACGGTGCAACTTACAAGGACCTAGGAGCCAAAGCTAAGGTCTGTAGAATGCTCTTGTTGGTTTCACCTCAGTAGCTTACAGCTATAATAAATACTCAAGGCAAAGTCTAAAGTCTAGCTGCTGTTGGGCGGGTAGATTTATGGATGGGTGAGTGAGAAAAGGAAGCTCAAAAGGGAGATTATCTACTCTCCCTGGCTGGATTCCACACCACTGCGGTAACATGTGGATACCTGAAATCACCAACTCCTTTGTGAAGCACATAGCAACATGCAAATTCCTATATAATCCATCCCACACACATAATTTCAACCAATTAAAGTTATTTGTTTTCAGTTTTCAGAGTGGCAGGATATTTGGGCACATGAAGGTGGCAATCACGCTGCTCCTGCAATGCAGGTGGTAGACAATCTGTGGCCTAATTTCATGCAGTAACTGGTCCCTCCCCCAGCAGCCTACTGGAAGGGGGAGGGGAGAGAAAGAGAGGGGGTGGGGTGGCAGAGAGAGAAACACTGTAATGCAAGCACAAGCCTTATCATTTCAGCTCCGTGAAAGTTCCCAAAGCAATTGCATAATGTATTATTAGTGATGTCACAGGCACTATTCAATAGGCTCCTGGGACATTCATGCAACTCCATTCCACAATCATCTCTACCAGCTGTAGAAGAAATTACATTTCATTATAAGAATGAAATTGGTCTTTGAGTGCAAGGGAAATAGTGGATGATCCCTTAAACAGAAATGCTTCCATAAGTAGGATAGCTGGATACCACTCCATGGATGAATACTAACTGAATGTTTGCTGTATCCTGAACTGGTCATTTGAAAAGGTGCATCTATACTACAGACTTAAAACTGGCTGAACAGTTATTTCCTCCCCTTCAGAAAACCATGGTTCTATCAGGAGGACCAAACACTAACAAAGAAACACTCTCACTTAAGCTACATCTCCATGGCAGTAAAAGTAAGTTTGTGTGAATTTGCTGTTAATGAATTACAAGTGGTGAAAGAGAGAGCAGCTTGCTTGCTTGCTACAAGAGGATGAAGGGCTTCTCATGGGATATGAGTTCGGATTCATCTAAGGACAAGCCTGGTTTGTGAGGCTAAGGTGGGAGGAGGAGCGGAAAACATTTTTCTCCTTAACAGATTCTGTCTTAATTGCTGCTCCATAACATGAGATAGGCTGGTTCCATAGTGAAGGGTCAGAGTTTAATGGAAGAGCATGTCTTTTGCATACAAGAGGTTCTGGATTCAATCCCTGGCATCTCCACTTAAGAGCTAGAAACTAGAACTAGACAATTAGTAAGCTAGACAATCCAATCTCCAGACCCATTATGTTTTCTATGTTCCAGAAACATGGGAAATTCAGTTTAGCCCCCTACCAGACAGGGCTGCATGCAGAAGATTGAGAAAAAGCTGTGTGTGTGATGAATCAGAAAACATCATCCTTCTAAATTATAATTTCGGGGGGGGGGGTTGGAGCATGAACAGGACAGAGTAGACAGTGCTCTCCACACTAAGGCCAGGAAACCACAAGAAAAAGAAGGGAGGGAGCTTGGAAAGATGCCAAACTGAGAGCTGCATCCCTTTGATGTTCCTGGGGAGAGGAGAGATAGAACAGAAGTTAAGTTCTGCAAAGCGCAATTAATATGTAGAAAAACATATGAATTACACAAAAAGAGGTGTCCAGCCACTTGTTGAGGGCAGGAAGAGGTGCCTACATTGGTTTCCAGAACAGGAAATCCCATCTTGCAGTAATGTGTAAAGAGGGACAAGTCAGTATTGGGGGTGATGGTTAACGTTCCCCTGACAGGAGTAGGAGCAGGGAGGAAGTTTCTTTTAACTCTGGGGGGAGAGAGAAGTTCATTCAGTTCTACTGAAAACCACAGATGGCCCAAAGCCAAGCTGATACAGTAAGAAGACACAGGGCTGCTAAGGAGCCGTGAAAGAAAAAAGACCAGGAAACTGCAAGGGTCAAACAGTATGTGCTTCCTAGACTGCAAGGAATTGCAAGGGGAGATGCAGACTAACCACCTAAGAAGGAGAAGCATTTACTTTACTGGAGCAGATTTCTTTTTTTATAAATAAGCGTAAAAGTTCAGAATGGGGAAAACACTGGCAGGGGGCTGCATTAATGAGAAAAACCAGGAAACTGCATATAGTACATGCAAGGTTTACCTCTGCACTTCGACCACATCTGCAGTAGGTACAGGGGCGCTCAGGACCAGCCGTAGAACACCCTGCGCTTCAGACCCTTCAACCTTGGGTGCTGAAGGGGCAGCCAGTTTACACTGAGACTGCAGGATTTGGAAGTGCAGTTAAAGGGCTGCACTGGAAGAGCTTGAAGGGATGCTGCTGAAGGGTTGGGGGGGGCATAAGGAGCATGGGAACTGCAGCAGCGCCCTTTCCTCCCCCTATTGAGATGTAAAAGAGGGCAGGGTTGCTAACCGACCAGAAAACACACACAACTGGCCTGCCCCTCGAACACCCTGTAGCTCGATCCCCACAAGTCGCACTAAATACGGTTTTCCTGCATTGTCACAGGGCGCTGCGAGATGCACAGCAGCCGCAGCCAGCTGATGGCTTGGCAACCCCCGAACGAAGGAGGGGCGCTGGGTGGGAGAAAGGGCCGGGAAAGGGCGCGGGCAAATGGGCGCCCATCGCCTTCAGAGGGCGGCTGATGGCGGCGCGTTGCATCCGAAGAGTTGCAAGCGGGGGCTCAAAGGCGCCTGCCGTCCAAGGCGGAGGGGAAACGGGGCGGTGCAAACGAGGCGGGCGCACCTCTGGGAGCAGCAGCTGCTAATCCGGGGGGCAGGTGCAATAATGGTCTGGAATACGGAGGGAACGAGGAGGACGAGGCAGCAGCAGCACGGAAGCAGAGAGAAAAGGTGCAATTATGTGCTGCTTCTGGAGCTGCTTTGCTGCAGCGAGAAAGGCCTCGTGGGCTGCGGGGAATTGCAAACCCCGCCCGGACATGGCAGGGATGCTGCTGCTGCTGCTGCTGCTGGCGAGGGATGCAGGAGGCTGCAGCGGGAGAGCACGGGATGCAAGAGCAGCGAGGCGGGGCGGGCAGGGGTGCAAAGCCGGGGGCCGGGCGCGCGGGCGGGGTGGACACTCACGGTCAGGCCGGTGCCCAGCACGATCACGTCGTAGGCCTCGTCCATGGTGCCGGGTGCGGAGCCGCCGCCGCCGCCGCCCCCCCGCCCCGAGCGGAGCCAAGATGGGGCCGCAGCACGGACAGCCCGGAGGAGGATCCCTCCGCCGCAAACGAGTCCCGGCAGAGGGATCCCTCCGCTACCGGGAACCGCCCCGCCGAGGTCCTTCTCCAGAAGCGCTATGTCGGGAACGGGGGGCGGGCGAGGGATGCGCGAGCATCTCTTCTTCTTCCTCAGCCCAGATGGTGCCTCCGCGAGAGAGAGGAGGCACGCAACAAAACGAGTTCCGGCTCTGCTGCTGCTCTTTCTTTTTCTGCCATTGCGGGGGGGGGGGGAGGAGAAGCTCGCAAACCCAGCGACGCCCCCCTCACCATCTCTCGTCCCCATGGCAACCGTGACAGCACCGTCGGGTTCTTGCGTCCGCCTCAGATAAACAAAAGCCGTACAGCTGAGAGGAAAGCTCCCTCAGTCTGTGGAGAGTTTTGTCTGTCGCGACGTGAAAAGTCATCCTCCTGGCCCCCCCCGCCCTGAAACGTCCCCAGAGGAAGGAAATCCCTTCGAAACTTATTCTCGGGGCTTGGAGGGGCTACTCCCGCTAAGGCAAATAGTTGTGTGCCTCATGAAACTCCTTGGTCAGGGTGGGCGCCCATTGCTGAGGGGGATGAAGGTGCCAACTTGAATAAAATATGGGGGGGGGGCAGGTAGGCCCCGTCCAATCGATCACATGACGCAATGCACGCACACTATTTGAATGGCAACGCTCCTCAACTTGGGGAGGGATAAAAGGCCCCCTCAAATATTTTCTTGGGGGGCCGGGGGTCGACGCCCCCTGGACCCTAGGAGTTTACTCCTGTGCGTCGAAGTGCTGCGTGCTATTTCAGTGTCTTCTCGTAGCTATCCCTTATGGATCTCCGTCTGCCAAGGGAAAATCCTGTTGTTAAAACGGGCCCAGCTGCTCTACTTTCCTCGCTTTGACGGCCCGCTAAACTGCCCCCCCCATGAGGTGTGCAATGGAGAATAGAGGTCTTGTTACTTTTCCACGGTATTGTTAACAAAGGAATTTAGGGCAGGGTAGTTAGGATCGTCTCACAGCTTTGCAAAAGTGAGGAAAGTTATATTGTCATAATTCTTCCTTCCGAATCAACACAGACAGACATCAGCCCCATTCTTCTTGGCATTCAATCATTTTCCTAGCCAAGTCCACCTTCAAATAAGCATCCTGGGGGCTCCAGCCCTCTACTCCCTGCCAACAGAGGCTATCACAGGTATTAGATAAGTGGACCTTCCTTGTAGCTCACCATGCCCTTTATTATACTGTGGAATCTTTCATTTGGAAAATGGTGAGGTACACAGACCACTTACATACCTAAAATACATTTATGGTTACAATGATTCATAAGAGTCCACTCTTATGTCAATGTTGGCATTGCTTGTAAAACTGATATAGGGTTGCATTTAAATAATACACAGCACTCCACTGTATATCATGAGTAAACTTTATCCTTTCTATACTGGCAAGGAAGCTAACCTTTTCCTACCTTCTGTAAAAGCCCACAGCCATACCTAAACTGAAGGAGCATGCCTTGTTAGTCTAGTTCTTTACATTTACTGATACCAGTTGGGTATCATAACAATGCAAAAGTTTAGAGGCACCAAGCTTATGCTAGTTGCTGAACAATATATTTATACGTTTGAAGATCTGAAACAGATAGAAGACAAACACATTCTTACTGTGTGTTTGTTTGTTTGTGTGTATGCACACACCTATGTATATATTATGATACCTTAAAGTACCCCCAAAATCACTACGCCCGTCTGCCTGCCCAGTAATGTTAATCATTTATCACTGGACTATGACACTGGTTGCAGGAAGGGGGAGAAAAGATAGGAATTTTACACACTGAGTAGCAAGACATTTCTAGTGGTCAACCCCAAAAGAAAGCTTCTTTGGGATCTCTTCACTTGCAGAGTTTCCTAGAGGAGCTAGACACAGACAGACACACACACACACACACCAGAACTCTCTTTTATTCACATCGTTCAAGTTGACTTAACAGCAAGGGGTCACAGGAAGGAAGCCCCCACCCTGATCAAGAACAGCATGGTGTCCCAAATACTGAGTCACTGTAAACAGAATTAATCACAGATACCACATAAATAAATAAGGAGGGGAGCACTTATAATACAGCTGCAAACAAGGATTTGGGAAGGGGGCAAGGTAAGGAAACTTTTAAACATCACCACAACAAACTTAGAGGATGTACATCAGAAAGCAGGCCTGATTCTGTCCCACTGGACAGAACTGAAGAGGAATGGCAGTGCATCCTTGAAGATATTTAACTTCAAGCAATGTTCAGTGCAGACAGCCTAGATGCTGCAATAGACATAGGATTTGCACTTCCATACAATAGTAAAACTACACCTCCCCTCTTGTTTACATCATGTCCCTTGGGATGTTTTAGGCTGGAGAAGCTAGAAAGAATCAAAGGAGAGAAAAGAAGTGACCAAGGAATGTCAGTGGAGAAGCAGCTATTGGACAAAAGGAAGTAGAAGGAAGAAAGGCTAAGGGACTGGGACCAATAGGGTTTAATGCATTGTGCTGGGCAGGTGGGGGGAAGGAGATGTGACAACAGATGGAATGAACAGAACAAACCCAGCCCTGTAAGAATGATCCCAGGGCAGGGAGTACATCAACTGGCCCCTATTCCGTCTGGGGCACAGATATGGTAGGTCCCTTGGGGTCATCAAAACGGTCCATAGTCTTGAGACTCATGACCATGTGGAGGCCATAGGTGAAAATGGCAACAAGAAGCAGGGAGGTCAGCAACCCCATCCAGATTCCATGAGAGAAGAAGCCGGCACAGTCACTGGCGTAAGAAAATCTTTCACCTGTCACATTATAGCTCTGGATCTAAAAGGGAAAAGAGTTCATGCGTTAGTGATGGAGGCTGATTTGTGGTCCCCCACCTCATAATAATAATAATAATAATAATAATAATAATAATTTATTATTTGTACCCCGCCCATCTGGCTGGGTTTCCCCAGCCACCCTGGGCGGCTTCCATAGATGTCTTCTGAATGTCAGGTAGTTGTTTATCGTTTTGACATCTGATGGGAGGGTGTTCCACAGGGCGGGCGCCACCACCAAGAAGGCCCTCTGCCTGGTTCCCTGTAGCTTTGCTTCTCGCAATGAGGGAACCGCCAGAAGGCCCTCGGCGCTGGACCTCAGCGTCCGGGCAGGATGATGGGGGTGGAGACCCTCCTTCAGGTATACTGGGCCGAGGCCGTTTAGGGCTTTAAAGGTCAACACCAGCATTTTGAATTGTACTCAGAAACGTACTGGGAGCCAATGTAGGTCTTTCAAGACCGGTGTTATCTGGCGAGACAGTCTGCGGGCAGGTAGGGTCTCAGCCTGCGTACCAGGTGGAGTTGGTAGACAGCTGCCCTGGATACAGAATTGACCTGTGCCTCCATGGACAGCTGTGAGTCCAAAATGACTCCCAGGCTGCGCACCTGGTCCTTCAGGGGCACAGTTACCCCATTCAGGACCAGGGAGTCCTCCACACCAGCCTGCCCCCTGTCCCCCAAAAACAGTACTTCTCTCTTGTCAGGATTCAACTTCAATCCATTAGCCGCCATCCATCCTCCAACCGCCTCCAGGCACTCACACAGGACCTTCACCGCCTTCACTGGTTCTGATTTGAAAGAGAGGTAGAGCTGGGTATCATCTGCATATTGATGGACACCCAGTCCAAACCCCCTGATGATCTCTCCCAGCGGCTTCATAGAGATGTTAAAAAGCATGGGGGAGAGGACGGAACCCTGAGGCACCCCACAAGTGAGGGCCCAAGAGTCTGAACACTTATCCCCCACCACCACTTTCTGAACACGGCCCAGGAGGAAGGAGCGAAACCACTGTATAACAGTGCCCCCAGCTCCCAACCCCTCTAGATGGTCCAGAAGGATGTTATGGTCGATTGTATCAAAGGCCACTGAGAGATCCAGCAGAACTAGGAAACAACTCTCACCTTTGTCCCTAGCTCGCCGGAGATCATCAACCAGTGCGACCAAGACAGTTTCAGTCCCATGATGAGGCCTGAACCCCGATTAGAAGGGATCCAAATGGTCCGCATCCTCCAGGCGTGCCTGGAGTTGTTCAGCAACCACGCGCTCAATCACCTTGCCCAAGAATGGAAGATTTGAGACTGGGCGATAGTTGGCCATGCTGGCCGGGTCTAAAGATGTTTTTTTAAGAAGCGGTTTAATGACCGCCTCTTTCAGCCGATCTGGGAATGTTCCCTCACAGAGGGAAGCATTCACCACCCCGCAGAGCCCATTGCCCAGCCCTTCCCGGCTTGCTTTTATTAGCCAGGATGGGCAAGGATCAAGGAGACAGGTGGTTGGTTTCACGCGTCCAAGTAGCCTGTCCATATCCTCGGGGGTAACGGATTGAAATTGACTCCATGCAACTTGACCAGACAGGGCTCTAGCACTCTCCCGCCCCAGCCCTGCTCCCATGGTGGTGTCTAGCTCCTTCCGAATATGAGTGATTTTATCTGCAAAATTTTATCTGGAACGTGTCCAGAGGAGGGCAACCAAAATGGTCAAAGGCCTGGAAACGATGCCTTATGAGGAACGGCTAAGAGAGCTGGGCATGTTTAGCCTGGAGAAGAGGAGGTTAAGGGGTGATATGATAGCCATGTTCAAATATATAAAGGATGTCACATAGAGGAGGGAGAAAGGTTGTTTTCTGCTGCTCCAGAGAAGCGGACATGGAGCAATGGATCCAAACTACAAGAAAGAAGATTCCACCTAAACATTAGGAAGAACTTCCTGACAGTAAGAGCTGTTCGACAGTGGAATTTGCTGCCAAGGAGTGTGGTGGAGTCTCCTTCTTTGGAGGTCTTTAAGCAGAGGCTTGACAACCATATGTCAGGAGTGCTCTGATGGTGTTTCCTGCTTGGCAGGGGGTTGGACTCGATGGCCCTTGTGGTCTCTTCCAACTCTAT